AAATCCTGAATAAACACAAGATCCAGGTCCGATTCAACACAGTACACAAAATCCGTGATTTAGTTCCATCTGTAAAAGATGCTCTTCCAGACATACAGTACCCGGGCGTTTACAAACTAAAGTGCCTCTGTGGTAGTAGCTACATTGGAGAAACCAAAAGACATATCTCGGACCGCATCCGCGAACATAAAGCAGACTTGAAACACGGTAAGACGAACTCCTCTGCCGTGGCAGATCACTGTTACAATTCAGTGGGCTCACATGACATTGACTTCTCCAAGACGGAGGTTCTTTGCAAACCAACTGGCTACCATGAGAGATTCGTTCATGAGGCCATTCACATATACAAGCACAGAGACAATTTCAACCGAGAAGATGGATTCAGGCTTAGTAACCACTGGAAAGATGTGTTAAATCATTTCTGTTCTTAATTAATTGTAATTTTACGATGACCTTCAGACCGCAGCTCTTTCGCCAGCATTGCCTCTTAATACCTCTCACACCACGGTTAATGGTATGGTTTACAACATGGAGTATACTAGGGCTTCGCAGCTGTCTCTCTCCCCCTCCTCTGTTCCGACCATGGACGAACTCGTCCGTCTGAACGGGGCCCGTAGCTATCCGTGGTACGGAAATTTGAGGGTAAGAATCCACCCATTTTTTCGCCATATAGCATTGTGATATATAACGACTTATGGTTGGTAGCTTAGCTGATTGGAGAATATAGAGTTTATTGATAACATGAAGGTAATTTATATTTTAGTTTTTATTGGTTCACTATATAGTACTGTGAATAGCTCAGATGTGTAGTCATTTCTGTGACCAGTCACTAGCAAATCACCCAGTTATTTCAATGCTAAATTCGCCTAGTTATTTCAATGCTAAATTCTCCTGTTTGATTTGTACTAAGTGCCTCGGTGAATGTGTATGCTCTGACTTCAACGTAACTATTTCTGTAGCAGTTACAAGCGAATCACTCAGCCTTTTCAATGCTAAATTCTATGCTAATCCCATTGTCAAGGGGTGCCTTTGCGGATGTGTATGCCTTAACTTAGCTATTTCAATGCTAAATTCTATGCTAATTCCTTTTAACAATGGGTGCCTCTGCGGATGTGTATGCTTTAACTTTTAACATAGCTATTTCTGTGACTAGTCACAAGCTAATCATTCAGCCATTTCAATGCTAAATTTTATGCTAATTCCTTCGTCAAGGCTCTTTCTTCCTCTCACACAGCTTAAAAGCCGTGATCTGAACGTGGCTCTCTCACTCCAGCGCTGTCCTACCAGACAGTCTCGCCCCCTTCACCTGATGAAGGCCGCTTGTGTTGTGGCCGAAACGTCGTGAGAATATTATTGTGTTATTTTATTTTATCAATTTATTATTTTATTCTCATTCTACGTGACTTTACCGAAAGAACCAAAGAAGATGAATCATTGCAGTCACGAAAGCTTTAAATCGAAATTTAACCGCCTCTACGGGGAGGGATTCCACACATCCTTAAGATCATTCAACAGACTTCGGGATAAGAAGGCTCAACTAATCGAGTCTCTCACCTTTCTGAAGAGATGCCGCGACTCTAAGGTAATACCAACCGCATTTACACTAACCTCTGCTGTTGCAACTTCTCTCAATGCAAAACGAATTCTAGCTAGAACTAGCTTCGCTCTTATCTCGGAAAAAATCAGACTTACACGCACCGAACTCGATCAGTTAGACAAGACACTCTACAAATCACACTTAAAATTGACAGCAACAATGTCTACATCGGATTGGGAACATGTAGACAATATGACTACCTCTTCGGCTGCCACTATGTCGAACAAATGTAGGGACAATTTGATTTCCAAATTCAATCACCTCTCCAGCAAAAAATCGGATCCACACACCGAAAAGATAGACGTCAACAAAGTCGTAATTAATCGCAGTAACAGTTCCATTTCTGATGGTCTGAAATCCGTTTTAGCTAAAGGTCTAAACTTTGCTGTCACACCGAGACACTTACCGGTTAATGATATCATTGCCCATGTCGACGTTGCACTCAAGGGCTTGAGTCACATCTCTGCAGACGTAGCAAGATCTGAAATCGCTGCAACCCTCAAAAACGCTAAGTTGCCACCTAGCAACATCAGCAAAGACGAACGTTTTGAATTATCTCAATTAAAAAAGAGGGATGATATTGTCGTTCTCTCAGCCGACAAAGGCAATGCCACTGTCATCATGGACAAAACAGAATATAACAACAAAATTCAAGAACTACTCAACGATGGCAGCTATACAAAAATAAAAAGAGATCCCACCAACAGCCTGGTCACCAAAACGAACAAAATTATCTCTGATTCAACAGCATTAATTGATGAGAACAAACAGTTCTCGTTGAAACCCTCTGCTGCCAGACCACCAAGATTATATGGCCTTCCAAAGATACACAAAGAAGATACACCCCTTCGTCCCATCGTCTCTACTATCAGCTCCCCCACCTACAAACTGGCACGTTTTCTGGCTGATATACTGCGACCTTTCACTGGAAAAACCACCTCTGCGGTACTAAATTCTACTCACCTGGTATCGACAATCAAAGACATTTCCCTGTCCCCAAACGACCTGCTTGTCAGTTTTGATGTGGTGTCCTTGTTCACCAAAGTCCCGGTACCTGACACCATCGCTATCATTGAAGACCTGGTTCATCAAGGACTGCATACTGATGTACCCCCCCTGGTGAGACATTGCTTAACCAACACATACTTCACCTGGAATGGAACTTTCTACAAACAAACTGAGGGCACCCCAATGGGCTCCCCCCTATCTCCGGTTGTAGCCAACGTATTCATGGAAAAATTTGAAACTGACGCCATCCAGACTGCCACTCTACGCCCGACCTTATGGAAGAGGTACGTTGATGACACCTTTGTCATCTGGCCACATGGCCAGCCTGCTCTAGACCAATTCCGCGACCACATCAATTCCATACACCCAGCCATCAGATTTACCATGGAGGTCGAAAAAGATGGCAAACTACCCTTTCTGGATGTCTTAATTAAAAGGAGACATGATGGTTCAATGAGCCACTCTGTCTACAGGAAAGCTACCCATACAGATGCTTACTTGAAACCGGATTCCCACCACCATCCATCCCAGAAGAACTGCCTCATCAAGACTCTATACCATAGAGCCCAATGCATTTCCGACCAGGAACACATTACCAGTGAACTCAAGCACGTACACCAGGCTCTCAGGGCTAATGGCTACTCCGACTACACAATCCGCAAAGCCATCACTCCAGTCATGAAGAAGGATCCTCTTGTGGAGCCACTCAAAACCATCACCTTACCCTACATTGCAGGGGTCACTAAAAAGATCTCCAAAATCCTGAATAAACACAAGATCCAGGTCCGATTCAACACAGTACACAAAATCCGTGATTTAGTTCCATCTGTAAAAGATGCTCTTCCAGACATACAGTACCCGGGCGTTTACAAACTAAAGTGCCTCTGTGGTAGTAGCTACATTGGAGAAACCAAAAGACATATCTCGGACCGCATCCGCGAACATAAAGCAGACTTGAAACACGGTAAGACGAACTCCTCTGCCGTGGCAGATCACTGTTACAATTCAGTGGGCTCACATGACATTGACTTCTCCAAGACGGAGGTTCTTTGCAAACCAACCGGCTACCATGAGAGATTCGTTCATGAGGCCATTCACATATACAAGCACAGAGACAATTTCAACCGAGAAGATGGATTCAGGCTTAGTAACCACTGGAAAGATGTGTTAAATCATTTCTGTTCTTAATTAATTGTAATTTTACGATGACCTTCAGACCGCAGCTCTTTCGCCAGCATTGCCTCTTAATACCTCTCACACCACGGTTAATGGTATGGTTTACAACATGGAGTATACTAGGGCTTCGCAGCTGTCTCTCTCCCCCTCCTCTGTTCCGACCATGGACGAACTCGTCCGTCTGAACGGGGCCCGTAGCTATCCGTGGTACGGAAATTTGAGGGTAAGAATCCACCCATTTTTTCGCCATATAGCATTGTGATATATAACGACTTATGGTTGGTAGCTTAGCTGATTGGAGAATATAGAGTTTATTGATAACATGAAGGTAATTTATATTTTAGTTTTTATTGGTTCACTATATAGTACTGTGAATAGCTCAGATGTGTAGTCATTTCTGTGACCAGTCACTAGCAAATCACCCAGTTATTTCAATGCTAAATTCGCCTAGTTATTTCAATGCTAAATTCTCCTGTTTGATTTGTACTAAGTGCCTCGGTGAATGTGTATGCTCTGACTTCAACGTAACTATTTCTGTAGCAGTTACAAGCGAATCACTCAGCCTTTTCAATGCTAAATTCTATGCTAATCCCATTGTCAAGGGGTGCCTCTGCGGATGTGTATGCCTTAACTTAGCTATTTCAATGCTAAATTCTATGCTAATTCCTTTTAACAATGGGTGCCTCTGCGGATGTGTATGCTTTAACTTTTAACATAGCTATTTCTGTGACTAGTCACAAGCTAATCATTCAGCCATTTCAATGCTAAATTTTATGCTAATTCCTTCGTCAAGGCTCTTTCTTCCTCTCACACAGCTTAAAAGCCGTGATCTGAACGTGGCTCTCTCACTCCAGCGCTGTCCTACCAGACAGTCTCGCCCCCTTCACCTGATGAAGGCCGCTTGTGTTGTGGCCGAAACGTCGTGAGAATATTATTGTGTTATTTTATTTTATCAATTTATTATTTTATTCTCATTCTACGTGACTTTACCGAAAGAACCAAAGAAGATAAACATGTCATGTTTAGGAGTGCTATTAATCTGACAACTGATCTGCATCCCAAGCCATAACTAAACCAGAGCTCTAAAACGGTCAGCTCATAAAAAGTCAGCATAGCGGTGTTGCGTTCGCCAGCAGATGCCAATCCATTTTTCAAAGGGAATGTTGTGACCGCGCTTGCACCAAATAAACAGCAAGTGGGTAGCTGGCACAGCGCTTGCCTTTCGCGGTGGTGGCAGGAGTGACGCGCCGGCGCAAGCTGTTGTCGAGAAGACGCTGTGTGCGAGTTGGGCAGGCGCCCGCCATCAGTCTCGCGGTGGCCTCGTGCAAAAACATCTGACTCAAGCATGCACACCAAGTGAAAACAATCGCACATTTGCATCTAGATATTTTCAGACTCTGCACAACACTGGCAGGGAATGGATTTAGCGAGCAGGGAAAAGCTCAAAGTATGCAAAAATAGAAAGTATATCATACCAAAAAAAAATGTCATGGGTGCAATGCTGTATAAGTAACGGAAATGCATTACTTATGAGCATTCATCAAACCAAATGAAGCTGCTACAGCTTTGGAATCGTGAACTTAAGAAAGGCATGCATTCGTATAAGCCTGACGTGTATCTCAGAAAATAACAAAGATCCCCCGGATAGCTTTAAAAGACTCTTGGGGCAAGTGCCGTTATTGAGTAACTATGAAGGCCGGCACGGCACACATGGGGGTGAGTGACCAGCACCAAGCCTGGCCGCCTTTGTCTCCCTAGTGGCGATGTTTACTACACACCACTGCATCAGATACTACATTTTTAGGGTGAGTCAACCTCGGGGAGACCCAGGACCGGTACAGATAATTGTCAAAGGTGTTGGCTACCGCTCCCCTTGGAAAATAACGTGCACACACACACAGGTTCACAATTTATTATTCGCGAGCTCAGCACAGGTGCGGTCGTGCGAGCGCAGATGAAGTGAAGGTGCCCGCACCTTCCTATGCGCGGGCGGGAAGCCCTGCGCGATGCGGCGCAAGCTTGTCAGGTCCTGCTGGAAGCCCCGGATCTCCGCGGGCGGCGCGGTGCCCGCACCGGCCTGGGCGCTCGCCGTCTTTTGCCACGCGTGCGTACGTGTACTCAGCAGCATGTCGCACACAAGCAGAGCCATGGCCTGCTCTCCGTACAGACGCGCATGCGTCACACGCGGCGTGGTAAGGAGGACGACCGCGCAGCCGCCCGCTTGTTTCTCTCCCCTGTGCCAAGCTGCCGTGACATGGAAAGATCTTGGCTTTGCCCACAAGCTGTGATTTAATGGTTACATTTTAAAAGCGATAGTTTTCTGTACGAGACAGCCAACTGATACGCAGCAAAAACTTATACGGCATACACCGCTAACGGGCACACAGGTCATTTTACTTGTAACAAAAAAGCAACAAAAATTACACAAATGTTTTTGATGTGTCACAAAGTGAGCTACAATTAAACAAAATGTTCATTTAAGATACTGCTGGCAGTGTTCATGAAGGATCAAACTGATATTTTGTTCACAAGGCTAGTGTCACGATTTTGCGCTCAACCATAGTTTGGCTTCCAGGTTGCTGACCTTTGGGCCATTCTGTGTACGTCTTCGGTCAGACAGCAGGCCTTTTCACTGTATCTGTGCTGCACTGCAGATGCATTGTACATCCCTTCCCATACAATGCAACTACAATGCACCACAGCCACAGTTGAGCTCTTAAATAATCCGTCTTCAAAAGGGCACAACTCCGCTTGGTGAGGGAAAGTACAATGCGTGGGGCGTGAGAGTGTTCCTAATCTGGCTTGCTCTTGGCTCAATCTTGGTAGACCCTGGTAGCAACGGCTTAGCTAATGGGTGTGCAGGCAATGAACGTGTACTCGGTTCCATGGGCCGGAGGGGCCCAGACGCTGGGCTATGCAGAGGGAGGTGCCAACCACGCTAGGCCACCACGTGGTAGAGTTGTCTGGCACTTTGAGAGGCCTGCAATGTTCATATCAGCTCTGCGCAGTATTTACTTATTCAGGTCATAAGTCCTCTGTTAGCACCTGGAAAGGATACTTGACCAGTAGGTGATGTTTATCAAAGAGATTGGCAGTGCAAGGTAGGGGACATTGCGGATTACAAGACAAGAAATCGCATCGAGCACACATGTTATACGTATATATGTTGAACTTCTTTCGCACCTTACGTCGCCAACCATGCTCATCTAATCGGAGGTGCGGGGAAAGGACAACAAACTAAACACACGAGATGAACTTACAGTACTAACTTGTATTTAATGTTCTATTTATTAGTAGAAAATAATTGGCTTGTAAATGCATTTCATGACCATCTTGCATACGTCTAGTCACCGAATGCTAGATATGTAATGATGCATCGATATTTTGATTAAAACCGAATATTCTCATGCGATATGCATTTTAATGCACATAAATAAATGTACATTTTTGTGTGAGATGCAAACGTTAGGCTAAATCCACAGTTATGGTAATGCAGTAAACTACAAAGCTGTATAACTGAGACACAAAATAGTACGAGACTGGATAAACTAATGTTAGATATAATAGCAACCGGCAAATCATTACAATCCCTCAATCCCTAAGGCGAGAGGGTGAACGTTAGATGTCCAAAATGCACGCAATAAACTAAACTAAATGTGGAGGGAATAACCGGAGGTCCTGGAGAAAAATCTACGCGACCACAGGAAGAACATGCAATTTCCAAATATGGAGTGTCAGGGTTGGGGTCGAACCCACGACCTCCTGCATACCAGGCGAGGTAATTAACCTCTCACCACCGCAGGTTAATAAACACAGGTGGTCAAAAAACTGTACGTGCAGCCCCACCTTGTCGATGGGCCCTTGCGTGCAGTGCAGAGCCACAGCCAGGTGATCCCGCAGGAGGCCGCCAGCGCACTCGCACATGGCCAGACAGGCGTCACAGTGGTCCTTGCGGCCTATGAGCAGGGCACGGCAAGCCTGCATGGCCAGCAGCACTGCCTGCGGCAGCAGGCTCCTGCACGAAGAGACAAAAGGAATATTCAGAATCAGAATCTTTATTTATCCTGAAAAAACACAATTCGCTATTAAGCTGTTTTTCCCAGATGTCCAGGAGGGGTGAGTCAGAAAGTTACAACAACAAAAAACATAAGGCTGTAAAGTATAAGAAAGGTAAGCAAAAGTCACAAAAAAAATTTTTTTACCAGGTAAAGCTCACTTAAGTCATTTTTTTATCTGTAATTGTGGAATGCTTGTATGTTGTTGGCCACCTAAGTCGCCCTTGAAAAAGAGCTTCTTTGCTTAATGGGCTTTACTGAGGGAAAATACAATTCTGATTGTGAATATCTAGACACATGCGTTTAGATTACTTGGCTGCTATACATTTCCATACGACAAGCCACTTTGTTGAGCTATCATTTGTGGCCAGGTCACTTGTGAAAAAGAGTTTCATAGCTCAGTGGGCCTTACCCCCCCCTCCTCTTTTCCAAACATAGATGGACCCGTCCATTTGAATAACTGCCAAATCGCTCTCCGTGGTGCTAACGTTAAAAAAACGCAACTTTTTTCAAATTTTCTTGCTGTGGTTTTCACACCTGATGATGATTGCTTGTGTTGCAGTCGAAACGTCATGAGAATTTTATTGTTTTATATTTTTATTATTTTATTGTCTCCCTTCTACGTGACTTTACCGAAAGAACCAAGAATATGAATCCCTGCAGTCACGAAAGCTTTAAATAAAAAAATATAAGTCGTTAATAGTTGAGTTTATAGACACGCCAGTACCGTCACCGGCACACCGCACGTACCGCGCCAGCTTCAGCTCGGAGGGGAGGCATTCAGCAACGGAGTAGAGCCTCTCGGCCGCCTCGTCGTCACCACGCACCCAATGAATGGCCACCATCACCACGGCTGCCCACCATTTGGCCACCGGATCCATGCCTGCCACACGGTGAGTATGCCGGAGGATGGAAACACCATTGTGTTAAAAAATACAAAACCCAAACGGCATTGTGGTTATACCTCTTTTTTTGTGCAATTGGAAAATAGGTATTACATATTGGAGACACGTACCTGAGCTGTGGATCTCAGGTTGACTGGCATGAGTTTGAAGCTTTGTTAATGAGACTTTGAAAATGTAAGGTGCCATAGCCTCCTAGTCACTGCAGTAAAATTGTATCAGTCATTTGTCTTGACAGTTTGAATTATCTTTAACCTGCATATGTTCGCGAATATATCTCTCAATACTTCTCTCACCTGAAGACGGTCGCTTGTGTTGCGATCGAAACGTCGTGATCTATTATTTTTTTCTACCTACGTGACTTTACCGAAAGAACCAAAGAGTATGGATTCCTGCAGTCACGAAAGCTTCAAATCAAGATTATATCTCTCAAATTATTCCCATGTATACATGCACACTCGAGTAAAGCATAAAATATACTGTATCTAAAATGTACTACTAGCTTTATGATAGTTTGCAGTCTTGCAGCATTAGTAAAGTGTATTTTGTGTAACCTTGGGAAACTCAAGAAACCAGGATAGTCTCATTTGCAAGAGTGACCTGGGGCATTCGTCTGGCAGAAGTAGGCTGATTGCTATTTATAATCCCAACTGAGTAATTTGAGGGTAATTGACAAATGTGATTAATTTTAACCCCGACGCTGGCACACAACGGCCGACTCTTGCGAATGACATCGGGGGATCTTTTATGTCCACTGTGAAGCTGGCAGCACTTAATAAATATTATCGTGGTTATTACAATCCCAGTTATAAGCAGGGTGGCCGCTGGATTCGAACCGTGAACCTCTGCAACAAGCGGCTAACGCACCAACACCAGGCCGCATCACAAACTAAATTTCGACACCGGCTTGTCACGCTGACAGCACTGCCGAGCGTGGACACTCACCCGTGACGGCGGTCATGTTGGAGCCGATGGCGTAGGTTTGCTTGGTCACGACGGCGGCATTGGCGCACTCCGTGAGCAGCTGCAGGTACTGCAGTGCTTCTGAGAACTCCCTGCCAGGACGGGCACAACCAGATAGCACTGAGTGAGCGAGCGAGCGAGTGAGCGTTGGGACGGTTAGAAATGTGAGCTATGTTAGCGGTGGCTCGGGTATAGTTTATTCTATGGAACTGTTGATTCATTGTTATCATCTGTCCATGAGGGCACTTTGTGGTTTGGCTGCGTTTGAAAATGAATACTGTGGTGGAAGAGTACGCATTATGCTGGGTCATATGACTCATGTCCAACAAGGACAGACCGCGACCGCCCTTGTGACTTTTGAGCAACAGCCACTACGGTCTAAATGCACTCTGTGCAGTTGCGCCGACGTTTATGTATTTTTGCAGGCAAGGGTTTTTAATAGAAAATACGAATCTACAGCGTTAAGTACAGCTGATGCCTCCAATGGGGAAAAAGACATGCATGCTTGAGGGCAGCTACGTATGAGTGCCATTGTGCGTGGCGTGCGTGCGCGCGCGCGTGTACCCAGGCTCGCATGGACCCTGCTCGCCATCGCCTGGCCGGAAAATGGTTCCCAACGCTCGCTCAAGCAGGTGTTCCCGGAAAGCCTGAGCCACTTGTGCCAGGGGGTCCACTGTGAGAGACAAAACACAACTGTTGTAGAGGAAAGGGCACCTTCATTATGGTGAAATAATAGCTATAGTGGGGCTGAAAACTGCACTCAAATGTTAAGCACCCACACACTGCTGCTGAGAATTCAAGACAGGTTTGATAGCCGAGTGGCACCTACCACAGGTGGTCTGTGGAATGCAGGTTGATGCCAGTTGGCCACCCTTACCCAGATTAGCCGACGTGGAGTAGCAGCTTTGCAGGGGCTGGCTGCGAACGCACCACCCACCGTCCACAAAGAAGCGGTGGCCCAGAGGGTGGCACAGCCACTGCATAGCAGGTGGCACTGTGCCTGACTGGTTCAGGCACACCTGCCGTGCACCGCTCAGGAAGTATCGCTGAGAAGGGAAGAGAGGTAGCGACAGCACGCCATTAGCAATGAGGCCAATCTACTAAACAGTCAGCAATAGAAGCGGGCCAAGCAGTGAGAGTGGCTCTATTGGGGATGGCAAAGGAACTAGTAAAACTAATACTATACTGTATGCAGGTCATTTCTGTAATCTAATACAGGGGTTATTGGATCATGCAGATTTATGAAACTTCCAAATATAATGAGTTGTACAAGATGGGTAGGATATGTTAGTGCAACAAGTGTGTTTGTGATTCTCTATGTAAACGTTTGAGGAGAGTGTTTTATCTGTTCATATGCATGGGGTTTCTTTAGGTACTCTGGTCCAATTTCCATGTAAAACAAACAAAATTCACTAAAATAATTTTCCACATCGCAATGCAGAACCTTAATGTTATACATTTTCTCAGGTTATTCTAATCTGAGTTGAAAGGTTTGTCCTTCCCCTGCACCTCGGGTTAGGACAGTTAGCATAGTTGGCTACGTACGGTGCAAAAGAAGTTGAACATATGTACATACATTCGGTACAATCAAAAGTCGCATCGGGGAACTCGCAGCATGAGTTGGAAAAACCTACACAGTTCTGATGAACGCTGGAGCGTTTGCAAGCACTCACGGCCAGGAAGTGCGTGCGGAGCGGAAAGCTGGTCTTGATGCGTAGGGCGGCCGTGACATAGACTTGGGCGAGCGTGTCGGCTGGGAGGGTCTCGCCCGCGCATTCTGCAAGGTTGACAGCGCTCAGCGCCACGGTCACCGCCCAAGCGTGGCCCTCCTCCAGCTTGCCTGCACGCACACGGCACCACCAACTCATCCGGGTGCACGGGAGACGCGTGCCCATGCGAGGGTACGCAGTCAGCGCAAGCGCTTCCTCAATATTTCAACTCAAGCGCGAGTATTTGTCGTCAACCTGACACTCGGCACTTCTGGGTAAAGGGCTCCCCCAATTGTCTGCCATTCGTTCCTTTCCTTAGTTGCTTCTCCGAACTCTTCTACTTTGAAATCACAGCAAATTTGTGGCCAATTTTCAAAAGGACTTTAATTTGAGGTTCATGTTGCCACCACGCTGAAGGTTCTTTTATGTCCAGGAGAGGCTTAAATAGCATTTACGGATTAATATCCCAAAAGGTTTCAAATAGATGTGGTTCTTGGTGTTGGAAACTTTAAAAAGTTATTTCCGGTTCAGGATAAAGCCTTTTAATCATTCAATAATCTTGATACTGGCAACAGGGTCCCCTGGTTATTTCTTGTTCAGTTTATTCACTTTGTAGAACTCATTGCGGACGAATGCCTGAGCCAGCACGTCTGTATGTGGACTGAATAATTAACTTCTACTGCATGCACTACTCGATGTTTATCTCTGTACACGCTGCGCAATATACTCTATGAATTGCACAACAGGGTTGAAGGTCTTTACTTTCTATAGAACGTTTTTTGCAACCTAAACAGCCAGCATTGTGTAGGTCAAGGTCAAAGAATGGTTGTAAGTCCAAGGCCAGTAAACTTTGGGGATTTTTCCAACTACACTTCGCGTTGACGTCAGTGGCAGGGAGGCAGCACCGTACATAGCCAACCGTGCTAATCGGAGGTGCGAAAAACGAGCTCGCACACACCCGTCATGTGCAGCTGGTGCAGCTTGTGGTAGACGAGTGCGACGTCGCGCATGCCCTTGCACGCGTCGGCACGGGTCCCAGGGTCGGCGCGTAACGAGCCGGCACGGCAAGCCAGCCAGCGGCCCAGTCCCGCACGCTGCAGCAGGTGCCGCAGCAGGCCCCAGCCCAGGCTACACGCGAGATCGAGCGGCGAGGCCGGCAGTGGACGGCCCGCCGCTTTCAAGCTCACACGCAGGTTCTCGGCAGCCGCGACAAACTCCCCCTGCGGATGCAGAGAGAGAGCGCAGTTTTTTTCATTTTACGTTTCGCTTGACCCCCTCGCACGCGGATTATGACACTGGATGTTGTCTTATCGCTTGAATGTGAAGTTATTCAGTCGAAACGCCCCCGGCCAAATGCTTGAAAATATTTAGTATAATGTATTCACAATATTGTGATCACACTCATTGAAATGCATGCCAAGCTTCCATCAGCCGCCGCCATCTTGAAAACCACACTCTGCTTTACCCAGTGTTTCTGTAAAAGGAAGTATAATTTCCACCACGAGGTTGTCGCACTGAATAGATGATGTCCCAAGGCTGCATGCACAAAACATCAAGGCGTATGCACCACGACTGAAATGCTCACAAATCATAGCCATCCACTACATTGGGCAACATGCCTGATGGGTTAAGAAGATATGAAAAGTTTGTTTCCATTTCTGGGCGATAGTATGAATTATTTTAAGAGTTGCCATTTTCATTACAGTACAGGCGAAGCAACTTGGAAGTTTGGAATATAACAGGGCTAAGAAACAAAGATGTAATAAATCAAAAATAGAAGATGTGATGAATGAGACACGTGCAGGATTGAGGGCAGGTTACCAAGACAGCCATTGGTGTATCACCTATAACTTTGTCTCCAAGGGTAAGAACTAAAACTGTAAGCGTAGTCAGGAGCTGACGGCAGTGGCCGAGGGATCTAGCAGAAGGAAAAGATGGCAAGATGTGTTGGCATCAATGGCAATGACCATGACAGCTCAAAGCTGGCAGTCACTTGGTACAGATGGGTGCACGGGTTCACTGCTGTTAAATACTGTGAACTGACCCTGGCTAGGTCCATGTCGGCCTGTTTCCGATGCCTCCAGAAGAGCAGTGCGGCAGGCGAATGTGGCCGCATCACCGGTTCACCGTACACGAGAATCCGCGCCAGGACAGCCAGAGCCAGCACCCCATTCACCAGCCACAGCAGCAATGTTGGCATCAGCCAGTCCCACCAGCTCTCGGGCCCATCTGCAGTGACAAGCCAGTTGGGAATTGCTATCGGTAAAAAAAATGGTGGCATTTTGTCTGACCGACCATTAACAGCTCCAGATAACCTTACCACCGTTATCTTTAGCACTGCTTTTTTATATTGCAGGATAACACTACAGAAAATTGCCTTTTGCGACAGTAGATGGCAATGAGAATATTTTAACTAATGTAGAATAAAACATTTGCAATGTCGTGCCCATAAAACTGAAACTGAAAACCACTGACAGAGTTTTTTTAAAGTTGTATACAGAACTAGAACTACACAACACATTGTGATCACATTTTCAGTGCAGAAATGCTCAAGCGGCTGTGAGCTTGGAGAATGAGAGTCATTGGTTACATCCTAGATACTGTCCTGAATGAAGCGTTGGGTAGCTTTATGTTTGTGTGTGGGGTCGATGCTACCGTTGAATGAGAGAATGCTGCGGCCTGGGTAGTGCATCTGGTTGGACACCAGCCCTGTGGCACGGAGCAGGAATCCGAGTGGGTTGACAGAGAGGCACAGGAACAGGAAGCCACAGAGTAGCACGCGGGAGCGGTCCACCATGGTCAGCCCGCCGGGCGAGCCTGGCTCCTCCTTGATCTGCAGCTGTGGTCAGGTTAACGGCATTTGGTAAATAACCAGTTTCAATACGAACATGGGAAGACCATTATTGTAGACGTAATGAATGCCGAGAATGTAATCACTCGAGATGTGTCAAATCTCATCAGATCTCAGAATCTTAGCAGGTTTGAGCCTGGACAGTGGACTAATGTGTGACAAACACGCATAAAACAGGTGTTGTGGGCTGCAGTGCAGCAAAATCCACTGTTTTTCTCTGCTCTTCAATCTGCCTTTAACCTCTTAACCGGTGTGGTGAAGTATGGTCAAATAACCCCCACAAACACCATGGCGCGCAAAGGCCCTCGTACTCCTAATTGTTCCCCCCTCTCGTGCACAATCCCATTTCCGCTCCTTTTCCCTACTTGCCCCCTTGCACTGGAACAAACTTCCCCTCCACATTAAGCAAGCACCCTCCCTGTTTAGTTTCCGCTCCTCCCTCAAGACCCACCTCTTCTCCCTGGCGCATCCTTCCCTCCATCCCTAGGTACCCCCGTAATTCCTGTACCCACTAAACCTCCCTCCCCATACCCCATCCATATTCACCGTATCACTTTTAGCTACCCTCATTTTACCACTTATAACCCTTGTAAAGAGACTTGGATAAAGGCGCTATATACAAACTTGTCTTGAAGCTTTCGTGACTGCAGCTAGAAAACGAGCTGGATGTCTAACCAGCTGGATGTCTCACTAGCACAGCCACTGTTGCATTGGTTCGTTTACATTGACATGCTAATCTCTCACAATACAATGGCCACCTCCTCAGCTCTCGCAGCTCTTGCTTAGGCACAATCTCTAGCCCCCGCCCTCTTACCCAATGGGGAAACCCCCCTCCCCCCATATGCTCTTTGGCATCAACTCAACTCGCCGTGTTTGGAGGAGGAGGAATGCTGCCTATGACCCCAAGAACACCATCCCCACCATCAAACATGGAGGTGGAAACATTATGCTTTGGGGGCGTTTTTCTGCTAAGGGGACAGGACAACTTCACCGCATCAAAGGGACGATGGATGGGGCCATGTACCGTTAAATCTTGGGTGAGAACCTCCTTCCCTCAGCCAGGGCATTGAAAATGGGTCGTGGATGGGTATCCCAGCATGAAAATGACCCAAAACACACGGTCAAGGCAACAAAGGAGTGGCTCAAGAAGAAGCACATTAAGGTCCTGGAGTGGCCTAGCCAGTCTCCAGACTTTAATCCCATAGAAAATCTGTGGAGGGAGCTAAAGGTTCGAGTTGCCAAACGTCAGCCTCGAAACCTTAATGACTTGGAGATGATCTGCAAAGAGGAGTGGGACAAAATCCCTCCTGAGATGTGTGCAAATCTGGTGGCCAACTACAAGAAACGTCTGACCTCTGTGATTGCCAACAAGGGTTTTGCCACCAAGTACTAAGTCATGTTTTGCAGAGGGGTCAAATACTTATTTCCCTCATTAAAATGCAAATCAATTTATAACATTTTTGACATGCGTTTTTCTGGATTTTTTTGTTGTTATTCTGTCTCTCACCGTTCAAATAAACCTACCATGAAAATTATAGACTGATCATTTCTTTGTCAGTGGGCAAACGTACAAAATCAGCGGGGGATCAAATACTTTTTTCCCTCACTGTACATATAACTTTAGATTGAGAAAAGGACTGAACATGTACACAACGCATGTAAAATAAAACAGAATGTACACGTTTAAGGTGCCAAAGATCGATTCCTATCACATGCGAAAACGTACGTTATGTAACCTGTCCTCAAGTCTAAAACATTCCATGATAGCAAATGACCATGAAAAATGTTAAGACAGGGCTCGGGTATTAAAAAAATAGAACTTAAAAAACAAATCTCCCCATCACTACAGCATGCCACTGTAGCGCTGGACTGCACTTTTAATACTTTTCTCATAAATGAAGTTTCAAACTATCGTTTGGAAACCCCCGGAACACACACACAACCCGAGTGTGTATGTAAGAGATTTTTTTTGGTTGTGCTTTTCTTTAACTAAACGATGGGTAATCCCCGCTCGAAAAATCCAAACCACGGCGTTGCAGGGCTGCAGTGTCCATACCTTGCTGTCGTCGTAGTAGGGGCTGTCTGGCTCCGAGTCACTCGAAAAGGGACTGTTGCTGCGGTTGGGAGAGCTTCCGGCGTCCGAGTTGGGTGGTGTGGGCAGCCCCAGGGGCTCCGCTTTGAGATCGCTGCTCAGGGGCGTCCCCTCCAGGGTGTCCATGGGAGTTATTCCCACATCCACCAGCTCCTTCAGGGTGTCTGCAGGTACCGGGTTTACAACATTTGTGTAAACTGCTACGTGCAGCAGTAACCTGGCCAGAGCGTGGTGGTTTACGCACACTGTGGCACGATTAACTGGGTGCCATGAGTTCGATTTCTCAGCATGGCTGAAAACAGTAGTGAGTTCGGGACTGGCTATGGGTCCCCTACACCCTCCTTTACCAACCCGCAATGACTGGCATGTTGAAGTATGGTAAATTAACCCCATTTAATTAAAAAGGTGCGGACAGGCATTCGTATATGAGTGGAATGACAAAGGGTCGTACAATATCATATAGCCATAAACAGACCAAGGAGGTGTGTAAATGGAAATGTCGTGGCTGCATGTGTTGGTGCTCCAGCCGTGTGCAGTCCTCGGCCAATCTTTTAAAAAGCTTAAATAAATGTATTTACAGATTTAGCTTACTCTGAATATTTGACAAGGCCAAGTTCGGAAATTATGGTAGCATGTTTTACCCTCTTAAGTTGCTATACAAAATAAAAAAAAATGCTAGAGGCCAATTATAGAGGGTGAATAACGATCAAAACTATGAAAAGCAAGCCGAACGCAAGAAAAATTAAGTGCATTTGGGAAACCAAACTTGACAATTAAAAACGGCGAACCATTGTTACTGTAGAAGCAAAGCTAGTGCATATAGATCTGAAACTCCAAATATGCAGGCATCAGGGTCAGGATCGAATCCACAAACTCCTGCAATCCATGCGAGAGAGATAACATCTCGCCACTGCGGAGCCTCTTTAGATCCAACTTTACGTTCCCCCCCCCCCTACCCCCGAGGACGCTAGTCAATCCTCATTCATTCATTCACATCGACAAAGCTGGGTTGGTAACTGGAAATTCAAACTGGTTTGCAGACAGGCAGGAGATCACAACTGCAATGAAGGCAAATGTGATTGGAGAGAAAACCTACGTCCTTTCTGCGCTGCCATCTTGAGGACAAGGTTCTCCTGCTTGAGCTTCTGGTTGGACTGCTGCAGGTAGCGGATGTACTCGATCGCCTTGCGGAGAACCGATGACTTGTTCAGCTGCCCCGCCAACAGTTGAAACAGCACAGAGCACACAAGGTAAAGCACTCGTGGTGCATGTGTCGCGTCTCGCGTTACTGTGATTCGTCATACGGTATAAAATCCACGATAATCCTCTCGCCCGTTTTCAAGACATCCTTTACATTGTGATTATTATTGCTCATTCAAATGTTTAGTTTTACTCACAAAACTTTCCTGAAATAATGAAATAAAATAATTATGTTATCAAAAAATATATATTCCGATTCAATTAAATGAGTAATTTTCGAAATATTTTCCAAAGTAATAGATTTTTGGTATGTTTTAGTTTGTGTTTTGTTTAGTTCCTTCCCCCGCACCTCCGATCAGTATGGTTGGCTATGTACTTGCATACATGACATCATTTCCACAAGTTATGTATGTATTTATTTCTAATGTAACTGAAAGCATGTGCATTATATATTGTCAAGTAAGTAATTATGGCAGGATTATGTTGAATGAACTGCAGTTGAATTATAATCTTTATTTCTACTGGAAGTACAGCAAAGCACAAAAACAATAAAAAAATAGTGAAATACAGGAAAAAGTTATGGCAAACCGATTCCGCTATAATTGATTTAAAAAAATTTGGTTTGATCGCGTAAATATAAATGTGCCGTAAACCCACCTCCAAACGACACAGCCAATTAGTAAGGTTTGTCACATAAAAAGAATGTACCAATTCGTTACTACTTGGCACGGTGTGTTTCGAGAACAAACCCACAACATTTACAATTTCAGTTGACGATGTTTTCCCTGGTGAAACTGTAATCACTTTGCTAATTGCCTGTGTCGGATGGAGGTATGTTTACAAAACATTAATATTTAGGCGATCTAACCCAAAAAACGTTATTATGAATATTGGTTGCGAAAGCCAATGTGTTAAATTGTATCGTGGCAATATTGTTCACAATGCACCCTCTCCACACACCCCCCAGCTCACCGAGATAGTTACCTTGCCCTCGCTGCCGGCGATCATGTCCTTCAGCTCGACGATCTTGTCATTGATGGAGGAGCGGTAGCGCTTCTCGATGGCGTTGTGCGCCGTGCGCTTCTCCCCCTTGTTGGGCAGCCCCATGGGCTTGCTGCTCGCCGACAGGCGGTTGATCGGCAGCTTGTCCGCATCCACCACCATGGGCATCGTGGTCAGGATCGCGTTTCCACTCATCAGCGTCTAAAAAGTGTCACAGTGAAATATAAAAAATGTAGGTCGTGAGCAATGTGAAGTGTACCAATAGGCATTTTAAACATAGTGAACTGATGATTATCTGAGGTAATGGGGGAGGGGCAGGCTGCATAGCTTTTGCTAACCTACCTAAAATGGGGTGAAGCTGTCTGTTTCAGTGTCACCGAGTTATACGTGAGCAGTAGCGAAGAATTACAATTTTCTATTTCAAATCCTTATAAGCACAGTTAATGCTCAACTCGGTTTATCTGTCCACAAATAATTAAGCATAACTATCCAATATATATAAATATACACGAGCAATTAAATGAGCTCATGGGTGACACATTTTGCATTATATCCTCGTCTTGATTGACTTGGCCCATTATTCCTCCTAGGTCGACAAACACCGCGAGTTAAAATGATGGTTGACATGTGCCAGGACTGGTCTCGGATATTGAAACAAAGGTACGATTTTACACCACTGACTAAAAAACAAGATTGAAAATTACTACCTCCCATCCCAACAGGAACAAAAATTCAGCTCTAACTTTATTTGTTAAAGAACAAAACCAATAATAATAAGTCCTCACTTTTTCCACAACGCAGAACGTGCCCATTGTAACGCACACTGTTATTACATGGAATGTGGCCTGTTATAATACGGTTTCTGAGCGGTCGACGACAAATTACTCTTTTTAACTGTGCGGCTAAGCGGTTCATTAAAGCACGCGGAATTTGACAGTAACGTGGCGGCGTACCCTCAGTTATTTGTCCCATCATCTTACTGTGTGTGTGTACATCATATCTCGCCAAACTTTATCGTTACTTTATTTATGGCGAAATTGTTTTCACGTAACGCAGCACTTTTCAGGAACACATTTCCCGCATTAAACGAGGACTTCCTGGACAAATGTCTACGTTAACACCAACACAAAAACGTCATAAATAATAGCCTTTATTGAAGACTCTAGTTTGCGAGTAGAGACACACAGTGGTGTCTGTAACAGCAGCGAGTCTGTGTATGAATGCAGGGGGCACCTGAATAGGTGTGGCGTGCGCTGTTGCGCTGCCGCCACTGCCAGGACCCTTTGGGGTGCCCACCACCGTACCAGGGTCTGCCTTGAGCGTCGTCAGTAGAACAGAGTCCGCTTTGATGATCTGGGGCTGCAGTAACACCTGTGGAAACATAGTAAAAGAGGACACCTGCGGACAGCAAATCAACAGCTGAACTTTCAAGTAATACATAATGTGGTGAAGCGACACTGCGAGTCCACAAAGAACATTTTAAGACTCTTGAATATGAGCGTAATGTCTTACTTCACGTGTTAAATGTGGCGTTGCAGACGCTACTGAAAGATTAATTCTGACATTAGTGGTTGGGTTATCCCACCTGCTGCACCTGTGGAGACATGCTGACAGCATTGACAGCCAGACGCTGCACTTGCTGCATGTTGTGGACCTGCTGCATGTTGTGGACCTGCTGCACTTGCTGTGGGGATACCATCACCGACATCGCTTGGGGTGCCATCGTCACCTGCTGCATCTGCGAACACGAGATTTGACATCTCCACTAATGAAAAGGATAAAAACGAGACTTGGCTTGACAAAGGGTAACTCTCACCGACATCAAATACACACTTCGAGTTCCTTGGTGTATTCAACAGCAGTGTGTAAAAATAAAGAATTAGGAGAATCACTGCCTTCGAAATGAAAGCCAGAAAAATCTTTACATTTCACAAAGAAGTCCTGGAAACAAGAGAGACAAAGAAGCAAGGCTATGTCAGCCCAAGTACAGTAAGTCCTCGCTTAACATGTGGTGTGCACACAACGCGTTTTCGCTGTACCGAAACGGGGTTCATCCATTCGAGAAAACTTTTCACACAACGCGAAATGCGCCCGTTATAATGTGGAGCATGCCATGTTACAATGTTGAACGCTCCCGTATTAACGTGGAACGCGCCCAGTTGTAACGCGGTTTCTGAGCGGTCGACGACAAACTACTTGAGCTGTGCGGCTGAGCAGTATGATACAGTACGCGTAATGATACAGAAGCGTGGCACAGTGTACCCTCGGTTATTTGTTCCGCCATCTCACTGTGTGCGTGCATCGCAACTACCACGTTAAATGAGGACTTGTTGCACAGGAAACTGCAGCATTTCAGACACGTGATCAGGATAACAACATACTAGAAAACTAATACAAATATACCTCATTTAGTCCTGCAAGCCAAGCTCCATGTCCATAAAACTCTGAATATCTCGTAAATATAATTAAAGATATTAAGCTTAATGCTAATGATATTCTCGTAAGTTTTTATGTGACCTCTCTGTTCACAAGGGTTCTGGTCAACGAATCAATTAAATTACTCCACACTCTGGTAACGAACAACGGTTTAATTCTAAAACAACGGTTTAGCCAAAAATATCCCAAGACGACCTGAACACTGTCCAAAGAACACCTACTTCTTGTGGCAAGGTCACTTCTATAAACAAAAGGAAGGAGCAGCAATGGGCTCTCCTTTGTCTCCTGTGATAGCGAATTTGTACATGGAAAATTTTGAAACAAAAGCAATAGCTTCAAGCACACTAAAACCATCTGCTTGGTTTAGATTTGTGGATGACACATTGGTGGTCTGGCCACATGGCAAAGATACACAGATTTGGCACGGTACATAAAATACAGAATTTAATATCTGGTACAAAAGATGTATTACCGAAGCTATCAAGAGAAGAAGGTGTGTACAGGATTAACTGCACGTGTGGTAAATGTTATGTTGGGCAAACAGGACAAATGATCAGCATGAGACGAAAAGAACATCAGAGAAATATTAAATTATCCCAAATGCAACTGTCAGCAGCAGCAGAACACGCGTGCCAACAAGGACACTTAATTTTGATGTTGAAGTTTTGTGCAAAACTAGCTACTACTGGCCAAGACTAATTAGATAATCTATCGAAATTTAAAGAAATCAAAATAACTTTAACCGTTCGGATAGCTGCCGTCTTAGTGGTGCGTAGAAGCGAATCCTCCAATAATACATTATTTAAATGCATGCCTACAAAGGGCAGCGTACTTCAATAGGGATTACCGTTGGTAGGGATATTTTAATAAACACAAGAGACAGGAAGGACAAGTTCAAAGGGCTTGCATAATGCACATACATAATGTACGTTGCCTCAGTAACCCCCCCCCCACATTGTGCAAGAGCGCAATACATCTGCGCCTCTATATAAGGAATGAAACAGTAAGACTTCTCCACAAATCTGGCTGTCGCCTGATGAAGCTAGTTGTAATTACTGGCGAAACGTCGTACTCAAGTTTGTAAATGTTGTGGCTTGGCTCTCCAACACACCGGTGTGCTGTACTAGTGACGAATTGGCATGTTCTGTTTAAGTGACAACCCTTACTAGTTTGCTGTGTCGGGGGGTGGCGGGTTTGAACGACACATTTAGATATTTACGCGATCTAACCCAAAAACTCCACAACATTTACAATCTGAGTACGACGTTTCACCAATAACTACAACTAGCATCATCATCAAAAATCCCCCTCTACTATGGATGAAATCGGTCGCAAAAGCCTATGTGTTAAACAAGCTCGATATGTTGATGAGCTCAAGTCAACAATAACCTGTTGGACAGCATTGGTCACATCACCACCATTACCCATAATTAATTGATGGATGAATGCCTCCCCAAGCTGTTACCATCTCTCATGGCCCTCATGTAAAAATTCACCTAGCACCTGCACACACGGGCTGATCTTATCGCTGTCTTTGTGGCAGAGGTCCCTTGGGACGTGCATGTTCTCTCATTCGGCTGCCACTTGTCAATTATCATCCGTTCTGGCAACGTGTCCTGTCCAATCCCAGTTAGTTTCCTTAACAGTCCAAAATGTGTCATCCATGTGTTCTTATCTTTGCCTCATTGAAATCCCAAGCATGCATTAGTCAAGGTACAGATAAAATTAATTCTCCGGAAGATCAAACAGCTCACCTGCGGCGCGATGGTCTGGTGCATGTGCGGCGAGACGGTCAGCTGCTGCACATGCGGCGCCATTGTCACGTGCTGTGGTGTCATGGTCAGGTGGTGCGGGGTCATGGTGACCTGGTGTGGGGTCATGGTGAACTGCTGCGGAGTCATTGCGACCTGGTGTGGGGTCACGGTGAGGTGCTGTGGGGTCATGGTGACCTGCTGCGGGGTCATGGTGAGGTGTTGGGGCGTCATAGTGACGTGCTGCACATGAGGTGAGATGCCGGTGGGGCTAGCGGAAGTGGTGAGGAACTGGTGAGTGGGCGTGACGCTGTGTAGGTGGTGCTGAAGGGTGACGGGCTGGAGGGAGGGCGTGCTCACGACCGTCTGTATCTGCTGCTGCGCTGGTACAGCTGCGGCACAGCACAGGCAATCGGGCGAGAAATGTGCAGGCGTCATGCTTGAAAAATAGCAAACAAATAAAGACCCCGTGCAGCCTTAACATACTGCTGGGGCTAATGTTGTCAACGAGCACCTATGCACCTACGAAGGTTGGCATGGCACACAAGGAGACAGTGAGGCCAGTACCACGACCAGATTTGTCTCCCCAATGTTGATGTTTATATACAGTGCAATAGGTACTCATTCATGGCTGAGTCGAACTAGGGGAGGCCCAAGACAAGTTCAGATAATTTTCAGATCTTAACTGTGGCCAGGAATCAAGCTCGAGACGCTGAGTTCGAAGCCCAGTGTGCGCATCACTATGCTACCAGCAATAGTGTGCACACACAAATGTAAACGACATCAATGCAGTATTTTTAAAAGGCAGTGATTTTTACGTGATTTTTTTTCTTGGTGCAAGTTCATAGAACGTCAACAAATGAGAGTAACGTACAAATAAACTATACTATAAGGATATGGGTTTGTTTTAAATGTTTAAAAAATAACTATAAGTTCACTGACATTACCTGTAAGCGTGCCTTGCGGGGAGTAGTTGAGTAAGGTGGGCTGCGTGATGTGCACTTGCGTGGGGCTGGCCGCGAAGCTCTGTGTCATAACCACCGCTTGCTGCTGCCTCTGCTGAGTGGCCTGAGGCAGCTGGGATATGATCTGGGTCTGGGGGTACCGAGCAACACACACTCTGCACGTGAGTTGTGGACTACATATTTTCAAACCATTTTGGAACGTATGAATTTTGTTTCTGTTATAATTCCTGCAGGTCAGTCGCAATTATTTAAATAAATATAGCAAATGTGTAATAGCAGTTATTGGAATAATACAAAGATCTCCCGTAGAGCCTTGATAGACTGTTGGGGCAAGTGCTGTTAGCGAGCACCGATGAAGGCTGGCACAGTTAGCGAGCACCGATGAAGGCTGGCACAGCACACGTGGGGGGTGGGTGGCAGCACCACGCCTGGCTGCCCTTTTCTCCATAGTGGCGATGTTTACACACCGCACCAGGTACTCATTTAAGGCTGAGTCGACCTAGGGGAGCCCAAGGACCAGTTCAGATAACCGTCACTGATGTTGGCCGCAAGCAGAAATCGAATTCGGGTCGCTAGGTTCGTAGCAGTGCGCTAACCGCTACACTATCGCTCCCCAAAACGATACAGGGCTGCTTGTAGTCGATGCCAGCTTATGGCATTCACATGTGCACTGAAAAGCAGCCCCACTTGAGTCAATACCCTGCCTGAGTAGGCGGTCATGGTGTAAAATGACCCGAGTAGCTCGTGATGGGAGGTGGCTTGCCTGGGTGTTGGTAAGCTGCAGCTGCTTATGTGAAGTGGGAGCCGTGTGTGTAGAAGCAGGTGAAGGCTGCACCACTCCCGTGGGCTGTGCTTGCTGGGTGCTGTGGTGATGCAATCCCACTGGTTGCTGCTGGGCTTGGCGGGCCATGGGCTGTGAGAAGGTGCTCTCCATGGTCAAGCGGGGCTGCACGGAGCCTTTAGTATCCGAGCCACCATTTGTGGATAATTGTCCATCAAACAGCCCAGGGAAGTCACCATCCTGGGTGTTGATGTATTGCAGCATCTCTGCATCAGTAGAAAACATGGGAAGACATGGATCAGACCAATGTAGTGCACTTTAAATAATGCGATTTTAGAATACTGTACCATGCTCTTCAAACGAACAGCAGTCAATACAGTGGGTCCTGCAACTATGAATGCTAACACTGACCATATGTTCAGATAAGTATTACAATGCATGTAATGTGATTACACATGTACTGAGTAAGATAGGCCAACAGTCCAAAGAACATAGACTCGTGGATAGTTGAACAGTCATACAATATGATTGGTGGGCAAGTGGACGATCTGAGACAGATTCAGCAGATAGTTGAACATGCCAGACTGGCTGAAAAAGTTACGGATAAACTTAAGTCACACAAGCCAACAAATGGACAACCGCACAGAAAATAAAAATGTAGACAATTATCAGTGGAAGTTGTACTGTCCTTATGGGCACAGTTAGACACTCTTTCAGGTTAACTAAGATTAAGTTCAGGTAATCTAGCAGGCGAATAACTGACAAGCAGCAATAATGTCTCGCAGTCCACCTGCCTCTATTCCCAAAACACAATACATCGACAGGCGGGCAATGTGACAAGACACGCTTGTCACGAGCCACTAACAACAGAAGGGCAGTGACAAACTAAGAGGTGGTCAACCTTACAGTTGTGAGGATAAATGCACAACCTGATAGGTGGAGATTGACAGCCATATTTACACACACTGACAAGCGGATATGGATTCTAATCAAAATACGGAGAGGCAATTTAGGTAGGAAGATATTACGACAAATGAAAGGTCATGTGGACATTTATGGCAGGTGTACAGTCCCATGTGGATAAACGGACAGCTGAGAGCGAGGAGGGTTGACACCAAGTGGCGGACACTTTCATATTTATATCGCGTGAGGTGGACAGCGAACATAGACCGTAGCTGGCATTCTAAGGCTGACACTGCAACAGTTACGGCCACTATAATGGCTCCCACACTAACAATATAAGTTTTTGACATTGACAAAGTGACTAAGTTTGCCACACTAACAGGCAATGTAAGTCCAACATTGGCACGCACTGACAGTGTAAAAGTCTGACACTGACTGAGAAACGCCGTGACACGCGAACAGTATGACTGACGGCGACACACTGTGACGGTGACACTGACGACACACGATGACAGTGACACGGTGACACTGACGACATACGGTGACACGATGACATGGTGACAGTGACACGGTGACACTGACGACACACGGTGACACGATGACGGTGACACGATGACAGTGACACGGTGACACTGACGACACACAGTGAGAGTGACACACGGTGACACTGACGACACACGATGACAGTGACACGGTGACACTGACGACATACGGTGAGAGTGACACACGGTGACACGATGACGGTGACATGGTGACAGTGACACGGTGACACTGACGACACACGGTGAGAGTGACACACGGTGACACTGACGACACACGATGACAGTGACACGGTGACACTGACGACACACGGTGAGTGACACACGGTGAGTGACACACGGTGACACGATGACGGTGACATGGTGACAGTGACACGGTGACACTGACGACACACGGTGAGAGTGACACGCGGTGACACCGACGACACACGGTGACACAATGACAGTGACAACACCGCAAACCCGTGACAGGCAGACACGCTGGGACAGACGGCCACACACACGGCGAGCCCGACAGCCAGTGACCACCACCACCAAGCCGCCTCTCGCGAGTCTATCCCCGAGTTGGCCGCCGCGCACCGTCGATTTCGCTGAGCAGGACGTTGTCGAACTCATTCGACGAAGCGAGGCTCGGGTCCAGACTGTCCAACCCGTGCTCCTCGAACGCCATGGCCACCGCGGGAGGCTGCGCCTCCATGCCCGCACTTGGGGCGGCGGCGGCAGACGACGACGGCAGAGAAGTCTGCAGCAAGCGGAGGAGCCGGGAGAAGCGCGAGGCTCAGGCGGGGGACTCCTGCACGCCCGCGGCCATGTTGTCGGGAGGGGTCGGGGGGGTGAGGAGGGTGACGCCGGAAATGACGCGAAAGTCGTAGAGGTGGTGCCACTCGCGCCGCGGCCAATCAGCACGCAGCCCGCGGTGGGCTGATTTGACGTCACGGCTCGGTTTCTTGGGTTCCGTTCGATATGACTGAGGGGGGTGGGAAGATTGGGCGCGCGTGCCCGTTGCCAGGTCAGAGGTTTTTTACCTTGGGTTTATTTACAAATACGACATTGCAACATACTTTGCATGTTAAATCTTAACTTAAAGCTTTCGTGACTGCAGGAATTCATATTCTTTGGATATTTCGGGAAAGCCACGTAGATAGGTTCAAGAAAATAACAAGCGGTCGTCATCAGGAAAAGGGGGGTTAGCTTCTAAAGACAACTTTATAAGTATTCTTTGGGTCTTTCGGTAAAGCCACGTAGATAGAATAAAAATAGTGATATTTTTAGTGATATTTTTATTCCATCTACGTGGCTTTACCGAAAGACCCAAAGAATATGAATTCATGCAGTCACGAAATCTTCCAATCAAGATTTAACTGTTTATATTCTTAGCTCTTTCGGTAAAGTCACGTTGAAGGGAAACAATAAAATAATAAAATATATAAAACGAAATCTTCCAATCAAGACTTAACTGTTTATTAGGTTTGAAATGGGCGTAGCCCAAATGTCAGCAGCCAATGTTAATGTAAGTGGTGAGCAGCGACTGGTGGGTTTTCCACCAATCAAAGGGCTGCCAGGTAAAAATTAGCATGTTAATGTATCCTCCACAGCGAGCGTGCCAAGGTGGCTATGTTAATGTGAGAGATTAAAATGTAATGTGAGAGATTAACATGTTAATGGGGGATATTAGCATGTTGATGGGAGCGAGTAGTATGTTAATGGGAGAGAGTAACATGTTAATGGGAGAGAGTAGCATGTTATTGGGAGAGATTGGCATGGGAGAGATTAGAATGTTAATGTTATAGATTAGCATGTTAATGGGATATCACCGATCAGAAACCTCGAGGATGGCGCGCAAAGTAGCTGTGTTAGCGTGAGAAATTTTATCTGTTAATGTAAAAAAAATCAGAGAGCCGAAAATAACAACTAACATCAGAAGGTGGTAGGATGGGAACATCACAGCCAGTTATGACTTAAAGTGGTTAATAACGTCCTTCCAATGATTGCTCAGTTTGTTACCATCTTCTCGGTTGAAATTTTGTCTGTCTATATATATGGATGGCTTCATGAACTATTCTTTTTTGATAGCCAGTGGGTTTGCAAAGTACCTTCGTCTTAGAGAAATCAATTTCGTGTGAGCCCAACGTATTAAAACAATGATCAGCCACGGCCGAGATATTGGTCCTACCGTGTTTCAGATCTGCCTTATATTCACGAACACGGTCCGAGACATGTTGCTTAGTTTCCCCATTGTAACTACTGCCGCAGACACAACTTAGTTTGTAGACGCCGAGGTATTGCATGTCAAGGATCACATCCTTCACAGATGGGATCAGATCACGATTTGTATGTACTGTGTTAAATCGAACCTGTATCTTGTGTTTGTTCATGATTTTGGAAATCTTTTTGGTGACCCCTGCTATGTATGGCAAGGTGATGGTTTTGATTGGGTCCTCAGATGGGTTTTTTTCCAACGGTTGGGGTGATAGCTTCATGGATTGTGTAGTCTGAATATCCATTCATCTTGAGAGTTTGGTGTACATGTTCCAGTTTACTGGCTAGGTGATGATGGTCGGAAATACATCGAGCTCTATGGTGAAGAGTTTTGATGAGGGAATTCTTCTGGGATGGATGGTGGTGGGAGTCAGGTTTTAGGTAGGCATCCTTGTGGGTAGCTTTCCTGTAGACAGAGTATCCCATTGAGCCATCTGGTCTCTTTTCGATTAAAACATCCAAGAATGGTAACTTGCCATCATTCCACCTCCATGTGAAATTTGATGGCTGGGTGTATGGAATTGCTGTGGTTGAGGAATTGGTTCAGAGCTGGTCGGCCATGTGGCCAGATGACGAACGTGTCACCTACATACCTCTTCCACAAGGACGGACGTAGAGTGGATGCCTGGATGGCATCTATCTCAAATTTTTCCATGTAAACATTGGCTACAACTGGAGATAAGGGAGAACCCATTGGGGTACCTTCAACTTGTTTGTAGAAAGTTCCATTCCAGGTGAAGTAAGTGTTGGTTAGGCAGTGTCTTACCAGGGCCGGTACATCAGCATTCAATCCTTGTTGGACCAAATATTCAATGATTGCAATGGTGTCAGGCACAGAAACTTTTGTAAACAGAGACCACATCGAAACTAATGAGCAAATCACCTGAAGATAGTGAGATGTCCTTCATTAACGATACCAAGTGAGCTGAGTTAAGTACAGCTGAGGTGGTCTTACCAGTGAATGGTTGTAAGGTATCAGACAAAAAATCGGGCCAGTTTGTAGGTGGGTGATTAAATGGTGGAGATGATAGGAGGAAGGGGCGTACCTTCTTTATGGATTTTTGGTAAGCCATACAATCTGGGTGGTCTAGCAGCAGAGGGTTTTAAGGAAAAACCGCTTGATTGGTTCGATTAAAGATGTCAAATCATTGATGATATTGTTGTTTTTCATAACGAGGCGGTTGGTCGGATCTCTTTTAATTTTGGTATAGCTACCGTCATTAAGTAGGTCCTGAATTGTGTTATTGTATGTGGTTTTAACCATGATGACTGTGGCATTGCCCTTGTTGGCTGAGAGGATGACGATGTCATCTCTCTTTTTTAATTGGAAAGCTCAAAGCGCTCATCCTTACTGATGTTGCGAATTGGTGTCTAAGAGTTTTTGAGGATTGCAGCAATTTCCGATTTTGCCACATCTGCAGTAATGTGTCCCAAACCTTTAAGGGTTACGTCGACCTGGGCAATGATATCATCAACTGGGATTGTTTAGGGGTGACTGTGAAATTCAACGCTTTGGCTAGAACCGATATTAGGCTTTCGGAAATTGGACTGTTGCTCTGATTGATAACAATCTTGTCAATGTCTAACTTTTTGATGTGTGGATCTCCCTTCTTCTTGGAAAGGAGGCTGAACTTGGAAATGTATCTACGTGACTTTACCGAAAGACCCAAATAATACTTTTCATGTTATTTATTTATTCTAGTGACTTGCTTCACTTGTGTCTGTTATGCACTCCTATCGTTTGTGTATTGTTGTAACTTGCTGACCAACCTGCCGTGAATGGCCACATGTGATAAAAGAGCTTCATAGCTCATCGGATTCCTCCTCCTGCTGCAATCTAAATACAGATGCTGATCCTGAAGCGGTTTTTGTTTTATTCATAACCAGCATTACTACCCGGCTTCGCCCGAGACTTGGATTCTTGTCTTGGATTAATACATGGTCTACGCGGAGGGTGGTGGGGGGGGGTGCGTGACGTCAGCAGGCACACTGCGTGATGCTGCCGCATACGGGTGACATCACAGATGGGACGTCACCGCTCACTTGCCGAGCAAAATATATCCATTATTGCACCCCCCCCCCCCCCCCAAATTCAAAAGTATATTTTTAGACTTTTAGCATTGTGTACAGTCTGGAAGCCACCCACGTGTTTGTTGCATGTTGGGAAGTATGCTAAACATTTCGAACAGACACACATATTCACAAATTTCCCTTTCATATATATTTATTGTAATTTAATTTGTATTGGGATTGAGAGACGGTTTGCAACTTGGGGCGCCCCTTCGGCCATGGATTGATTGCGGCTGTTACTTAAGACAATCCAGATTGACTTACGAGGACGAACGTGTTGATTTATTTATGAATGTCGTTGTTTACGAATGTCTTACGTCAATCTGGATTGTCCAAGCTGGCGTTAAGGGAACAACTCTCACGCCGCCAATCATCAATGTCGCGCCACCCACTGGCCCCGCTCAGGCACTTCCCATCCTCCAACCGGGGAATTCCACTCCGGCCACCGTTTCGCAGTCGTCGTCAGCTGTGGCGGTGGCAGCGGTGAGCAAGCACAGCACAAGCACAGATAATAAAATCATGACAGGAATCAACACATTCGTCAGTGTCACTGCCTTCAAAAAGACACGTATCTAACAGCGAGGCGTATTTTATCCCAAGGCTCTTTACGTGCCATGAAGGGCCATTGTCCGAATCGTCGCATGTTAATCCTTTTAAGACGTTATTTACAAATGTCAGTTTTTCCAACTTGCGAGCTTATGAATGCTTGATGATTCAACCCCACGGTGATTCGATTCCTATCACGATGGAAGGTCGCCATTTAATGATACGTTTTAAATAATTGCTTTATGGTGAAAGTAGTGCCACCTAGTGATTTGATTTTTAAATGGCAGTACTGGCTCAAAATCCGTGCATCCTGTCCAGTCTTTAACTTTTTTATTTCGCTGAAAGGCCACTGTTTCTTCCTTCAAATCGTCAAACACCATCATCATCCTTATTATTCTGCGTTATGACCTCAACAAGCTGTATTGTGCCAGAATCGTTATTGAGACTGTAGGAGGAATCCGATGAGTTACGAAACTTTTTTTCACATGTCCAGTAGTATCACATACGTGCAGCAGTAGTTATGCAGTAAATTAAACACTGCAGGATATGTGGACGTATCTTTTGGGGCCTAGATAATTTGAAGCATGTAGATATTGCAATACAATAATCATACCACTTTTGAATGTCTAATGAAGGTTACAAATTAAAATACAAGAGCATTTTCATCTATATATAATTTCAATTTATTTGTTTGAAAACCAACACAGAATACAGTTATAGACTTGTTTTTACGAGCTTATTGCATGAACGTCAAACATTCAAGGTAAATATTACACCACTATGATATTTGCAGCTATGAGCTATGTAATCAACAGAACCTTGTTATGACCCCGTGTAGTCTATAAAAGCAAACGGCACAGATCACAATACGTGCAAGTCAGCCCAAAATTGCACCCTATTACTAGCTACCACCTCTGGTGTCAGAAATTAAATTTCCCCAATGAGAAATTCCTCATGGGCGCTCTCTCTTCTTTCAAACCCCAGAAGACTCTCCCAGAATCTGGCAGTGATGGTTCAGTTCAGCACTTTGAACCAGTGGCATAACTCGCTGGAGTCCTTGGGGCTACACTCGTCAAACAAATGCTAGTAGAGGGCCCATCGCTTGTGAGCTTCTAAGCGCAAAACTAAATGATGCACGGCCCGATCCTTCATTATTGAGGTTAGATTGCGAACTTGCTAACCCTACCGATGTGAGTGGTAGGCAGGGTTGATTCTTAAAACGATTTTATACCGCATCCATATTTTCAAAGCTAACCATTGCACTTTCCAAAAATTTGTAAAATGTTTGAATGAAATATTTTGGTTGAAAATTAGTAGACAGTAAAAGGGATTAAAACATTGGTAAGAGAACACTTGACTGTAATTGTCGTGGCTCTTGCGTATATGCTGCAATAATTACTCAGTTGGGGTACTATAAAGGCTATCGGCCAGAATTTCTGCCAAAGTTAACATCTATAAAACCTGAGTGTGCTCATGGGTATGATGATATCAGGAGGCTCATTTGGCACAGCACAAATGCTGTCCAGCTGCAGATACTCTTGTTTATACATTGTATGTATATTGAAACAAGTGCTTTAATACTCACAAAATAGAACCCAATATAGACAAAGGAGAAACAATGAGCATGTAGTTTTAAAACTCGCAATGCACTAACTAGGCATGTGACGATACATTGCTTGATTGATGAAAATCATTTGTTATCCTCATGATAATATGCATCAAATTGTCCGTATAGAGTTGACAAAATATATGATTTTTTGTTATTTTATTTTTTATCTACGTGACTTTACCCAATAGAACCAAAGAGTATGGATCCTAGCAGTCACGAAAGCTTTAAATCTAGAATATATGGAAGTATTTGTTCGAGTTAAAACTAGGCAAAGGGCAAGCAAAACTGTACAAACAGGACATAAAAAAAGACTACAAATGGGATGGGAAGAACAAGAAAAACACAAAATATCCTGAATCATGACAATTCGACGAAATTGCTCATGCAGTGAATCATTGCATGCCGAGAACAAACACATTCTTGCATTTAAAAGAGTGGGTGGCGGCACCAGTGGCGTAGTGAGGTTAACATTGGGCCCTGGCATAATAAATAAAAGGGGCCCCCTGTCCTATTTCCCTCCTGTTCGAGGCTTGACAACTGGGCCCATCTGCTCCGGGGATGCAGGTGCACCGCCTGCACACTCGATAGCTACGCAACTGGGGAGCACCGGGCTGTCATGTCACTTTGTGTCATGGCTGGGGGGGCTGCTGAATCCTGGCATCTCCGATGGGCAGCGTGGAGGATCCTGAGGGCCTGTCGCTCTTCACAGCTCGCGCACGCCGCCCCAGGAACCGCTCAAACTCTGCAATGCAAACGCTTGCCTTGTCAGTGTTGCTTCCGAGGCACCGCATTTTGATTGTTTCATACTTTACTGTCGTCTCCAGTTCTGGGAACTGCCACGGTGTGATGGTTAGCACACCGGCAATCCAGAGATCGCCAATTCGAATTTTCCTGGTGCCGCAGTTGAAGCTGTTGACAAGTTTTGTAAAACTCCAACCACCTATGTCCACCCAACAGTATAAATGGTTAAACCAGTCCATCGGCTGGTCATGTGCAGTGGGGTAAAGTGTGGGTATTCCCACCTCTTCCAAGATATCTGGCCACCATGGAACATAAGGCCATTGATTATCCTCTATATTGGCTTTAAAGCTCTCTCTCGTGGAAGGCCTTCAACTGACACTTAAATGAGCAAGCACCGATACTTTTGAAAATTATATTTATATTTTATCCTGTTTAATTGATTTGTAAACTAAACTAAAACTACTAAACATTTTTTTTTATTTTACCCAGTAAGGCCCACTGAGCTCTATAGCTCTTTTTCAAAAGTGACCTGGCCACAAATGATAGCCCAATGAAGCGCCCTATCATGTGGAAATTTATGACAGCCAAATGCTCTAAATACTCTATAAATGGATCACAAGACAAAGAATGTGCACGATTAAAAGTCAAAATATTGTAAAGTTTTGCCCAATCCTGTCCAGCTAACTCAAAAACTGAATAAACTAACCAACTAACGAGCCTGGAAATTATCTTGGCGGCCCACCTGCTGAAATGCCACATGCACCACATTGCTGTTGATGCATAGCTAAGCCCATGAGAGGCAGGGGCACAGCCACTGTGTGATGTCCAGATGCCCCCAAATTTTTAGGTTAAGAGACACCTACAGAATTTTGGACAAAAATAATGGAATTTTTAAATCTGCGTTTTCTCCCTTTCACAAGGTGTCATAAGTTCTGATTGTCGAGATGACGCAAGCTTTAAACACATAGACAGTAGTGCACAAACAGTGGGGCTCAGAACGGAGTTGTGTTGATTTAATAATCATAATGCAGGACTCTAGAACGCCTCTTATAGTTGCGGGCAAACTTTGGATCCTATCTGTACATTAATCAATAATCACTGGGAACTATTCACTAAGACCACACCCAACATTCCAACGTTTGGTTGCATTAAATTTCAACGTTTGGTTGCATTACATTTGATAGGTAAAGCTTTTTGCGTCCATTCACTTACCCTCAGTCGTATCACCTTCATCTTCGACATCTCCTTTCTGAAATGTCAAGAGGCATTCACTTTGTATTTTGCATAAATACTACACTGTACATTTGAATATCAAATAAGATGTGTTATATATTTTTAAAGGAAACTTAACTTTTAGTGAGTTTTTATATATTCGGAGAAAATAATTGCCACTCAAAAATCTTTCAGTTGATTTCTAAGAAGGTGTTTTTGCTTGAATTAATTATATTTTCTTGGGTAAATAAGTATTGGAAAATCAATATTATTAAATGGTATACATGTATTTAATTGTACCTTTTGTAGAGATGCATTCTGAATGCAATACATGACAAACAGGATATACACTATATTTTGTATTAATGTAAGTGCTTTGTTTTTCCAATTTGCAATTGGAACTCCTGCACGTTTTTATTGTTTCATAAAATTAACTTTTCCCCCAAATTTATTCTGACTTTGTGATCAGCATCATTTCACCAAAAGAAGATGTCTCACAGAGCAGCACAAGGGGTGCCGCGGTGGCGAGATGTTAACTACCTCACCTGGTATACAGGAGGTCGTGCATTCGATCCCGACCCTGACACCTCTCTATTTGGAATTTGCGTATCTCTCTCCCTGTGGTCGCATGGATTTTCTCCGTTTCCTCATATTTTTCTTTCCACATTTAGGAACATGCATTTAGAGTATTTGGCTACGATAAATTTCCACATGATAAGCCACTTCATTGGACTATCATTTGTGGCCAGGTCACTTCTGTAAAAGAGTTATATAGCTCAGCGAGCCTTACCTGGTGAAATACAAAAATTGTTTAGTAGTTATAGTTTTGTTTAAGTCCTTCGTGTTCGAAAACAGCCCAATGATGCGGATATCAGAGAGCTACTGCTGAGATCCCTTCAAGTGACCTCTGTTCCACATGGTATTGGGTAGCACTATTCCCACCTGCTGTGCCACTGTTTGTCATGACAGTCAAACTTAATTTTTTTATTCTCAGAGATGGAATTTAGCTAAATTTATTGCAGAGCCAAATTTGTTGCGATGGCATGTTTGTGCATTTGTTGGTGGCCGGACTGAGACGATCAACTCACTACAGTTGAGGACCCGATTTAATCACACGCGTTCTATGTGGCTGCTGTGTGCATTCTATTGGTATGTAAAGTTTTATCAGCATCAGGTGTGTGGGAATGAGACTACACATTTCTCACCACATCGGAGTTCAGCCACTTCTCAATGTCGTCCATAAAAGAGGGTTGTGCCAAAGGGATCTGAAAATCAAAAGAATATTAAACTGCAACAGCCTGAAGCCGTTGTATTAAAATAGCAATTACTTGCTTACACCACTACTCTACTGGCAGAAAACTTCCACTAGAGGGAGACATATAAAGTACCTCCAGAAAGTATTTGGCCTACTCTTCCAAGCTGGCCAGACTTCTTGGAAGAGATAGGGGTACCGACGATAAATAACAACTGCCATTCGCTACTAAGTGGCGGTGACGTCACCACGACGCTTGTGCCAGGCTATGTGCACATTGAGGCCACGTGAAGTGTCAAACGCCCGCTGGCAGGTCACGGGGCGGACCCAGGTGCCACGGGTCGACTGACTCAGATGACTGGCTGATGCACCACCTGTGCCCCCTACTGTGCCAGCTTGCTGTGCTTCAGCCACCCGGCGCTCTGCTCGTTGTTGGAAGCGTCGCTCCTCCGCCCTCCGTTGTTGTTGGAGGGTGACTGCCTCAAACTGCCCAGTAGCGTCCTTCACGAGCCTTCTCCACAGAGGCCGATCTTGACACCGCTGGTACCAGCCATCGGCAAGTCCACTCAGCTCCACGTCCTCCTGTACCACATCACTCCATCTCTTCTCTAGCTCATGCCACGCCCGTTTAGCCCTCTCGATCCGGCCGAACAAAAGCTGTTTAGGCATGCGGTGGCTGGGCATGCGGGCTACATGACCCAGCCAACGCAGCCTTGCCTGCCAGAGGAGCTCACCGATGGGACTTTGTCCAGATCTTTCAAGGATATATGAGCTCCTCACACAATCCAGCCTGCAGGTTAAACCACACTCACCCCACCATACGCGACTTTCCGATCGACTAACTGTGGTGCACCCATTTGTGCTGATGGCAGAGGTGGAGAGATTTAGGAAAGTTGCCCCGTTGTTTCAACTGCCACATTTGGAAATCGAATCGAACTAGCGACCTATGGATTGGAAGTCCAGTGTGCTCGCCATTACATAACGGCAGTAGACTAATTCTTAAACGTGTTAATTGAACAACAATCCGAATGGAAATGTGATTGTGCTGAAAGGTGATGGCTCACCATGTTCTGGCTGGCTAGCCAGATGTCTATGGGTTCCAAGTGCACAGGAGGAAGCCACTATTAATGCCACACGTGCAGCAGCATGCATTTGGTAGAGAGGGCCCAAAGATAGAGAAACAGAGACAGTAAAAAACAGAGACAGATGCAGGAGGGTAGATCAGTCATTGAGCACACAGCAGATCAAATTGGTAGAAATACATTTTAATGTTTGCTACCTTAACTCTGCGGCTAAATTGTACGTGATAATGAAAGAAATTTCTCAACAAATATTTTCCAGATTACTGGTCTAGGTGGCACATAGTTACCAGTAGCCACAGCGAGAGTATACTGGATGTGGTGTATCGGGTGCAGAAGCTGACCCATACAGACCCACCTGGAATGTTGCCATGTGTCCAAGTATAGAGTCGTGTGCAGTGATACTCCTATCAGTTGGTGATAAGGGCGAACCGATTTGTCGATTCTATTACCTGAATTATACATGGAAATTAATAACTCCTGTTTTCCATGCAGTTATCAGCGGCTAAATGAAAAATAGGATACATTTTCAGCTACATCCGATGAAAGATGCGGATAAAACGGAGCATTTGGCACTTCTGAGGAGGCCACTTGTTGGGGACTCATCTGGAATTGATAAAAGTTACCATACCGCCTCTACTTGATTACTGTGACATCGTGTATACATCAGCCCCAAGTACTGTACTGAAGAAGCTTGATTCGATCTATCACTCGGCCTTAAGATTTGCATTGAACTGCCCATATAGGACTCACCACTGTGATTTCTACATTGGGTCAAACTTAACATCTCTTAATGTTCGACGGCTTGTGCACCAAATCTTAGTTATTCACGATGTACTTACAAAAAAATCCGCAGACTACCTGCTGGATCTCCTCTCTGTTTCAAAGAACAAATTTGATCTCAGGTCTTCGCTCATTTACCAGCTTCACATTCCCTATTGCCGTACAAAAACTGGAGGAAGGGCCTTTGCTATTGATGCCCCCAGGGTCTGGAATGCTATTGCCAATAAACTGAAACTTTAATCGCTACCAACGAGATCTCTCAAAACTGCTCTAGAGGAGTTGTACACCCCTAGCTGCCACTGCTATTCATTGGCGTAAAATACAATAAAATGTTTTCGCTCCGGATGACGCTGCAAAGTATTATCTGTATTTTGATTTAGCGTGCTGATCTTAAAGGTGCATTGAAACATTTGATACTCCGACTGATGCTTCTGTTGTTATGGAGTAACTCATGCAGCCAGCTATGGCTCTAGGATTCGGTGTTACATGTTATTTATGTAGTTTATTGTAAAAAATTCGGTCACAGTCCCTATGATCACTGTTACGTTGCAATTATGGCTTTATTGTTTGGTGATTTCGAAAACGTTTTTTGGCTTGGACTTGTGTGTTTTATTGTAGTACGGAGTTAGACTGATGGCCTTAATCTAAGTTTTCTTGTGGTTGTTGTTGTTGTTTGACTTGCATCCCACTGGGATTTTTTGCACACAGCGTTGGTGTACGGTGCTTTTTTTTCAGGAATATTTTTGCTGTTTTTTTCATGGATTTTCTGTTTGCACAGTCACATAGTCACTTTAAGATGTTTTCTTGTTCGTGTTTTTGTTTTTTTGTTTGTTGTGGTTGCACCCGATTCAAGAGCCGAATAGCTCACAGGGCTATACCAAAATAAAGAAACTGAAACTGCTGATAAAGGCAGTTAACAGAAGGAATTTTCCACCACTTCGGGATGGGTTCTCATATTCTTAGAAATACATAGATCATAGGAAGAATCTGTTCATAGGTAACAGATACGTCCACAGATTTACGCGGGGTACAGATAATAGAAAATATGGTGTCAGATAAAAGGTCCACTATAAAAAATGTGATCATCATTAGATATTTAAATAACTTGTAAAACAAATCATGTATTATACCGTCATAAACATTACACAGGGTTACAATTGGGAGACGTAGAGAAGCAGTTGAATTTCTGAAGACATTCGATTGAAAATGATGTACCAAGATTTATTTGGCAAGGATAAAGGTGACTTTTAATGTGATTGTGCATGTTTGGTTACAACTGAAATTCATTCGGATCTTGAGTTCTCACCTGGCTAAAGAATCATCTTGAAAGGTCTTTGTACCAAAAACACGCTTAAACCATTGACACGGTCAGCCCTTTGAGTTTATAAAAAAAAACATTCTTAAACCTTATTTGGCTGTTCTCAAACCCACACATGCACACATCTATGTCACCACAGCTCCGATGCAGCAGGCATGTTGCTGAATTGCAGAGGTCTTGCGAAAGCGGGTTGTTTTTTAGCAAGCAGATGCAGGACATAGAGTACTGGACAGCAACAACAGATGTGTTTCAAATTAATTCGCATCGGAGCCGATCGGAGAGCACAAGACGGTGTCGTGCCAAAACATTTCCACTAACCAAGAATCCTTCAATGTCCACAATATCCCTCTCTCACTCCCTCTCCTGCTATTAATCACCCACCCTGCTGAGCCCATCCCCCACCCCGTCCAGTCCCAGATGCATCCTATCCATCAACTCAGAGCCGCTCCCCATGCTCTGTCTCACGTAGTCGCTGTTTTCAAGGTGTCGGATATCAGTGAGCGGACCAAATGTCTCGAGTCGTCGCTGGGTCAACACTGATAGAGATGGCACTTGCACAAACTCGTGTTGCATTTGTAGAATTGTTTTTCTAAGTAGATGATTCTTTGCCTATATAGAGTACAGTACTAGAAAATACTATAATCTCACGGAAGGAACAGTGGTGCAGTGGTTAGCACACTGCGCCGTGAGCCCTAGTGACCTGAGTGTGAATCTCGGCCACGCTAATATTGGTGCCGAGTGATATCTGAACTGGTCCCAGTGCCCATTGCGCCCGTCCACTGGCCCACACTGACCAGCGTGGTGACGTGTGTTCAACAACCCCCATCACCGACATGGCATGGGGATGCCTTCATCCAGCAGTGCAGTGACAAAGGCCCGTGAATTATTTTCGATCGATATTAAATCGTTATATTTAGTAAAGGTGCCATCAAATAATTATATTTATATTAAATCGTAAGCTCGTTATAAGTGCATAGTATTTCGATTTAAAGCTTTCGTGACTGCAAGGATTCATCTTCTTTGGTTCTTTCGGTAAAGTCACGTAGAATGAGAATAAAATAATAAATTGATAAAATAAAATAACACAATAAAATTCTCACGACGTTTCGGTCACAACACAAGCAGCCTTCATCAGGTGAAGGGACTAGACTGTCTGGAGGACAGCGCTGGAGCGAACACAGCCAAGCTCAGACCGCGACCTTTAAGCTGTGTGAGAAGAAACAGAGCGCCTTGACAAAGGAATTAACATAGAATTTAGCATTGAAATAGCTGAGTGATTAGCTTGTGACTGGTCACAGAAATGGCTATGTTAAAGTCAAAGCATACACATCCACAGAGGCACCCCTTGACAAAGGAATTAGCATAGAATTTAGCATTGAAATAGCTGAGTGATTAGCTTGTGACTGGTCACAGAAATGGCTATGTTAAAGTCAAAGCATACACATCCACAGAATAAATGTACTCAATATATTCTTCAATAAGCTGAGCTATTAACAGTAACTGGGTATACACTACACTATATAATGAATACTATATAGTAAACCAATAAAAAAATATAAATTACCTCAATGTTATCAATAACTCTATATATTCTCCAATCAGCTAAGCTACCAACAATAAGTCGTTATATATCACAATGCTATATGGCGAAAAAATAGGTGGATTCTTACCCTCAACTTTTTGCACCACGGATAGCTACGAGCCCCGTTTAGACGGACGAGTTCATCCATGGACGGAACGGAGGAGGGGGAGAGAGACAGCTGCGAGGCGCTATTATACTCCATGTTGTAAACCATACCATTAACCGTGGTGTGAGAGGTATTAAGAGTCAATGCCAGCGAAAGAGCTGCGGTCTGAAGGTCATCGTAAAATACAATTAATTAAGAACGGAAATGGTTTAAAACATCTTTCCAATAGTTACTAAGCCAGAATCCATCTTCTCGGTTGAAATTGTCTCTGTGCTTGTATATGTGAATGGCCTCATGAACGAATCTCTCATGGTAGCCGGTTGGTTTGCAAAGAACCTCCGTCTTGGAGAAGTCAATGTCATGTGAGCCCACTGAATTATAACAGTGATCTGCCACGGCAGAGGAGTTCGTTCTACCGTGTTTCAAGTCTGCTTTATGTTCGCGGATGCAGTCCGAGATATGTCGTTTGGTTTCTCCAATGTAGCTACTACCACAGAGGCACTTTAGTTTGTAAACGCCCGGGTACTGTATGTCTGGAACAGCATCTTTTACAGATGGAACCAGATCACGGATTTTATGTACTGTGTTGAATCGAACCTGGATCTTGTGTTTATTCAGGATTTTGGAGATCTTTTTAGTGACCCCTGCAATGTAGGGTAAGGTGATGGTTTTGAGTGGCTCCACAAGAGGATCCTTCTTCATGACTGGAGTGATGGCTGTGCCGATTGTGTAGTCGGAGTAACCATTAGTCCTGAGAGCCTGGTGTACGTGCTTGTGTTCCTGGTCGGAAATTGATAATATTGAGGTAATTTATATATTTTTTATTGGTTTACTATATAGTATTCATTATATAGTGTAGTGTATACCCAGTTACTGTTAATAGCTCAGCTTATTGAAGAATATATTGAGTACATTTATGCTGTGGATGTGTATGCTTTGACTTTAACATAGCCATTTCTGTGACCAGTCACAAGCTAATCACTCAGCTATTTCAATGCTAAATTCTATGCTAATTCCTTTGTCAAGGCGCTCTGTTTCTTCTCACACAGCTTAAAGGTCGCAGTCTGAGCTTGGCTGTGTTCGCTCCAGTGCTGTCCTCCAGGCAGTCTCGTCCCTTTACCTGATGAAGGCCACTTGTGTTGTGGCCGAAACGTCGTGAGAATTTTATTGTGTTATTTTATTTTATCAATGTATTATTTTATTCTCATTCTACGTGACTTTACCGAAAGAAGCAAAGAAAAAGTGCATAGGATTTCACTCTCTTCAATGCGAGTATGTTGCTGCCAATGACCTCAATGGTAAATACAGAATCGATTACTGAATGGACTGTGACCCTGAATTGGATATTCATCAAGTCACTCGTTTGTGCAAGTGCTTGCCGCACCAATAACGTCCATCTATCTGCATGCACACCGCTTTATGTGACATTTGAGTATTGAGAGAGTATATTCATATTCTTAGTTTTTTCGGTAAAGTCACGTTGAAGAGAAACAACAAAATAATAAAATATATATAAAACAATAAAAAATTCTCACGTTTCGACCATAACTCAAACGGTCGTCTTCAGGTGTGTTGGTTCGCATAAATTTATTTTTAAACGGCGCATTTATTTATTTATAAAAAAAACGTTAGCGCCACGCGCAACGATTTGGCAGTTTACCCAGGACTAGTCCATCTATATTCTGAAAAGAGGAGGGGGGAGACGAAATTTTTTATAATGTATGCTGTCTGAAAGCCACTGTAAGCGTGAACAATCAATTAAGACCTGAAATGGTTTATCAAATCTTTCCAATGATTGCTAAGATAGAATCCATCTTCTCAGTTGAAATTGTCTCTGTGCTTGTATATGTGGATAGCCTCATGAACGAATCTCTCATGGAAGCCAGATGGCTTACAAAGAACCTCTGTCTTGGAAAAGTCAATGGCATGTGAGCCTACTGAATTAGAACAATGATCTGCCACGGCCGAGGTGTTGGTCCTACCGTGTTTAAGGTTTGCTTTGTGTTCACGAATGCGGTCCGAGATATGGCGTTTGGTTTCTCCAATGTAACTACTACCACAGAGGCAACTTAGTTTGTAGACACCAGGGTATTGTATGTCCGGAATCACATCTTTTACAGACGGAACCAGATCACGGATTTTATGTAATGTGTTGAAACGGACCTGGATCTTGTGTTTATTCAAGATTTTGGAGATCTTTTTTGTGATCCCAGCAATGTAGGGTAAAGTGATGGTTTTGAAAGGCTCCTCAAGAGGGTTCTTCTTCATGGTTTGAGTGATAGCTTTGCGGATTGTATAGTCGGAGTAACCATTAGCCCTAAGAGCTTGGTGTACGTGCTTGAGTTCACTGCTTATGTGTTCTTGGTCGGATATGCATTGGGCTCTATGATACAGAGTCTTGATGAGAGAATTCTTCTGTGATGGATGGTGGTGGGAATCCGGTTTCAGATAAGCATCCGTATGGGTAGCTTTCCTGTAGACAGAGTGGCTCATTGAACCATCAGGTCTCTTTTTAATTAGGACATCCAAAAAAGGTATCTTGCCATCTATTTCGACTTCCATGGTAAATCTGATGGCTGGGTGTATGGAATTGATGTGGTCGAAGAATTGGTCTAGAGCAGGCCGGCCATGTGGCCAGATGACAAAAGTGTCATCCACGTACCTCTTCCATAAGGTTGGGCGCAGAGTGGCAGTCTGGATGGCGTCAGTCTCAAATTTCTCCATGAAAATGTTAGCTATAACTGGAGAAAGGGGGGAGCCCATTGGGGTGCCCTCAGTTTGTTTGTAGAAAGTTCCATTCCAAGTGAAGTATGTATTGGTTAAACAGCGTCTCACCAGGGGGGGTACCTCAGTGTTTAGTCCTTGATGAACCAAGTCTTCAATGATTGCAATGGTGTCAGGTACAGGAACCTTGGTGAATAAGGAAACTACATCAAAACTGACAAGCAGGTCGTCTGGGGACAGGGAAATACCCTTGATTGTCCATACCAGGTGAGTAGAATTTTGTACCGCAGAGGTGGTCTTTCCAGTGAAAGGACGCAGGATTTCAGACAAAAAACGAGCTAGTTTGTAGGTGGGGGAGCCGATAGTAGAGACTATGGGACGAAGGGGTGTATCTACTTTATGTATTTTTGGTAAGCCGTATAATCTTGGTGGCCTGGCAGCAGAAGGTTTCAACGAACACTGTTTAGATTGATCAATTAATGCGGTTGAATCAGAAATTATTTTGTTGGTTTGTGTGACGAGGCTGTTGGTGGGATCTCTTTTTATTTTTGTATAACTACCATCGTCGAGTAATTAAATAAATGCGCCGTTTAAAAATAAATGTATGCGAACCAACACACCTGAAGACGACCGTTTGAGTTATGGTCGAAACGTCGTAAGAATTTTTTATTGTTTTATATATATTTTATTATTTTGTTGTTTCTCTTCAACGTGACTTTACCGAAAAAACTAAGAATATGAATTACTGCAGTCACGAAAGCTTTAAATCAAAATTCATTGAGAGAGTGTTAACCTGGCGAAGTTAAAATTAATGGCATCTTCTGCATTGTACAGCCATGCAAATTACACCACACATGCAATTCATTTTTATTTAAGTAAAGGGGTTCATATCAACTGGGTCAGTGACAATATTAACACACCCAGCACACCACATCTTTAATATATCTTAGCTATGGCTGTGGCTGAGAGTCATGCGCCTACTCCATTCTACATGCGACCCGGAATATATTTGGTGAGAATTTAAGCCTGGTGTAAGTAGGCCAATAAATAGCATTGCAATAAATTAAGCAGCAATAAATGTAGTGTGTAAATTTACTGGGCAGCATCACCCAATCTTACCGCTTCAGTCACAGCCTCCAGACGCTCTGCATACACTCTCTTGCGTAGGTCTTCTGTGACGCGACTGCATTGCATGGACAAAAAAAAAGCCAATTTCCACTCAAGCCACTTGGGAAGTTGCAGTCAACTGAAAAAAAAACATTAAATGGTACCAATAAAAAAATAAATCTCAAAGTCCTGCTACGTTTCACAAAGTTACATCTGGAAAATCCAAACAGCGGAAATGCTGGCATTTTCTTCTCTGCAAAATCAACATGGGTTGGAAAATCATAAAAAGTAATTTGCAAGCTGCTTCAAAACATGTTTGCCTTTGTGCCCCTTGTCGATGGGTATTGCTGACTCTCCGTAAGCAACTTCTTGCGCGTCCATCCTCCATTCAAACTGTCGAGTCGGCGCGGCTCTATTTTTAGATGCCAGAGGAACTCTCCCTGACGGTCGCCCTGGCATTTGCCGAGACCAGGGAGGCCTCCGAAGGCGCCGTCAGGTTTCCCCCTAGGGTTGCGTTAGGCGAACCCCGGTCGCCGCCGATGTCCGAGGCAGCGTCGTCCTCCTCCAGGGAGACTGCCGAGGCCACCAGAAGCTCCACGGTGTAGTAAACGCCAATGAGCACCAAGCAGAGCAACACGAACGGGATGAGCACCTTCACGCTCTTCGGGGCCATTGCGGTGATGCAAAGTGCCACAAGAACATCAGCTCAACTTTCCTTTGTGCTTGAATTAAAAAACTGCTTCGAGTCTAACCAGCAGTCGGCTAGTTTGGACGTCCTCCACAGTGGCGCGCACCACGCAAGTCTTTTGGTTTCGCTCACGACGTATCAGAAGGCTCGCCGTGACGGCTGATCGCTAATGCAGCTGTGGGTGGGGATGGGGTGGTGGAGGAGGCGTGTGCATGGGGGGGGGGGGTAGGGATATCGCACGGGCGGTGGGTGGCAGTAACACGGGGGGGGTGAGGGGCAGCACCTCTCACGCCAGTGACATGCCCGTGTCACGCTTTCTGCCTGCCACATGCTGCCTGATTGCTACAAAAGTTGATTTGCCAGTGGGCATGACCTGGGTCAAAGAGTTGGAGAAGAAGTGATGAACTCAGCAATGAACCTAGCGATGAACCCTGATGGCACAGCCATACACGGTTGACCGCAAAGTGCGAACATTATTGCAACTGAAGAAAGATGTCAACATTCAAACCAGGCGATGCAGTTTACCCCACTGGTGAATCAGTGTTATATATTTTGGGTTTTCTACGTACAGTATTTGAGGACTATTACCCAGCTTTTTTTTCAGTGTAATAATTCTCACATTTTTTAAAAAACGGTTCTTCCCTTTTTTTATAAATATCTCTCTTCTCAAATAACTCCAGTTTCCTCCCACGCGTAAAAACACTAAAAATATTAGTGTTTGGAACACATACAAAAGCAAGGCTTTCCTGATTGTCTTCCCACCAAGAAAGAAGCTTTCGAATGTGTAAAGTTAATTTATATTATTGGACTTATGTAAAGTTCACAAAAACCCAACGCTATACTTTTTACTCCTTGGCTCTTTCGGTAAGTACTTCAGTGTCAATGGAGATGTCTGGAGCTTGGCTTGTGTGCTTGGTTCAATGAGCCTTTTGACAGACTCTCTCTCTCTCCCTGATGCAATAATCATTGCAATGGCTACATGATATTATAATATATAAATAAGTTCCCATGTAGGACAAACTGTTCAAGTTTTAAATATACAATGCGAATTTATAGTTTGGGTCATGGCAAGGGCGATTCTTATGAAATGCAAGTCACTTTCCACGTAAATACTTTTTTATGTTTAACTATTTGATTATTTGCTACAAATATATTTCGCCAAATGCATATTTTTTCGGAGAATTTATAATCACGTGGCTGCTGGGGTTTTTTAGTTTGTACGCAAATTAATGCAGTCACGTGTGTTGACTGCTAAGATGAATTCTGATGTCTAGTAAACATTAACAGTACACTGTGCTTTCCACATTGGCAAGCTTCATTTATTGACAAATGTCCCATAGACACACTGCAATGCATAATAACTGGCATGTGTCCTCGTTTAATAACACATAATTTCACGAGAGTATTGGCATTGTAGACCGCAGATAAACTTGCCATTGAAAAAATGAAAGGCTTTAACCTTTACACCAATAATACAGGAGGTATTAAGCTCTTCAAACACCACATAGACACCTATTGAATGGTATAAAGTCTGCATTAACCACATATCACACTTGTGGTAAAATATACAAAAAAAACGTACTTTGATAATAGTGTATGCATTGTATTTTAAACTGATTGGCCTACATCAGACACAGCCTCATGGCATTGTCTCACCACCAGTGTTAGACCAGAGAATAATGCCAAAAGGTGAACAGCACAAAAGCTATGCAAATATCAAAGCATCATTACCTCGGGTTGAACAGTTCTCACAAGCATGTGTGGTTAATGTAGACTTGACGCCTTGTAAAAGGTGACTATTTGGTGTTTGAATACCTTAATGGCTCCTGTGTTACTTCTGGAAAGGTTAAAGGCTATTCCTTTTTCATAATCTTGATACCGGAAAAAGGGTCATGTGGATATAAACTACCATTCTTGTCTTTTAAATGTGCACTACTGTTACTTGACTTGCTTGTACTGATAATACATTGCCTGTCGTTAGCACCCAATGCCCTTCGTGAGCCCCAATACACATTTTCAGGAGAGTCCTGAAATGGGATGTTTGGCAAATTCAATTAATTAATGTTTGGCATATGAGGATATCAGAATACCTGGAGAAACCCCGCCCACATAAGATAAAGACAATACTAAAAGCTCCACACAGTTGCAGTCCAAGCCTACAACACCTGATATAACCAAGCCATCTCTCATCGAATTACGAAGCTGGCTCAATACTGTTCAGTTTCTCAGAGCAGACAAACTTTGGGTACCCAGGGAGATTTGGTCATCGGCCATCTAAGGCTGAACTTACAGCTCTCTGATGAGTTTTTAGATTGTGCCATGCATTGTTTGGAACGATGTTCGTCGTTTTGCTCTACGTGTTGGGAGCTTTTTCAGGAACTGAAGAAATATCGGACATAATGCCATACAACACAAAAACGCACCCGAGAGCTGAACAGCACAACTCTGAAAACCTATGTGGTCATAAGTAAAACTATGATTGGACAGGTCTTGTCTTGTAAATACTTTTTTTGTCCATGCTCATTGCTCACAAAACCAGAAGCCACCAAGAGCAAGTTGGTCATAGTCTGAATGACAATACCTGGCTCTGGCACAGCAATGCAAGTGTTTTTTACGTACCTGTGTGCCAGATCATCTGCCCAAATGTTGCCATCGTCTGTGGCCAGCGATAGCTCCGATTCATCAAGACTTGCCGGTGCTGTGCCAGACGAGTGCTCCTCGGTGCCCACGTGTACCTGACAGTAGCTGCGTGGAGCAGAATACATCACAGGAACCCTCAAACACAAATTCCAGCAGTCCGTATGCAATGTCCAGATATCACCCCCTATGATTTTTGTAACCGTTTAAAATATTTGTTATTTTACCAGGTAAGACCCTCTGAGTGATAGTGCTCTTTTTCAGAAGTGAACTGGTCATAAATGCTAGCTCAACGAAGTGGCTTATTACATGTAAATGTATAGCAGTCAAATACTCTAAACACACGTTGATTCTAAATGTGGAGGGAAAAACCGGACGACCTAGAGAAAAATTCAAGCGACCACGGGGAGAACATGTAAACTCCAAATATCCAGGTGTCAGAGTTGGAATTGAACCTACTCCCACTTACATACCAGGCGAGGCAACTAACATCTCACCACCCCAAAATTAATAGATAAAATGAGTAACAATCTGTGGCAAGACTTCTGGAGAGACTGGTCCTTTCCATACAGTGGTATAGCCATAGAGTGTTGCAACTGCATCGGAGTCATGGGCTGGAAGGGTCCAGGTGCCGGATTACATAGAGGGGGGATATTGGACAGAGGGCCCCATTTAAATCATGGCACCAAGACCCATACAGTACGAAGCTGTGTGCCATCTCTCACAGTCTCACTATGCAACAAATAACGCAGCAACTTCACGCAAACCGATTCCATTGCTCCATCTCCTCAGTGGCCATCTTCCCAATTGTGTTCCTTTACCAGTAGCTATTCCACCATTAAGTCTCGACCACCGGCCATCAACCAATCGGTGCATGATTTGTATGAATCCTAAATAGCCCATTCTCATGTGAGCAGAGGGGATGTGTAGGGCCAGTGGAGGGGACGTGCAAACCTCTCGTGCTGCAGCAACGCGCGGTTGAGTTCGTCGTTCAGTGCCAGCAGCTGCTCCATCTCCTGCTGCTCCATGCCCTCTGACACCAGCTCGTGCACCCGGCGTCGGAATGTCCCGCACCTGGCGGCCAGGGCCTGCGAGGGGGGCATGCGGTGGTGGAGATGGCGATTGAGGCCAGGGTGGTGCGGTGTGGTGCATGCAGTGTTGACCGCAAGAGGTGGCCAGGTGACTGCGTGGGCGAGTGACCAGTATGGCTGAGAGCCAGTTTCAATCTGAGGCAACCGTGATTAAATATTGTTCTCAAGTGTAGCGAAAGTTTCGGCCCATTCACCAATGGCTCCATCAAACACTTGGCTTGGATGCTAAATCAGCCTATTCCAGTGTTGAGATTTAACAAATTTAGTTTTCTTGGTGTGTGACAAACACTCTTCACATGCCACATACAGGGAGTGGCCCTCGTGTGCAGACAGTGAGACTGAAGAAGGAGTTCTGTGTTGGCATTGTCTGGGACCATTCTCTTACATAAGATGGTTCACTGGTCACTGTGAGAGTTCCAAACGGAAATGTCCTTGTCTCGGAACATGACAGCATAATTGCAATATAATTGGGGGGATTTAAAATAGTAGCCAAACGTGGCAGAGAGAGGCACCACAACGTTTTAAGACGTTTCTGAGTTCCAATTGTCGTATCAATTTTACTTAATGCTGCGAGACACTTGGTGTATAATAAATGTATACCGTTTATGCAGGGCAACATACACCCAACTCTCATGTACCCAGCAGGGTCGTGGTATGATTGGGAGTTCGTAACTCACAATCTGAAGGTCCAGACGTATACTCAGCTCATCATCTCTGTACCATTCGTGGATAGTCAACAGTGATCGTTCTGTTTAACACGTAGGCTTTCGCGACCAATATCATCCATAATACAGATGTTTTGTGTTAGAACACGTAAATATAAAGTGTCGTTAAACCCGCCATCACTCGACACAGCCAATTAGTATGGTTTGTCACGTAAACAGAACATGCCAATTCGTTAGCACACCGGTGTGTTAGAGAGCAAAGCCACAACATTTACAATCCGAGTACTTTTCTCTCCATGTAGATCGTTCTACATAGAGACTTTGTTCCCTTCCCTATGAATGTGTAGTTTAAGACTTACTCAGGACCGTAAACAAAGACGACTTGGCCATTGAAGCTTACAGGTAATTACGTAAGAAAACCGACCACATACACACAAAAACAAAGATCCCCCTATATTCTTAACATACTTTGGGGCAAGTGCTGTTCACGAACGCTCGTGAAGGCCAGCACTGCACACGAGGGGGTGGGTGGCCGGCACCATGCCTGGCTGCCTTTGTCTCATGAGTGGCGATGTTTACACACCGTACCAGGTACTAAGTGAAGCTGAATCAACCTCAGGGAAGCCCAGGACCAGTTCAGAGAATCGTCACTTGTTGACCGTGAGCGGAAATTGAACTCTGGCCGCTGGGTTCATAGCGCAGAGTGCTAACCGCTGCACCACCGCTCCCCACACATGCACGTGGACGCACACACGCGTACTGCCACCCACATCAACCTGCAGGTGCTCCCAGCCAGAAGGGGCTAGCGTGACTCCGGACTGCGTGCTGCGAAGAGCCGTCGTGAGGTCGCGTGCCGCCCGCTGAGCCGCCACGATCAGCGGGCGGCCCCGCATCACCCCAATCTGTGGCCACAGCAACCGTTCAGGTGAAGCAATACGCACAACGACCACTCCGTCGCCGCATAATCCCGCCACCCTTACCCAAAAGCCGCCAGGTTTATAGGCACGTATCGAGTCGAGTGAATTTTACTTTTGCTTACACACGTGGTGCCTTTCTGGCATGAATCTGCAACACAAAGTTCCATCATTACATTAACACTCGCCAACATAATAAAAACGTGTCACTTCACTGGACATGTGCAAAGGTGCAACCCTGCAATTTCTCGCTCGTGCCACTGCTGCTGGAAGGACCTCCACTTTGAGTTCTAGATGCAATCTACTCTTCAACACTGAGGAGTATCCACACTTTACCCCACCTGTTCATTGTACTATACCCATTTATACTACTGGCTGTCAGAGGCTGGGTGGCGGGTAAGAAACTAGCTCATTTTGTCTACTGCCACAACGGGAGATTGAACCGTTCACCTCTGGATTGCATGCCCAGTGGTGTACTAACCATTACACTGTGGCAGCTTCCTCTGCACATGACGTAGCTAAGCAGGGATGACCTAATCGAAATGGTGTGCGTCTGTGGCTCACGTGTCTCGTGGGTAGCACGTGAGTGCACGTGTATATGCCAGTCATCTCAGTCCCGTGACCTGCCGGGGAGCCTTTGACACTTCACATGACCTTAAAGTCCACCTAACCCCCGGCACAAGCGCCATGGTGATGTCACGGTGACTTTGTGGCAAACGGCGGTTGTTGTGCATGGGTCTCACTGCGCGGGTCTCGTCCACTGGTGGCTGAAGGCCGTCGCTGGGCACGGCCGTGCTGCCCCACGACACTGGGAGGTCGGTCCTGGGGCCGCACGGCTGGCTCAGCGTCTCTTCCCAGCTTGGAGTTTCTGTCTCCTGTGCATGGCAGACCGTGTCGCGTATCTCACCGTTGCATATCATAATCAGGATCTTTATTTACACTGGAGGAATCCAATGAGCTATAAAACTCTTTTTCACAGATGTCCAGTAGGGACAGGTCAGAAAGTTACAACAAGAAAAAATGCAAAAACACGATAGTGCAAAGTATAGAAAAGCTAAACAAATCAGGAGCCCAGACCTCGAGACTTTCCTCTTCTCCTCTGGCTGGGATTGCCTCTTCCGAGTGAGGAATCTATTTTCTCTCCTTGACCGAACTGAACTGTCATCTCCGTTCCTTCACCCTGTGGCTCGTTAAGCCCTCCCAAAATCAATATTGCAATAATATAACCCCTCCTCACTCCCAGTTCTTCTCGATAATTCTCCTCCTTCTTTGTACGTGTGCACACACGGGACTTTTAGGTGCATCGTGGTCAATTTTGGCCAGAGCTGCTAAATTCTTACAAACACTGCGCAAGGGTATGGGCGTTGTTAATTGGTCAGGGGGCAGATATTGTTGAGCTATCATTTGTGGCCAGGTCGCTTCTGAAAAAGAGCTATATAGATTAGTGGGCTTTACCTGGTAAAAATAATTGTTTCGTTTTTTACTCTCTCCCAGCTCTACTCTCTCCCAGCTCTACTCTCTCCCTACTCTACTCTCTCCCTTCTCTACTCCCAGCTCTACTCTCTCCAAGCTCTACTCTCTCCCTGCTTTACTCTCTCCCTTCTCTACTCCCAGCTCTACTCTCTCCAAGCTCTACTCTCTGGCATTGAGAGCGACCTAGGAGCAGACACCTGGGCGATGGGAGGAGGGAACTCCACGCCTTTCCTCTTCAGCGCCTCGTACACCTGGGCCACCCCTGTCAGGTCAGCTGAGCTGCGGAAGGCGTCTGCCCATGCCTGACCGACACACACAGACATACAGAATCAGAATCTGAATTTAGACTGGAGGAGGAATCCGATGAGCTATGAGGCTCTTTTTCACAGATGTCCAGGAGGGGCGGGTGGTAAGCAAGCTATAACAACAAACCATACAGAATACACGATAGGAGTGCAAAGTAGAGAAAAGGTAAGCAAGTTACTTAAAATAAATAATTAGAAATAAAGAAAGTATATGAGTACCATATTGCATAAGTACATAAATTCCTGCAAAATTTTCAACACTAAATGCAAGCTAGGGCAAGGCAGTAAAACAACAAAAACAGTCCCACACCACACCAAGGCAACAACACACAGTCCCTCAATTAAATTGCACATTAAAATTGAACTATTGACACGGGTGGGGGGCGGGTAAGGATCAAAGTTACAAATCTTATTTGCAAACAGGGCTGCTGCTGCTGTTGTATCGGAGCACTAATCTTCTGCTTCAGGACTGCCTCGGCACCGATCTTCGGCGTCTCCTCAGTGCCCTCCTGGCCGTGCCCACCTGCAGGAGACGTAGCACGCGGGCTCGCAGCGCTGGTGTTGGGCAGCTCCTGGGCAGGATGAGCCGCACTAAAGAGCCCTCCACGAAATCGCGGCTCGCCGCCAGAACGTGGAATCGGTGCCCGCAGTTCTTCATGCAGCTCTCCAGCACCTGGCAGAGCACGCGGGTGCCGGGTTCCAAATACAAGGGCGGTCTGTGATTGGATGTAAATCTGGTCTACAATTTTAATAAATAAAATCTGCAGGGACATTCGTGCCATGAATTCGGTCTATCTCCATGAGTCTACAAGCACAGTTCTCACTTCCCACACGTGATCGCAGGCCACTCGTAGAGCCGTCCCTAGGGTATGGAGAATTGGGGCGACCGTCCCGGGTCCCGCGCTTTGGGGGGCCCCGCGCTTCGACGTCACAGTGTCAGACGTAATACTTCCGGTTTAGTTTGAAGGCTTCAGGGGTGGCCCACACGGTGAGCTATTCCCTGGGCCCCACACCCCCCCTATGGACAGCCCTGCCCACACATGGTGCGCTCGCCGTGTGTGCCGACGGCCCAGGGTCAGTGACGCACCGTGAGCGCGAGCATGACCTCCCGGGTATTCTTGTTGGCACCGCCACCCAGACGTCTCTTGAGAGCCCGCAGAGCATCCCTGGGGCTGGGCATGCACACACACATGGGGCACTGCTCATCGCGCCACAAAGACTAAAAAACAAAGATCAGCCCCCCAAATAGGGCCTTCCATGGGGGGGGGGGGGGTGGGGCCCCGGGGCAAATCGCGCTGTGTGCAAATATTGTTAGCGAGCACCTATGGAGGCCAGCACGGCACACGAGGGGGCGGGTGGCCAGCACCACGCCCGGCCGCCTTTGTCTTCCTTGTGGTGTTCGCAGCCACAATCACACACAAGAGGAAGCCTTTTATTCTTCAGCAGTGTATATGGTATCTACGTCTCACGTGGTTTGTGCAAAACCAGTTCAATCTGCCCATTGTTTTCATGGCAGGTGGAAGACTGAGAGGCAGTCCTAGAAGAAACAGTTGGTGCAATGTAGTTAACCAGGATGTGAAGGACTACTAAAACTATCAACAATTTTATTTTACCAGGTAAGGCCCATTGAGCTATATAGCTCATTTTCAGAAGCAACCTGGCCATAAATGATAGCCCAACAATGTGGCTTAGCAGGTGCAAATATATAGCAGTCATATACCCTAAATGCATGTTAATTCTAAATGTGGAGGGAAAACCCGGAGGAAACGGAGAAAAAGCCATGTGACCACGGAGAGAGACACACAAACTCCAGGCGAGGTAGTTAACATCTCGCCACCGTGGCGTCCCTGTGGGTGGATGTGGAGGTAATGGCCCAGAACAGGAATGAGTGAAGACAACCAGGAATACAGACCCCACATTGGTGGGGGAAATGCCAGGAAAAATAGAAAATCAGGTCTGGCCAACGGAGCTGCCAACTTGTGTCCTCGGTGACCCCCAGGGAAGCTGGGCTCAACCATGGCAACACGGGCAGTGTGGGTCAAGGTGGAAGCCATGTGTGCACTGCAGGGCCTTACCCATCCTCCGTCTCGTTGACGATGTCGCAGATCTCCAGGATCATGCTCCAGTCTTCGCGTAAGAGCCCGCCATCTGTTGCCTGCTCTACTCCCGACGGCACATGGGACGTACGAACAACCCACATGAATGAACCCACAAGATCGCTTTGCCGGCGTTGCACATGGCAGTCGGTCTTGCCGCAGCGGTGCTTGACATCGATCGCTGTGGCCTGGGGCAGCTGTAGGGCTTGTGGGGGTATTCAGCAGGATCATTGGGTGCATGGTCACAATTGACCGGTACGTTGTGTGCGATGGGGTCAAGTGTGGGCATGTCCACCTCTTCCAATAGTCTGACCAGCGTGGAAGAGTTAGGAAAATTATCCTCTCGAGGGACTCTGGAGTGGCCTCTTGTGGAAGCCCCTTCTATCAGTGGTGGTGTGAGCAAGGAATTGCAGGGCTGTGCCTTTAAGGGTACAGAGAGATGAGATTTCAAGATCACTTGAACACGAGGTCAGTGAAACATTTTGTGTCTCGTTTTAAAAAATATAATCTGTAAATAACAATACATTTCCGTTTTAAACTGAACATAGAGGCAACTGTGGAAGCAAAGCTTGGTGAATCACACGGACTTATTTATGACTCCCAAATCTGCTGGACTGCGAGCTGGCAACAATGTGGCGCTACAGCAAGTGGGTTTGTAAACCCATCCATGCTGACCTGGGAGTGCTCTACTCTCAGAGACATTGTTTTTCCAGCTTCTCCAGTTCCCTCCGACAAGAAAAACACCGCCTCTTCATGAGGAATGGGACAAACACGTGGTCGCGTGGATTTTTCTCAAGGTACTCCGGTTTTTCCCTCCACAATTAAGAATCAACATCACGCATTTAGAGTATTTGGCTGTTATTAATTTTCCAACTGAAAAGCCACTTCGTTGAGCTGTCATTTGTGGTCAGGTCGCTTCTGAAAAATAACAATAAAGCTCAGTGGGCCTTATCTGGTAAAATAAAAAAATAGTTTATAACAGCTTTTCCTAAATGATTACATGATATTTTTCGTTTCGTCATTCCAAAGGGTTATCTAAGGTACAGTGAATCAATGACGGTGTTTATTTTAAATGCAGATGCAGATTGGAGCTTTATTTCTAAGCGTCTGGCACAGATGCGCGATCACACCAGAGAATGAAACTCCAGATTACCATCGTTGCCCTCACCGCTGGGGAGGGTGCCTTCTGGGTCCACTTGGGCCACAGTCGAGGGATTAATCCCAAGCTAAGCCTTCATTGGTGCTGGCAGAGCTTTAGTCCGCACTCTCTCAGCACCAAGAGGCACAGTGCACTGTATCAGCTGTACAGTCAGGCCTCGATATGCGAATATTTGATATGCGCAGTTTCAGTTAAACGAACTTTGGATGTACAGTATTACCATTATTTGAATGGGGGGAAAAAGTAAAGTAATAAATAAAAACTGTGAAATTTCTAAATAGGAAAACATTTCCATCTACGGTATAATATGAAAAAGAATACAATTATAATAAGATACATGAGTGTTGCGCATCACGACGGCTAATATAATGTTTGTTTACATTCCGACTCCTCTTCACCTCGATAAACGAAGTAGATGAGTTCCTGGAGCTTCGTAAATAGAAAATTCGTTTGTTGAATAACATTCACACTATGAGGATACGTTTCCCAGCCTTCATAACTTACTATTCATATTGCAAACTAATACAATTTATATTGAAAATAATGTTAGATTTTATACCGTACAGTATTAAAATTTTCAACTGGCATTAACAAAATAACAGTAGTGTATTGTAAAGTCTCGACTAATCAGAGCGCAGCAATGCGCTGTGTTACGGAGCTATGGTGTTTGGTGGGCAATGCAACCTTGACTGCACCGAAGACTACACTGGTGAATGTGAATATATTTTACAAAACACTATGTTCATCTTATTCATGCCAGTTTAAAATTTGAAAACTGTACGTACGTAAAGGGTTCGCGTCACAAAGTTTCGAAAACACCTGTCGCAACCGGGTTAAGTGCTCCTCGAATGTGCGAGCGAATACGATTAGATCGTCCAGATAGATGAGACATGACTACCACTGCAACACCGCAAGTACCAACTCCATCAATCGCGAGAAAGTGTCGGGAGCCGTCTGTAAACCCATCGGCAAACAGCTGAAATGAAAGAGACCTTGAGGCGTTCTGATTCGGCATCTAGTGGTAGCTGCCAGAATCCTGCCGAAAGGTCTAGTGTGGAGAAAATGTTTACTCCAGCGAGCGCATCAAATGAGTCATCTATGCGCGGGAGCGGGTAGGCGTCTGCCAAGGTAACTTTGTTCAGCCGCCTCAAGTCTACGCAAAACTGCAAGGATCCATCCGATTCCTTAACCAATACAACCGGCGCCCCCCACGGACTTGAAGACGGCGATATGATGTCAGACTGCATCATCTGCTGCACTGCCCGCCGCACATGCTCCTTCTTGCTAGGAACCATCCTATAGACGTTATGCTGAATGGGTGGCGCATCGCCCGTATCAATGTGGTGCTCCATCAGCATCGTGCGGCCAACATCGTAGGACCCTTACTGAACATGCCTGCGAAGTCACACAACAAAGTCCTGAGCTCCCCCGATTCCTTTGCCGACAGATCATTGTTCCGTGCCAGGAGCGCATCTATCCATGACATATCCTCTGCGCCGACCCACGGACCGTCCAAATGCACATTCTTGACGGTCTGCACCTCAGGGTCCGAATGCACGGGACTGACATTTGCAAACCAGGTCCCTTCTTGCACTGTAATGGGTGTATCAGCCGTGTTAAGGACCTGCAGGAACAGTGGCTGATTCCTGCGCACAAGTGTGTCAGCTGCTGCTAAGCAATGGAGACCCACCACCGACGGCACCGCCGCGGAGACGCTGAGTGGCGCATCCGACCGGCAAGTGACGAGCGGGGTGCGATATCGCAGCGGCACCAAGGCCTACGCTCCAGCCGGGACCGAGACAGTAGTCCCGACCAGCGCCTGAACTCGCGGAAGCTGCTTCCGTTCACCGTCTGGACGCAAAAAAATACAAGCGATTTCCCAACGTGGTTTTGACGCAGCCTTCGTCCGTCAGAATGCGAGGGGGCATGCGACTCAACAGGTCCGTGCCCAGCAAGCAGGGAACCGTGAGCACACTGGAGACCAGTACCGGTGCCCGTACCTCCGGCTCCCCGATGCGGACTGGCACTACCACTTGGCCTATGATCCCCATACTACCTTCATTCGCGGCTATGTACCTTGCCTGAACCGGCGCGAGACGACGCTGTCCCTCCGGTAACAAATCAAAGACGCACGGGGAAGCACCCATGTCAATCAACGCGTGGGCGCTAACCCCTGCCACCGAACCTACCAACACGGACGTCCCAGCCGTGGCCGCCACCAAACGACGCCATTCACTAACCGTGCCCGGCTACGGGCCCAGACCGTCAGCGGGAATCGTGACCGCCGCCCCCGAGGAGCGATGCGTGATGGGGTGGACATAGATAGGGTGGATGGTTCTGGCCAGGTGTCCGAGGTGTCAGCACTCGCCTGAGTCGGAACGGCCGCGGACAGAAGCTGACAAACCCGGCTGGTCGTCCCCGGTGCACCCGTCCTGCTTGCGGCATCTGCGGGCGATGTGTCGCTCACGACCGCAGATGACTTCTCCCGTGACCAGAGGATGACTTCTCCCGTGACCAGAGGATGACTTCTCCCGTGACCAGAGGATGACTTCTCCCGTGACCAGAGGATGACTTCTCCCGTGACCAGAGGATGACTTCTCCCGTGACCAGAGGATGACTTCTCCCGTGACCAGAGGATGACTTCTCCCGTGACCAGAGGATGACTTCTCCCGTGACCAGAGGATGCTCTCCTGCCTCACGAGGTGCTCAGCGCTGGGGTCGGCGCTCCGCTTCTCGCAGGATCCTCGGGGCCGCGACCATCTCTCCCTCGTCCTCCTCTGCCGACGGCGTGTCTGGTTGGGGGCTGTGGCAGCCCCTCGACGTTGCCGAGATTCCCTGTGACGTGTGCCACACTTTGCGTGGGTCCCACCATCTCTTTGTGAGCACAGAGCTGTCGTGCGACCCAAAGCAAGGTGCGGACTTCCTCCTCCACCACTGGCAGCATCACTCCCGCCCTCTATGCCATAGCGAGTCCATGGCCGGCTCGTTGAGCCGCGGGAATGCGGCTACTGCCAGCGTTAACAATTCCGTCCTGTTGACCATGAGCGATTCGGACACTTCCCGCTTGGTGGTTTTTAAACTTTGGGCGTGCCCCGGACAGAGGGTCGAACACCTCCGCCATCTCCTTGTAGACGCCCTGCAGGGATCCTCTTTTTGCAGGCGGAATCCGGTCGAACACTGCCAATGCGGGGTCGTCCAACAGAGTGGGCAGTATTGTCAGGGCTTGTTCCTCCGTCCACTTCATTGCCCGGGCGGCCGGCTCTCCCGATCTGGACGCGAACCTCTGTATCGCGCCCAGCTGGCGGATCCATCCTGGTCCTCCCTCCGCGGGTTGCCTCGGCTGAGTTTCGGGCCGAGTTTCGAGCTGAATCTCGCTCTCGACCTGTGCTGTTGACACTTTCCCGGTCAGCTGCTCGCCACTTCGCTCCGGTTGTTCATGTCCCCCAGTTGCCGCTGCCGTCGGCGGATATCGGGAGGACAGGCCAGGGTTTTCTCCCGAGTCCCGCGCGGGACGCACGGTCGGCGGCGGCGGCGGCGCTGGTGCTGCTCCATCCCCTGATAGGAGCTGCGGAGTGCCGGGTCAGGAAGGCTGACCGTGGCTCCCGTCTCCTGGCTGGGGAGCCGATGCGGCTGAAGTTCCCCCTGCTCAATCGACCTCAGGCCTCAGCCGGTGAAGCAGCGTGGTTACTGCCTCCAGCAGTTTATCCATCCTCTGATCCCTAGAGGATGATCTGTGGCGGCGGCGGCGCTGGGTCTGCACCGCCGGGTTGGTGGAGGAAGGTGCCCACACGGGGCGAGCAGCTGCCACGGATCCCGCCGATGAGCCGGGGGACAAATCCCGACTCGTCGGTTCTGTTTCCGAGCTATTCTCGTCCCAGGAACCTAGAGCTTCTTCTGCCTGAGTCTCCCCCCTTGGGATCTTACGTCAGCTGAGGCGAGACATCCCACCGCTGCCACCAGATGAAGAGGAGTCGGAGACTGGTTAAAGCACTTCTTTATTCTTCAACCCGCAGCCACACTCGTTCCTCAAACCAACCTCAAACACGCGTGTAATAGCCCCTTTTAAACCCTCCATCTCCGCCCTCGTTCCTAATCCACATCTCTGTCTCGCACGCCGCGTGCGGGTGACGTCAGTGCCCTTTAATCCCCTGACCCCGTCTTGTGTGTTCCCGTGCGTGTGATTGGTGTGTGCTATGTTGATTGCGGAGATTGCGTGAGGATGGCTCGGACATCCCCTACAGAGGTATGACTGTACAGCCACTGCCATTGCCAAGTCCCTGCACGGTGCACTCATTGTAGGCTGCGGCATTGATAGTGAGGCCGATGAGGTGTGGAGCCGCCAGGGGCAATGCCACCTGCAGTCGAATGCAGAGCCGCGTGACATCGAATAAAGACGGTCACTGCATCGCGCGCTTTCAGATGCGCTTCTGCGGCCCTCTGGAATGCTCTTCCTTCTAATGTTAGGAAGTCACTGGAGCTGTGCACTTTTAAATCTAAATTGAAAATTCATTTCTTTAGAACAGTTTTTTTTTGTGTTTAGTTTGTTGTCCTTCCCCTGCACCTCCGATTAGCAAGGCTGGGTATGTACGGTGCAAAATAAGTTCTGCGTGCATACACATGGAGGCTCTTTGATTAGCTCTCTGATAGACACTCGTCTTGAAAAGTCAAAGATGTGGGCAACAAGGGCTACAGAATGACTGCAGGTCACACTCGTTTCTCCCACCCACGCGTGTCTCGTTCCTAATGGGCCACTGCCCGTGTGTGTGGTGTCACCCGATAGCTGTGCCCCGTCAATTATGAATGGGCGCTAGCGAACACGACGGCTCGCTCACGGCGCTCGCAATATCCCCGGCGAATAAAGATATTCATCTTCTTGGTTCTTTCGGTAAAGTCACGTAGAATGGAAATAAAATCATAAAAATAAAACATAAAAAAAAAATTATTATGTTTTATTAAATAAAACATAAAAATGTTTTATTATGTTTTATTTTCATTATTAAATAAAACATATTTTTTTATTATGTTTTATTTTCATTATTTTATTTCCATTCTACGTGACTTTACCGAAAGAACCAAGAAGATGAATCCCTGCAGTCACGAAAGCTTTAAATCGAAAATTAAAGATATTCAGTCGTGAACGCTTCGATTTGAATCCGGTTCCGTGCCGTCACTTGATGAATGATTGCCGGACATGGCGCGTTTCGTGAGAGCAGGGGAGCGGAGCTTCCACGCTGTCCGTCAGCAATGCGGACACTGCCACGATGGAGTGGTTAGTGCGCCGGGCTTGCAATGTAGAGGCAACCCGTTCTATCTCCCGGCTCAGCAGTTGAAACAGCCATTTAGTGATACTCATGAAAGCACAATTTACATTTGTAAAGTTACGCATTTCATCCGTAGATCCCCCCCAATCCACACTGTGTATTAAAAGCAGGAAATAAACAGAACCTGCAGAGTAAACGGCCAGAACTTAAGGGGTGAAGGCCACTTTACAGAGGTGAGTTTTCGAGACACACTTAAATAGCGCTAACGGCTCTGATTGTCTTATTAGCAAAGGCAACGCGTTCCGAAGCTTGGGGGCTGTACAGTGGCAAAGGCGCAGCCCAGAAACAGAGCCATGACTTGGGAGTCCTTAGTAGGTGATCCGAACATCTCAGGGACCTCGTATTTGACGCTGCTGCATTGGCAGTGAAGCACAAGTACCATAAACAAATGTGCTATGAAGGAGGATCATTGCTCGAAACGTCACCTTTGACGTTTTTCGTTTAAGGCGGTGTTGTTGTTGACGAGTGTGTTGAGTTTTTCTCGTTGAAACAATGGGGGTGAGTTTATTCAAATCTCCCGCCTCTGTTCACCACCCAGCAGTACAAACTAGTGAAGCACAGTCGTGCGGTGGGAAGAGTAGGCCAAAGATACCCTTCAGTTGGGCTCTCCAGGGCTCCATGTAGGGGAGGTGCGTGTGCCATCAGTGAAGTGAGCTTCCAGTTATACTTTGCTGTATTACACGGCTTAAACAACTAAAACAAAACTAAAAACATTTTTTTTATTTTTCCAGATAAGGCCCACTGAGCTATATGGCTCTTTTTCAGAAGCGACCTGGCCACAAATGATCGATCAACGAGTGGCTTATCTTGTGGAAATTTACAGCAGCCAAATACTTTAAACAGCGTGGCATTGCAATTAAATCAACGTCAATTGGCTTCGCAAGATCCATTGGCTGCAGCGGTTTCATAATAAAAAATAATGGGGCATTCAACAAAGTGTTCCTCTATATTGCACTGTATCGCCTATCACTGGGTGTGGTTAACGCTTCATAAAATAAACATATCCGGCCCAGAATCACAAATGTGTGAACACAATGGCATATCAAGTGTCTCTTTCTCACAGGAATATTGTATACACATATATAGACACAGGTCCCCGTTTCGCCTTATGGGCTGTCAGGGCAAGTGCTGTTAGCAAGAATCTATTGAGGCATACTTGGCACACGATAAAGAGTGGCGTGCCCAGTGCCACACACAGTCCAAACCACCTTTGTCTTTCCATGACTGATGTTGGCCTGACTTTCAACGAGTCAATATGGACTCTTAGAGGTTGCCCAGACCACGTTGAGAAGTGGCCCAAGGGCAGGTCTCCACTGAAAACAGCCCTCAGACACTCGGGGCGGTCGAGGGTAAAAATGGGCTGCAGTTAGGAACCACAGGTCCAGGTTTTCCCAGGATCGTAGACGGAATTGATGCCGCCTGTTGTTAGTTGTAGAACATTGGTACACCACTCAAGACAAGGCATTCACATGTAGTTCTCTCCTCTTCTAGTATTGCGACATTCTTCTTACTGTAGCTCAGAGGTGGCAACTCTGGCTGCTGGCGTGAGCTGAACAATGAGCCACAGGTGACAGTGAAGACTGCACTGCTGATATGGTTGGACAGGTGTGTGTGTGAGCGCGCTTACCTATAAGGCGTCCAAGAGGCGTGTTCAGTGGTCGAGGCATCAGCACCTCCATGAAAGACATGCCGCTCGTGTTGGTGCCACCGTTGATGGAGCTGCTGATAATGGTGCTGCCGCTGATTATAATTGTGAGTACGCTGCTGTTGATGTTGCTGATGTAGCTGTTGACGATGACCCTGCTGTTATTAATGAAGGCTGCCGCTGGACCTGATGGCTAGGCTGCCGACTACGCCAGCCCTGGGTCACCCATGAGGGGCAGGGCTCAGTGGCCCACGGTAGCTCGGGGGGATTACGGAGCCCCCCACCCTGAGCTCGGGTTGGCTGTGCGAGGGAGGGAGGTTCTTGGTCCCTGCCCGCATCACTGCTTGCGTTGCGAGTGGGTGTCAGATTTAAACCACCCTGGACTTTAATTTCCAGAGTAGCTCAAAGCCATTTCGCGTGGATTTTTCGCCAGGTCCTCTGGGTTTTCCCTCCACGTTTAGAATCAATATACGTTTAGAACATTTGGCTGATAAAAATGTCCACTTAAGCCACTTCGTTGAGCTATCAATGGTGGCCAGGTCGCTTCTGAAAAAGAGCTACATAGTTCAGTGGGCCTGATCTGGTGAAATAAAAACGTTATAGTTACATGTACAATGTCATAACATTTATAGTAATAATAATTTATTAATCTAGGATAGCCTCACCGAGTCCCATAACTCTGTTTAAGAGCATCCTGCATTGAGATCTTTGACCAGTTATTTTTTTTCAATCAGCTATCTATCGTCTTAAAGTCCACAATTGAGAAGATAACGTTCACCAGTTTGCACGAATGGGTTCACAGACCCCTTGTACGGCCATCCTGTGGAAACCTCACAAACCAGCAAGCTTGGAAATTTCACAAATCTGTGAGCCCGGCGTGACTGCAACATCATGCAATAATAATACAAACGCTTTTGTTTTAAGTCTAGGCCATTGACTCTGCTTGCTTATAGCCCTTGCCATTACCTCTGGGGTTGCGTTTGTCATAAAAAGCGTAGTGTGAGTAAAATTACATCCATGTGGGCATTCGATGCATTGAGGCTGCCACAACCTCTGAACTTGAAAAAGTTTACCTTAAGACAGCATTTTCATGCCGTAATGTTTTCTTAGTCGGTATGGGATAGTGTTTCCCCCTCGCATGCGTGGGTTTTCTCCCGCATGTATAATAAATTCTGATTGGCTGAAAACATCTTAATATATAGAGAACTGCAGAGCAATTGTTTCTTGGATAAATTTGGACCCAGATATCTCACTATAATTCTATTATAAAAAAGCAACGAAACAAAAAACATGACAACAAAATAATTCAGCCTCCCATTTATTTTCGGTCAAAACCTTATTACATGTATATATGAACTTCTTTTGGACCGTACATAGCCAACCGTGCTCACCGGAGGTGCAGTATGTATGCGTGAACTTCTTTTGCACCGTATGTCGCTAACTGTGCTAATCGGAGGTGCAGGGGAAGGATAACAAAACACAAAAATCGGTTCTACAGAAATTAGTTTTCAATGTAGATGATTTCAAAGTACATAGCTCCAGTGGCTTCCTAATATCGGAAGAGGGTTCAAGACGGCTGCAGAAGCGCGTTTGAAAGCGTGCAATGCGGTGACTGTCTTTGTCCGATGGCTGAGCCAAAAGCCACTGCTGCAAGGATGACCGGAGTTTGTGTGATGTTTTATGCCCCTTGATGACATCAGCAAGGTATTTTACGTGAAGAGGTAAACATCATGGTGCGTATTTTGATTTAAAACTTTCGTGACTGCAGGGATTCATATTCTTGGTTCTTTCGGTAAAGTGACTTTACCGAAAGAACCAAGAATATCATGGTGCGTGTTAATAGGCCTGCAACGATTCTGCCCCCTCATTATTCGACTGTCAGTACAGGCGGTACGGTTCGATTAAAGAATCTGCGTTGTTTACCTATACGGGGAATGTGGCGCTACTGGCGGTTGCAGACGTCACGCGAATCGATTACATGCGACGTGTGCATCTTAAAGGCCTTTAATGAGTTTGCTTATAAATATCTCACCACTGATCTGATAAAGTTTTACGTTTCACTGCGAAAACTTAGATCTGTTTCTGCTCTCCTACTCATTATGATTCCATAAATACCACACTTTGTTATTCTATGGGAGATGCAGATTTTTGCAACCAGGCTCCGCGATTGTGGAATTCCTTTCCTCCTCGGTTCATGGGAGAATCTGAGTCTGTTACACTTTTTTTAATTGCGTCTCAAAACTCACTTGTTTGTACAACAGGCTTTCTCCATACCTCAAGCTTTATGTAAAGCACTTTGAGGCCTTTTGTGACCTGTGCTGCAGAAATCCGAGTTTATTTTTATTATTAAAAACCTATTTTTAAATTCACACTTCGCAGTGTGTGTACCAGGAGCAAAAAGACTTCGCAGTGGCAAGATGTTAACGACCTTGCCTGGAATACAGGCCTTGGGTTCGACCCCGACGCCTGCTGTATATTGGAGTTTGCAAATTTTCCCCGTGGTCACGTGGATTTTTAACCAGGTCCTCTGGTTTTTCCCTCCACATTTAGAATCAACGTGCGTTTTATGTCTCTGGCTGCTATAAATTTCCACACGATAAGCCACTTCGTTGAGCTAACATTTATGGCCAGGTCGCTTCTGAAAGAGCTAATAGCTCAGTGGGCCTTACCTGGTAAAGTTTAAATAGTTATAGTAAAGACTCTGATTGTAATCTGTGAATCGATGCATCATTGCAAGTCTACGGTCGACACACCGATGCTTTGCACACCACGGGGGGAAGCTTCTTTGGGCCCCCCAGTCACGACTCGTTGGCCAGCAGCTTGTGCTTGAAGACGGCATTCTCGCAGCTCAGGCACACGAAGAGGGCACCGGCGGCCGTGCGAGCCCGCACTTGCAGGATGTCCAAGTCGTGGGCCCACTCGACGTTGCCCCAGCGCGCGATCTGCGCGCCACGCAGAGCGTCACGCCGTGCAACGGCACCCGCGGTGAACATGCCTGGGGTCGCGACTCAAAGCCTACAACCAAACCACCTGGCGTGTGCCGATTTCAGAAGATCGTCAAAAGCAAGCAGGCTTGAGAACCTGGATTGATAGTGCTTGGATGGGCGACCACGATGCGTAAAGAGAGGTTGTTATTGTGCTGCCGCGAGGCTACGATGTGGCCAGTAGGGTGCAGTGCAGCAACCGTTGGATCAATTTACCCATCTTCTTTGGTTCTTTCGGTAAAGTCACGTAGAATGAGAATAAAATAATTGATAAAATAAAATAACAATAATATTCTCACGACGTTTCGGCCACAACACAAGCGGCCTTCATCAGAGACGAGACTGTCCTCCAGACAGTCTCGTCCCCTTCACCTGATGAAGGCTGCTTGTGTTGTGGCCGAAACGTCGTGAGAATATTATTGTGTTATTTTATTTTATCAATTTATTATTTTATTCTCATTCTACGTGACTTTACCGAAAGAACCAAAGAAGATGAATCCTTGCAGTCACGAAAGCTTTAAATCGAAATTCAATTTACCCAGTTTTCAAAACAGTAAATCCCTAATGGCAATACAATCATATACTCAAGTTGTTAACAATTGGACTATCTTTTAGTGACGTTAAAATGCACCCCCCCCCTCATTGCAGATGGGCAGAGCTAATGCATAAACGATTTGAACCTCAGTTTGAAAGTGTTAATTAGGGCCGGAGCTGCTTTCAGCATGAATGTCTACGGTGCAAGCACGCCGAGAGACGAGGACAATACCTGGAACTCCTCCTCCAGGCGAGAGAGCAGCACGGCTTCCTCCACATTCAAGTGTCGATCAACTAGCGCCAGGGTCAGGACCAAAGACTTCAGCTGCATCACTACGTACTCCAGGCCTGCACACGCGTGCACGACAGCGGTCACAGGTCAGAGCCAATGGAGTGAAAATTACGCATTATTGTGATTTGAACACAGCACTTCTGCAAATGATGAGAAACTAAACAGACAGAAAAGTGCGTGCACGCTGCAAACAAATGATACACACTAAAGCCTATTTATAGATACCAAAATTAGTGATTGTGATCAATGAATTGGTTCTCCCATCATGCCTAGCATGTCCTGTGACATCGACATACCGAATGAATGAAATGCACAGTCTTGTTTTAGATCACCAACTCAAATGTGTAAAGGTTTGTGGCCATATAGCGAGTAGCAGAAGCACAACTCTGTGCTTTGCGTGCATCACATAGAGTGTCGAACACTCATCAACCCAGCTCGCCCGGCTGTGGTCGATGAGAGGAGGGCCAAATTGCCTCGTAGTCTGGGTCACTTTGGGTGCCAATACCGATGAGGGCCCAGGCGTTGTACGACAGCAGGTGCTGGTTCAGCGTGTTGCGCGTCTCCTGCGGGATTTCTGGCCCCATGATGCTGGTGGAGGATCCAATGGTGACGCCGTACCTGTCAAAGCAATGATTGCAAAGGACATCTAGACCTCGGTTTTCATGGAGGACGAAAACTAGTCAGCTCGAATGCAGCTGCCCTCATTTCTCCCAGAATTAAAGTGATATGGATAACTCGAGTTTGTTTAAAAAAAAAAAACAGAGTGTTTCCACGATTTCCGAGTTTCTCGAGGTATCACACGAGTTGGGCAGGTCTTTCCCCAAATTTATATTTCTACCGATCCTGATTTCACATGTAAAATTCATCTCAGTGCGAGAAGCCAAATCATCCTGGAGAATTCGGCTTCTGCCTCAATTGGTTGTCTAAAAACACGGAAAAAATATAACACGTGGAAATGGGGAACGGGGAGGACGCAACTCACGTATGCACTTAAGTTATATGGAGTTGGGTACAATCTTAGAACATAAGCAAGCTGCAAAACAATGTTTTTTTCAGCTTTTCGCATGAATGAATGTTGAACCATGATAACGTTATGCGTGTTTTGGCCTGCCTCTCTGATCCTCTGGCAATAACACTGAACCCTAGATCAGAATCTTTTTTTTATCAGAAGGCCGAAGGTGACTCACCGCTCCTCGGCCCACGAGAGCACCGGGTCCCACTCTCCCTGCTGCAGGCTCACCAACGCGGGCGGTTCCTCCATGCGGTAGCTGTGACGACCACACGCATCCCATTAGGGCTGGCCTCGCCGATTATCAAGCAATCGATTACTGAACATTGGCTCCATGACTCGACGAACACGAGAATAGTTGGAGAATGTCTTCCCTCGGTTCCCATGTATGGCGCTGGACGGGAGGTGGTGATGTGCAGGACTTAGTGACATCATTATCATCAGCCGTGCTAATAGGGGGTTTCCTGCCTTCGAGAGGCACAATGTAGATAGAGATGGTCGTAAGTTTTTAAGGGGCCCAAGTAATCGACCAAAAAAAGAGCAGTCGATTACAATTACAGTTGTACAGCGAGAAAGTAGCACACAAGCTTCTAAGTAAGCCCCACTGAGCTATGTAGCTCTTTTTAAGAATTGACCTGGCCACAAATGATAGCTCAACGAAATGGCTTATGTGGAAATTTATTGCAGCCAAATTCTATAAACGCACTTTTCTAAATGTGGAGGAAAAAACCTGAGGACTCGGAAAAAAATCCACGTGACCATGGGGAGAACATAGACAATCCAAATATACAGGCGTACGGGTCGGGATCGAACCCACCACCTCATGTATACCTGGCGAGGTAGTTACCATCTCGGTGCAGTGTGCTGCGTGTGGAAAACATTTCTAAGTTGCCAACCTGTGCGGGAGTGGGAGGGGGGGAAAGGGGGGGGGCGTCTCACCAGATGGTGTCGGTGTCGAGGTATTTGAGTGCGGCGGAGGCCAACTGCTCCGGCCCTCGGTGGGTCGGGTTATCTAGGGCCGTGTTGCACAGCGTCGTCTGCACACGCCGGCGAGAGATGGCGCGTCATTCCGTCGCAATCGTTACGTCACTTTTCTGTGTGTGCACGTGCAGCCCATTTGTCAATCCACTGCCGGATTTCAATCCACAGCCGGATTAGGGCTTGCTCACGCCGTGTCGGCAGCGAGGGATATTTAACAACGCTCCAAAATGCTGGTCAGTTGCAAGTCAGCTTAGCTCCCGAGATCGGATCGGATCAGGCGCTCCCCGGGTGATTTAGTCAAAGGCATATCACATTGCCTTTCATTATAAAACGTTTCCTATCAATACATCACGGTATTTTTCTTACAGGCCTTTGTTAATCCACGTGTTAGATGAAGACCTGTCCACGCCGTATGAGTCGTGAGGGTGATTTGACCACGACTTAACGATACGGAATGGCATCAACGGGAGGAGCGGCGCACACATGACGTGCGACGTCATCACATTGGCCGGAAAGGCTTATCCATTTATCCCCAAGTCTTGGGCAACCATTTCATCAATGTGGCTGGTGTTCTCCGCGGTAAGTCTCTATTAGCTATACAACTTTATGCAAGCGTTTTATTCACGTTAGATCTTCTTTATGAGTGTAATGATTGCACGTTGCAGACAAAAAGATGGTACAGCTAATGTATTCACGCTGTCAACCTTGAATTGAACAGCGATATCGACATCCCCGGCTGATTTTAGGAGGAGCAGCAGCAGCAGCAGCGTTGAGCGCTGAGGCACCACTCACCAGGTGCATGCTGTGCATCTGGATGACGTTCTTCTGCATGTCCCACTCGGTTGCCACAGCGACAGCCAAACTCTCGCTGGGCACGGCAAACAGCTTCCCCTGCGGTGTGCGCAGCTTGCGGCGGTCCAGGTTCACCTCAAACATGCCGCCTGTTGGGACGGACGCACCTCTTCGTCGGTGGGTGGGTGCCAGCGTTGTACCATCAGAGGCATGGCGAATCCTCGCTCAGCGCGCGGTGTTCACACTACAACGTGGTTTCGCTATAATAATGCGGTCCTTCCATTAGGAACCCTTTTTGCGCATCGTTATAATGCGGAACGCGGACCGTTATAACTTTGTTTCCAAGCGGTTGACAACGAACTACTTTCTTGAGCTGCACGGCTGACGAGTGGTACAGTGATACAGTACATGGAATCATATAGTAACGCGGCGGCGTACCCTCAGTTATCTCGCTAAAGTTTATTGTTACATTATTTATGATTATTGTTTTCGCTTAACACTTTTTTCGCGGCGTACCCTCAGTTATCTCGCTAAAGTTTATTGTTACATTATTTATGATTATTGTTTTCGCTTAACACTTTTTTCGCTGAAAGCGGCACTTTTCAGGAACGCATCTACCGCTGTTGATGCATCTTGCTGTTGATGCCCCCAGGGTCTGGAAAGCTATCGCCAATAAACTGCAACTTGGATCACTACCTGTGAGATCTTCCCTCAATGGAAAACTATCGCCAATAAACTGCAACTTGGATCACTACCTGTGAGATCTTCCCTCAAAACTGCTCCTGAGGAGCTGGACACCCCTAGCTGCCACTGCTATGCAGAGTGGCCTGAAATCAAATGCATCGCTCCAGATGACCGCTGCAAAGTATGATCTTGAGTTTTGATTATAGTATGCTGATCTTTAATGGTGCATTGAAAAATGTTGATACTCCTGCTGATACTTCTGCTGTTATGGAGTGACTCATGCTGCCAGCTATGGCTGCAAAGTTTGGTCGTACATGTTTGTATATCGTTTATTGTTAAATTTGAATCAGTTCTTATGATCACTGTTACATTGTTTTTATAGCTTTACTTTGGTGATTTCGAAAACGTTTTGGTTTAGCTATGTTTGTTTGTTGAAGTACAGAGTTAGCCTGATAACTTTAATCTAAATTGTCTTATGGTTGGCATTGTTTGACTTGCATCCAGGGACGGAGCCACAGGGGGGGCTGGGGGGGGGGGGCTAAGCCCCCCCTGAAATTTTGAGAAAGTCGGTAATCGGGATAACCGGATATTCGGCTGCTGCAAAATGCTGACTTCCACTTTGTGCTGCCCTGCAGGCTGCTTGAGCGGCAGCCTTTCGAACTTATCGAACTTATTAGCCACATCAGCAGCTCAGACCTATTAATAAACTCCGCGTTCAAATCCAATAAAAAATATACATTTGTGGCGCCCATTGGAAAACATAAACTGGATATCTCAGAATATTGAAGTCAGCCCCCCCAAAGTCAAAATCCTGGCTCCGCCCCTGCTTGCATCCCACTGGGATTTTTGCACACAGCGTTAATATACGGTGTTTTTTTCTAGGAGATTTTGCTATTTTTTCCTGGATTTTTCTGTTGCGAATAGTCACTTTAAGATGTTCTTTGTTCATGTTTTTGTTTGTTGCGGTTGCACCCGAGTCAAGAGCCGCATGGCTCACAGGGCTATACCTAATACACGAAACTGAAACGAGGACTTACTGTACTGTCTAAGTCCGAATCTTATTATCAGGCTGGAATGTCTCGCTTGATGTTTTCCCAGTCGTTAGCAGACTGGAGTATACACATGACTAATAGCCACAGCCATCAAAAGAGGTATCCTGGATGTGGTGTGCTGGGTACAGAAATATTTTCCTAATCGCCGACCCAGCCCATGCTGAAATGAAAGCCCTACTGCTTACTATGCATATCAAGGTTAGGACCAATCAATTTCAAAGACAAGGCATATATTATCAGAGTATGTTTTTGTTTGCATTCTGACCACAAGTATTCTGGTTAATGCAGACATGATTCCTTGTAAAAGGTTTAAGTTTGGTGTTTTAACATCTCAACACCTTCTAGATTTTAAGCTTTCGTGACTGCAAGGATTCATACTCTTTGTTTTTTTCGGTAAAGTCACGTAGGTAAAATAAAATAAAACTAAATTAAATCACGAGGCTTCGGAGCTAACACAAGCTTCCGTCTTCAGGTGGAAACCGTCACAGCAAAATTGCTGTATCAAGTGAAGAGAACTCTAAGAGACCCGAGATTATATACAGGTTAAGGGGGGGGGGAGCCAGGAAGGGCCGTGGGGGGGGGGGGGGCTAAGTTAAGCCACCTTTTGTTATGCTGCAGAGGGTTAGGGGGACGGAGAGGCGATGACGAGCGGTTGTCGAAAATGAGAGAAACCAACTGGAAGAAATGGAAATGGCTGTACAATTATAAGCCAGCTAAAGTTTGACTTGGTTGATGACATCTTTAAAAAAAGTCAAAGAGTATATTTCAACACCTGTTTTGTTGCCAGAAAAAAGGGGAAAACCTATTCTCATATCAAGGTTGTGTTTGGAGATTTGTTTTTTTCCGATGCTTGTACCCCTCTGGAAGTAAATTTTGTAATGATGAGGTTTTCCTTGGCTGGCTGACTAAGGGATCATTATTCTTGGTCTATTTATTTAAGGATAAATTGTGTCCCCCCCCCCACACAGCGTTTATACATTTCCCACACTCTTAATTTGTTTTTCCTTTGAGTTCTTTGAATATCGAGAAATGGCATTGCGTCCGACGTTGTCTCGAGATTTAATGTAAATCAGTTCCAAGTAAAAAAAAGTTTGTAAATGAAGTTAAAGGGTAACTCGTCAAAGATGTGGGACCAATGTGCTGAGTGTCAAGTCCGTTGTTAATGCTGACCTCATGGATTCACTCTACAATGGAAGGGACCCAGACATTGCCATTCGTGGTAATCTCCCACATTCTACTGGACCTACACTGGCTTCCAATTGAGCTCCGTGCACAGCCCAAATTCATGTTGCTTAATTCACAAAGCACGCTTTCAGCAATTGCCTCGACATTTGACCTTTAAACTGCAGCTTTACAATTCTTGTTCTAAGAGTTGGAGGGCCTCACGCGCCGTGACCGCGCTCCTCCCGAGCCTCGCTTTCGGCAAAAAAAGTTTCGGATCACGGCCTTTTTCGGTCTTTGGCCCTCGGATTTGGAACGCTCTGCCTGAACAACTGCGCCTGGTCGCTGAAGTTCTCCCATTTAGAAACTAAAAGCCGACTTATTTCCTCGGATAAGTGAGATAACCTAGAGATTATTTGTTTTGCCCTTGTTCGGCGCTCTGAAGCCCTTGGTTGTGTCTGCTTACGCATTATAAAATGTATACACAATCATAATAATAAAATGATGCATGGCACTGGTGACACTGTAGTTAATGATGCATGGCACTGGTGACACTGTAGTTGACAGTCGGTACCTTCCCCGTGTGTTATCGACACATCGTTGTAAAAGCGTTTCTTTTCTGCAAGAGACACAACAGCACAAGTAGACTGCATTAATACTAAATGTTACACATCTGCTCAACTGAGGGACATAAAGCACTTTAATAGATTGAAGTTCATTCGCCCGTGAGCTTTCTCGGCCAACGTTATCCCGCAGCAGTGGTTTAACAAAGTAGTTGATGGGCGAGCGGCGATGAGGAGATCGACGCTGATTATCGTCGCTCTCGAGTCTGTAAGTACCAGGAGCCTGGGCTGGTACTTGGGGAGCAGCCCCGACAAACAGTGTCGTGGTCCATATTCTTAGCTCTTTCGGTAAAGTCACGTTGCAGGGCAACAATAAAATATATAAAACAATAATGCAAACCGACACATCTGATGACGACTGTTTGTGTTATGGTCGAAACGTCGTGAGAATTTTTATTGTTTTATATATATATTATGTTATCGTTTCCCTTCAACGTGACTTTACCGAAAGAGCTAAGAATATGAATTACTGCAGTCACGAAAGCTTTAAATCAAAATTTAGTGTCGTGGTCATTGAGCGCGCAAGCGGTGCAACCGCACCCGGCACTCGGGCGCCCGAATTATAACGAGGGGGAGGAAATTGCCAAGTGGATGACCCTGTGTGAATACTGACGCGATGGCCCACACCAACCACGCTGCGCCACTGCACCACGGGCAAATTACGGGCGCATCGATCTCTGAACCTCCCTCATCTCACCTCTGAATAAGCGGCGCGACTCCTGCCGCGGTGCAATCGTCCCCAAGAGGAGGCTGCCGCTGCTGCTGTTGCAGCCACCGCTGCGGGACGCGGCGCTGAAAGCCCGCAACGCGCCCTTGAGCATCGTCGTGCCACTCTGGGGGTGACGGCAGCTCCGGCGAATCTACGAACGCTGGCGAGGGGGAACGGCACGCGTCCACCTACCGGGGCGGCTGCGGGAAGACGCAGCGATGGAATGAGCTCAGGTTGCAGGTACCAGGCGGGGTTGCTACATCGGACAATCGTGAGCAGGTGGCGGCGGTTTTCGCCCAGCAGTGGAATGACCGACCAGGCCGACGCTGCTGACGAGGAGGCGCAATCAGTGGATAGAGCACCGCACGCTCCACGTGCCGGCCGCCCGCTGCAGTCGAGGGGTCGAGAGGTGTCGCGGCGGAGAGTGCCCTGGGTAGTCTGGGCGGCCATATTTGTAAGGGATGCTTGTGGCGACGCGCACCCGGGGGCGGTGACCATCATCATCAAAGTGCGACTCCTTGCTCGACGTTCGCAATATTTTTTTCCCCCGGCCAATATGGCGGCGAATTTAACTTGATCGCGTTTACATGACGCCAGGCGTATCCCGACGCGCACCACGTGGTGTGCACGTCGGCCAATAGCCAGCCCCGTTGTTTTGCAAGGAGGAAGGAGGCGGAGAGCGGCGACGTTGGGCGGGAGGCGAGGAACGCGCGGGGCGCTCCAGCAACAGCAAGAAGACAACAACAACAAGGCAACAACACACACAACGAGAAGCCGCAGCGAGATGCGAGCGCGGCGGTGGCAGTGGCTGGCGCGGTCGCGTTAGGAGGGGGGCGCCGGCGATGGGCGAGGCGCCGCCTCCTCCGCCCCTGTGGGCCGCGCAGCCCGGCGCCGTGACGGGTCTCCTGTACAGCGGCTCGCGCTTCCGCGGGCAGCAGAAGAGCAAGGGCAAGTCGTACGACGTGGAGGTCGTGCTGCAGGTCAGTGTGCTCTCATAACCCCCACCTGGGAGGAGGGGGAGGAGGAGGAGGCGGGAAAGGCACCCCTCCTGCACCTCGCGTGACGCGTGGGAAAGGCCGGGCTGTTCACGGCAGCTCAAGTGGGGAACAGTCTCCCTCGGTCGACGGCCGCGATTTAAGTCGGGAGGGGAGGGCGGCCGGGGGTAGCCGAGGTACGAGAGCTGCTGCCACCCGTGAGGGGTTGACCCAGCCAGTCCGGGAATCGGAATCTGTGTTGGGGTGGCAGGAATTGATTTGTACCGGACATTGTGTTAAACTGTGTTGCAGGATACTGCACGGGTTTGGTAACACCGACGGATGACTGAGAAGCGTGTCCCGGCTTGGGCTGTGGGGGGGGGGGTCCCAGGCTGAGTAAAGCTGTGTGCGAGTTGGTTCGTGGAGCACGCTCTGGGTTTGTTTTGGACGCGGCCCAGCGAGCTGAGCCTCACCCTCCCGAGAGAGTTCCTGCACCGTGGAGACGGAGCAATGTTATCGGCAGGGGTGCAGTAGCAGGTGCTATGTGGATTCTTACATTGCAGGATAGTGCAGCAGCTTGGGGAAGATATTAATCCAGTAGTGGATTGACGAATGCAATGGGAGCAGTCGGCGTTGCTTATTTTGAGTAGACGGAAGTAAATTTAAAGTGTAAGTTAAATTGCTTTAAAGTTAATACTGCACTCGGCATAATGAAGTTTAGTAACATTTCTACTGCACAAAGATGTTGCACAGTTTTGTGGAATGCCGAGTGGAATGCTAACCCATGGGAACAGGGTGTGGGCCAGGTGCGTGCCATCTGAGATGAATATTAATTTCATAATCAGTATTTAGACTACAGGAGGAATCTGATGAGCTATACAGTATCTCTTTTCACAGATCTCCAGTCGGGGCGGGTGGTCAGCGAGTTACAATAACAAACAATGCACAAACAAACGATAGGAGTGCAATATAGAGAAAATGTAAGCAAGTCACTCTAAATAAAAAAAATGCATTTGTACAAATTGTACAAGTATATAAATCCCTTCCAATGTTTCAATACCAAATTCAAGCTTGGGCAAGCCAGCAAAACAACCACTGCATTCCTAGACCACACCAAGACACAACACTCAATAAAATTACCTCAATCCCTAAATAAAATTACACATTAAAGTTGAATTGTCGATACACGGATGAGGATCAAAGTTTCAAATCACATTGGCAAATTTGGTTGTATTCAGCACTAATCTTCAGCTACAATATATTTTAAAAGTAAGATTTACAATGTTAAGGCACTATAATGATGTGCTTTATAAATTAAGGGCAGTTAGTTATTTTCGGTGGCATGTGCCAATTGGGCCAATCGAAACACCAACGGCTCACGGTGCTGCTGCTGCTGATGCGTTCGCTGTGTGCGTCGTGTGTCGACAATCCCTTGCAGCACGTGGACATGGAGAGCGCCTTCCTGTGCGGCTACCTCAAGATCAAAGGGTTGACGGAGGTGAGGCTGCCTTGGTCTGGCAGACCCTTCGTGCAGTTTGTCAATTTACAATGCGTGCAGCATAATTGTGTCTATGCGCGGCACATTATTACTTAAAACCTTGACTCGTTGGGTGTATGTAGTTTTACGAATTGTTACACGTTTACTTATTGAACTTACCTTCGTAGTGTACTGATTGATTACTGCTGCTGTTGTAACCTTGCTGCAATATTTATTATTTGATTTCATGCATTTCAAATTTCCGACTCGGCACTTTTGAGATTAAACTTTGCAGCTCTGCTGCCACGCCTTGGCCAAATTAAACGAAGTACTGCATGTACAACATTGCCGATTGTGATTTGTTATAACGGGATATTAAATGTTTATGGCCTCAACAAAATTCCCCCAAGACAGTCACAACCTCACAAAATAATAATAATAAACATGTAAGTCTCACGACCACCTATGTCTCAGACATTACAATGCTACACGATGTGCGTGTCATCCGTCTGTCTGTGTGTGTGTGTGAAGGAGTACCCGGAGCTGACGACGTTTTTTGACGGTGAAATAATCAGCCCAAAGCGCCCGTTCCTCACAAGGAAGTGGGATGCCGATGAGGACGTGGATCGCAAGCACTGGGTACGGCAGCAGAATCCTGACCACAGGGGGCAGCAAAAGACAGGGGACTGCACGGCCATGGGCAGCTCGTGGGAGGCCACTTGTCACTGCAATAAAGCGAATATCTCTCGCTCCACTGCATTTATACGATGCGGCTACTTAGAGCCGTCCCTACGGTCCGGCACAAACCACACATCATGTTTGTGATAAAACATGCAAACAAAAGTGCTTTTATAATGTATGCATTGTGTTGGAAACTGATTGGCCTACACCTCCTTTATGACCTTGTCTCACCAGTGTTAGACCAGATAATGCCAAAAAGGCGAACAGCACCAAGGCAATGCAAATATCAAAAGACAATGCATACATTATCAAAGCATGTTTGTTTTTATGTATGTTTCACCACAAGTATGATGTGTGGTTAATGCAGACTTGATGCATTGCAATAGGTGTCTATTCGGTGTTTGAAAATATTAACACCTCCTGTATTTTGATTTAAAGCTTTCGTGACTGCAGTAATTCATATTCTTAGTTTTTTCGGTAAAGTCACGTTGAAGAGAAACAACAAAATAACAAAATATATATAAAAAATAAAAAAATTCTCACGACGTTTCGACCATAACTCAAACGGTCATCATCAGGTGTGTCGGTTTGATGATGACCGTTTGAGTTATGGTCGAAACGTCGTGAGAATTTTTTTATTTTTTATATATATTTTGTTATTTTGTTGTTTCTCTTCAACGTGACTTTACCGAAAAAACTAAGAATATACCTCCTGTATTATTGCCAGAAAGGGTGACGCCTATTTTTTTTGTCATCTTATTGAGTGATTTTTTACATGAACAGTAAAGTAAATCTTGATTTGAAGCTTCCGTGACTGCAGATATCTATACTCTTTGGTTCTTTCTGTAAAGTCACATAGAAAATTAATAGATCACGACGTTTCGATCGCAACACGAGCGACCGTCTTCAGATGAGAGAGAGAAAGCTACTGAAACATGGTCTTATGTAGGTATGAGATGAGTGCAGCCTCAGGGTAAGAGGGCGGGGCTAGAGATGGTCTGCCTGAAGCTGTGGAAGTGGCTATTGTATTGTGAGAGATTAGCATGTCAATGCACTAGCTTATTATGCCGCAGCATCGGTGACTTGCCTAGTATGTCGCATCATCGGTGACTGAGCGAGAAGGACATCCAGCCTGTCAATACAAAGACATCCAACTTAATATTGCAACTCAGAGAGTGTCAGCTAAAATCGCAGGAAGGATGGAAACATCACAGCAGGTTAAGACTTTACCTGGTTAATCACGTCCTTCCAATGATTGCTCAATTTATACCCATCTTCTCGGTTGAAGTTGTGTCTGTGTTTATATATCTGGATGGCTTCATGAACAAATCTCTAATGATAGTGGGTTTGCAGAGTACCTTCGTCTTAGAAAAATCAATTTCGTGTGTGCCCACAGCTGTAAAACAATGATCTGCAACGGCAGAGGTATTGGTCCTACCGTGCCTAAGATTTGCCTTGTGTTGGCGAACACTGTCCGAGACATGTCGTTTTGTTTCCCCAATGTAACTGCTGCCGCAGCCACAACTTAGTTTGTAGACACCAGGATATTGCATGTCAGGAATCACATCCTTTACAGATGGGATCAAATCACGGATCTTATGTACTGTGTTGAAACGAACCTGGATCTTGTGTTTGTTGAAGATTTTGGAAATATTTTTGGTAACCCCTGCTATGTATGGCAAGGTGATGGTTTGATTGGGTACTCACATGGTTGTCTCCCCATAGCTGGCGAGAAAGTTTTGCCTATTGTACGGTCAGAATATCCATTTATCCTGAGGGCTTGGTGTACATGCTCCAGCTCACTGGCTAGGTGGAGCTGGTCGGAGATGCAATGGGCCCAATGGTGTCATGTTTTGATGAGGGAATTATTTTGGACTGGATGGTGGTGGTAGGCTTTAGATAGGCATTCGTGTTGGTGGCTTTCCTGTAGACAGAATGTCCCAAGGAGCCATCAGGTCTCTTCTCGATCAAAATATCCAGGAAAGGTAACTTGCCATCCTTTTCCACTTCCATGGTGAATTTGATGGCTAAGTGTATGGAATTGATGTGGTTGAAAAATTGGTTTAGTGCTGGCTGGCCATGTGACCAGATGACAAACGTGTCATTTATGTATCGCTTCCACAAGGAAGGATGTAGGGTGGATGTCTGGATGGCATCTGTCTCAAATTTCTCCATGAAAACATTCGCGACCACTGGCGATAAGGGTGAACCCATTGGCGTACAGTAAATGTGTAATCTGTCAACCGAGTCAAATGATCACGTGTCCACTTACTCTATTGTCATCGTGTATTGGCCATGGCTGGTCCCGGCGGGAGTGCAGAGGGATAGAGTTCTGTGTCATGCAGGGCTGTAGGCGTTGACCTACTCAACGCATTATTTTGAAAAATGCGATTAAATCCGAACGGAGCACTGGCGCTGATATGACAAGGCGTGTGATGATTATCAGTTCTGTTGATGGCTGACTAAATTGTTTTGGACAAAAAAACAGTGGTATGCGATGTCTGACAATTACCAATTTCCCTGTTGTACTCCAGGGAAAGTTTCTTTCTTTCTACCAGTTTGCCAAAGTGTTCAACTCGGACGATTTCGACTACCAAGAGCTTCAGATCAGCGACTTTGTCTTCATGCGATGGAAGGTACAGAAGATAATTTTACAACAGTATTACTCTAAACACTAAGCAACCGGGTACCAAATGTTTTCAATGTTCTCATTCTTCAATAGGCTCATTACTGGATACCTACAATTGGCTACGTACAGTGCGAAAGAAGTTCAACATACATACAATTTTCCCTTGACCAGGAATTGGAAGTTGACATGGCTCTGTGGTGTTAGGTGCTGTTCCAGAATAAATGTGCTCTTCATTAGGTCGCAATTTTACCTTGGCTGTGAAGGTCAACATATATTACAGAAATAAATTTAGAAAATATTTTTTATACATCAAGTAGCCCATATAAAAATAACTGGATATTATAAAAAGTTTACAGTGGAGAACAATTTCTGGATTTTATGATGTTTAAAAATTGCTTTAAAAATAATGATACGGACATCGGATGCATGTCTTGGGCTGTCCAACATGAGTTTGAAGCTTTCGGAAGGAGAAACATCCGATTTATAGTTACGCTCAGGAGACCTGTGATGTTTACTGCAAGAACACTATAACCAAACTAAAGGGTGTCAACACGGTGCTCTTAATTTCTTTCTGTTAAAAAGTAGTGAAGCTTCCAACTTCAGAATCTGTATTTAGATAGGGGGAATGCAATGATCTTTGAAGCTTTTTCACAGATGTCCAGTATTTCACAGATATCTTGTGTTGGACAGTCCAAGACAAACAGCCTCCGTTAGTGGATACGAGATGAGATGTCATTTTGATTGGGTTGTCTCTACTTTTAAGACTTTGCTGATTATAACTTTGGGGCCCCGCTGTGCGCATTTAAACAGGAACACTTCCTGGTACCGGACCACACAATCCGGGACATCAACGGGGCATCGTTTGCTGGCTTCTATTACATCTGTTTACAGAAATCCACCGCCTCCATCGAGGGATACTACTTCCACAAGAGTTCAGAGTGGTGAGGCCTCCGGAAGCTGGAGAGCAGTGTATAGGGCAACGTGGTGGCGAGATGTTAACTCCCTCGCCTGGTATGCGGGAGGTCGTGGGTTCGATCCCGACCCTGACGCCTATATATTTGGATTTTGCATGTTCTCACCGTGGTCGTATGGATTTTCCTCCCGGGTCCCCCACATTTTGAAACATGCGTTTCAAGTCTTTGGCTGCTGTTAATTTTCACATGATAAGCCACGTCATTGAGCTATCATTTGTAGCCAGGTTGAAATCGCTCGTCCGGGAGCATATTGACTAAATAATAACTCATTATTTCAGACTGGAGGAGGAATTTGATGAGCTATGAAGCTCTTTTTAACAGATATCCAACAAGGGCAGGTGAGCAAGTTCCAACAACAACCAAACCCCAAAATAAAACGATAGTAGTGAAATATAGAGATAAGCAAGTCATGAAAAATGAATAAAGTATATAAGTACAGAAGTATGTAAATTATTGCCTTATTTTTAAACACTTAAATGAAAGTTTGGGCAAGGCAGCAAAACAACAGCACTCCCAGACCACACCAAGACAACTCACAGTCCCTCAATTAAATTACACATTAAAATTGAACGATCAATACACGGGGAGTAAGGATCAGTGACATCACATTTGCAAACGTGGTTATATCCGGCACCAAAAGGGGCTGTACGCAACGTATGAGCGAGTGTCAAGTAACGGTTGCGTGGTGCATCCGCAGGTACCAGTCTCTGAACCTGACTCACGTGCCGGAGCGCAGCATCGCCATCTACATGTTCCGGTAGCAGAGGAGAACGCCGCTGACCCTCTTGGGTACTCGCGTGCCGTGCCACGCTGCCCAGCGGGCAAATGGGTCGGGCAGGGCACCCCCCCCCCCCCCCCCCCCCCCCCCGGAGAGCGCACGGGTGACACCGTGCCCACCACCCGTCCTTGCTCGCTTCCAGGAATTAAGTGCTCGCCCTCTGTTGAGACTCCTGTCGAATGAACGACTCTGATGAGGGAGCAGCGGAGTGGCTCCGAGTGGTGCTGAAGAGAGAGGCTAAATTGAAGCCTTTGAACCCGATTCTCTGGGAGAGGCTTCCCTCAATGTCATGGCGACGTGCTGCATGGAGACTGGCCTTTGGTGCTGTGCTACATGCGTGCGTTGGCGTGTGTTCTCTGATGAGAAGTGGGCAATAATATAAAAGGCCTTTAACGTTTGTTAAATCTTGGATTCTTATTTAAATGAGTTTTGTCAGGCTGCACGAGATTGTTTTGAATACTAAATGCTCAGGCTGAATGCGATGCGCCCCAATCCTCTGGTGCTGGCTTTTATCTGCAACGCTACCAAGCCCCTCATGGTGGAGTTTTGGGCTGTCGGGGTCTTCTTAAGCAAGAGTGAGACCTTTGGGGCCCACAAAGGAATGGAAGCGTACGTTTTGTACCCAACCATTTCAGAATTGTTGAGTGTGTCATCCCCAAACCGTGCTGGATTTGACCATTGAGGGTAACTGGCTCCTCGTGGAATTGTTTACAGTGGTCCTCGGTTGTGGCATCTTCTCTGTCGCGCGACAACCTCATGTGATACGTCCACTCATAACCCACGCGCCGCAGCTGTCCGCATTCACCTTGCCGTGGCTTGGCTGGGCGCATGCCCTACCCCATCGGGCACCCTTCGCGAGCTGGTGGTTACAGAGTGGACTGGTGGACGTGCTTGTTGCATGACATGTTGCTGCAGGGAGAGTGTAACAGGAGAGCCGTGTCATTTTTAGTTGAAGCAGGCTCCCTGTAACCCCAGGGGCCGGCGTGCACGTGTAGCAAGCGGGTTTCATTTATTGCAGGTCTTATAACCACCCCCTACCACCCCGCATGCCAGTTGTGTCCAATCTCCTAATCGGCAATTGGCTGTTTAATAATGCAAGAACTTATTTTGGAGACACGGCCTTATGGCATCGCTAACAAACCCCTAGAAGGTGGCTCTGATGGAAATTAAGAGCAGACCCGTGGAGAATTGTCATGCTGTGCGTATATTTCCCTGCAGTGTGTTCGCAAGGGAAGATAAAGTAATGGAGCTGCGGTGGATACCAGAAGGGTGCGGATGCACCATGTCGCGGCTGCACCGTGTCGCGGCAGCAGTATTCTTAATCGCACCCAACACCTGCGGCGTGCACCGCTTTCCTTCGAAGTGCTTTTGCCGCTCATGACAATTGTTTGCGAATGCAAAATGAGGAGAGATAGCACCTCGCTTTGGGTGACAAATTTCGAAAAATTTGCGCAAATGACTGAGACTCGTGTAGAACGCCACTCAGAGGGGATGCGTGTGGCTGAATTCACGGTGAGTTTTACTTTTGATTCAAGCAAAGAATTAAATTATCCCTCTGTGAATGGTAACCATGCCTAACGGCTGATGGAAGCAAGGACATTGAAACAACAGTAATTTAGAACCCAAAGACAAACATTGCCTAAGGGGTTTAGACAGAACAAGCTTTTGCATTTGTAACCATTAGCCTCGGGCAGTGTGGCTTTTATTAGGCGGTAGTTATTTCTTGTTTTGGCCAACATTGCTCGTAATTTCTCCCTCAAATAACACCCATAATGCATGCTGTGTCAGTGAGCGGGTTGATTCACGACCATAATCGCACCTGTTTGGCTGGTCGTAAGTTATTGATTGAACAAGAAATGTGAATGTGGATCGGAGGGCTCTGGGTCGAGTACGCAGGTTTATTGGGCTGTCATCGGTATCCCAAAAAACTCAGTTGACCGTGGGCTGAGCACATCGCGTAACGCCCGTGAATGTGTCATTGTGTACATGTCAACCGTGAGATTCTGAACAGCTTGTTACAAATACTCTGTGCATATGTATATTTATGATTTTTTTTTTACTCGCGTGAGAATACAGGGATCCCTTGATTTACGAAAGCAGTGCGTTCTTAAAAAAAACACGTTAAAACTAAATTTCGTAAATTGGAACGGCTTTTCCTACTCAAGATTAGGCATGTGTTTTGGACAGACATTCCAGCCCTACTCTTAGCCTAAAAATATACACGACCTATATCACTTTTCACAATGCAAAAATAATAAAGGACAAATATTCAAACGATTGAATAATAGTCTTGAATAAAAAAATTTTTACCTCTTCAGGGAACTCGCCAAAAGATGAGCGGCGGCGCACTGTGGAGGCGTTGCTGCTACTGCTGCCATACCGCAGGGACTCTGTCGCGGGTGGATGACGACGCAGCCTCTCGCGTCGCTTATCATTTGATTATCTCACGGCGAGTGCCGTAGTGAAATTGCATTAAATAATTTGGCAATTACGTTCACACGAAATTTCGTAAACATACCGTTTGTAAATCGAGGGATGGCTCTACTGGATCTCAAACTTATCTTCATCGGCATTACAGTCAACGCTTGCGCTTTGGCCTTCAAACACTGCTTTTAAAAAAAACATGTTTTTCTTGGACTTCATCAAAATGTTCCAAGTTTTATAATTTTGGTAACTCGTGGACATTTCATAGGCCGCATGATTATTGCGTGCGCACGTGTACGAGATTTGAAAAAATATAGGGTGGTGATTCTGTCATGTTATTTTTTATGGAATAAGTAATTTCGTCAGTGGTAATTGAGTGGCATGTCACAATGCTGCTAGATAACAATGACACTACTGTCATCTTACTAACGAAGAGGGCATCGGTTTTCCTAACACGAGGAAATCGAGCATGCATTCTATAACTTGCCTAGGGATTTTGGTGACGATCAAATGGAAAATTGCGCTGCAGTCCTGTAGTCAAGCCTTCGTTTGCAGTTTATTCTTTTACATTTTTGTGCTTGCGCTGCGTATATTTATTTTGGGGCCTATGTGCAAAAGAAATGTATTTATTTTGCTTATAATGCACTTGGATTTGCTTGTCTGGAACATTTAAAGTATAATAATGGCAAATGGAAGAGTGTCCACCAAAGGCTAACAACATGCTCGAGAAAATCAGATCAACTGTGGATTGGTGACGAACCAAAAACAACATCGGCAGGTGGAAGTTATCGTTTTCAGATGGTCCAAGAAGTATGGCTGAACTGGGTGTTCTAATGCCTAGAAGTGCAGAGGTCCACTATTGGGAAAGGGTACACGGGTATATTGTGTTCTCAACATCAGGTGAGTGGGTATATGTACTGTGCCCTCAAAATTGGAACAAATTTAAACAAATTGAAAACTGAACTCCCGAAATATTAAATGTAAACTGCAAAGCAATGATGGCATATTGTTAGCTGGGTTTCCACGCTGTGCAAATTATAAATTACGTTAAAAGCGTAATTGGAAATAACGAGGTTTAGTTCAGACAACTGATATAACAGGCACCACGCCCCTGAATGAGTGGTATTTGAAGGACAAGCGTACGTTGAATCTCTGAAGAGAATCTTTGGCGTCTTATGATTGGTAATCTTTCAAAAAATATACAGTATATAGGCAATGTTGCGGACTGACAACGCAGTTGTGGTGCTGCAAAGTGACTTGCATTGCATTCAGTTACCTCAAATGGGAACCCTGCTCTCGCGAGCTTTGCAGGAACAGTATTGACTCGGTGTGCCATGTATCAGACTAGGTAACTACCCTCCGTGCTCGGTGTGCCGTGTATCGGACCAGGTAACTACCCTCCATGCTCGGTGTATCGGACTAGGTAACTACCCTCCGTGCTCGGTGTATCGGACCAGGTAACTACCCTCCGTGCTCGGTGTATCGGACTAGGTAACTACCCTCCGTGCTCGGTGTGCCGTGTATCAGACTAGGTAACTACCCTCCATGCTCGGTGTGCCGTGTATCGGACCAGGTAACTGCCCTCCGTGCTCGGTGTGCCGTGTATCGGACCAGGTAACTACCCTCCGTGCTCGGTGTATCGGACCAGGTAACTACCCTCCATGCTCGGTGTATCGGACTAGGTAACTACCCTCCGTGCTCGGTGTATCGGACTAGGTAACTACCCTCCGTGCTCGGTGTGCCGTGTATCGGACTAGGTAACTACCCTCCGTGCTCGGTGTATCGGACTAGGTAACTACCCTCCGTGCTCGGTGTATCGGACTAGGTAACTACCCTCCGTGCTCGGTGTATCGGACTAGGTAACTACCCTCCGTGCTCGGTGTATCGGACTAGGTAACTACCCTCCGTGCTCGGTGACCGCAGGAGCCCGGTCTGCACACGCTGGTGCATTCATGTTCGGAATGTGCCATAAAATTGTGAAGAGTTGATTTCTGCAGCTTTGATACATTTATGGATGTTTGTTTTTGTGCACATTGGGTAAATGCTTCACATATCCCTAGTTTCCATACTCATCACTCCCGTCACACTACAGCCTTCTTTGTCCAACACGCAATTCTTTGAAAATGCATTGTGCAGCGTTGGACTGTCAGTTCACATTCGTTATGGGCACATAAAAAAAATCAAAGTTACTTGTGAATTCAGTAAAATAAGTGAATTCCGAAAACAAATGATCATGTGCAGCGTATTGTAGTCTTTATTATTTTACATAAAAATGGAAGAGTGAGCTGTGTAGATGGAAAACACGTCACTTGTTTGAAGTGCCAGATTGATCAACATTGGATTTCCATTGCATTTGATTTACTATTGCTGTTTGATGTCAAGACTGAGTTGCATTCTACCGTGTGGGGTGATTAAAACATGCCGTAAATAATGTATAATTTATTAAACAGCATTGGCACTTTTTGCAATATTGATGCGTTTTATGTGTTCAATATTTGGGGTGTTGAAATGTAACATGAATGTGGAAAGCACTTCTGATGAGCACACTAATAATGCTATGTATGTAACACTTTTTATATTTATATAAATGTATGCCTTGGGTAGTTGAGGTTGCAGTCCATTGTAAATGGTGAATTCTGCAGTGGGGGTACTGACATCTTTGCTATATAAATTATTTAAATTTGCCCACCATTTATATTCTTGATATACGGAGCGTGACGTTTTCGGTTTGACTACCTGGGAGGCGGAATGGTAACGCAGTGAGAATATGTTAATTTCCTTTGCTAATGTTACTTTCCTGCTTGAATGGAAAATGTCGCTGATGTTTATTATTTTTTGTTAATGGGCAGGTGAAGCTTCTGCATTTTCACTGCCTGTATTGAGCTTCACGCCACTTTTTTCCACAATTTTATTGTAACACGATGTATGGCGATCACTGCCCACTTTGTGCATGCTGTGTCATTAAGGCCACTTTTACACTTTTCTCCACAGTAACAAGGATCAAAATGGCTAAAGGTCCTCATCTATAATTCGGTGGAGCAAGGGGCCCAAAGACAAGATTTAGTGATGTTCAAAAGCAGGCTGAAGGGACGTTGACCCAGGGCAGGCAAAGTTGGTGCTCCAGTGACGATAGAGGCATTGCCATAGGCGATGCACCCAGGATCGCCAAAAGGTTATGCTAACGACCCTCCTGAGGCCCTCTCCGATGTGAGGACTGGGGGCAAACTATCACCCCCCCTCTCCCCTCTTTATGGGCATTGCATGAGCCATCTAAGGCCGGGCAGATTGCTCTTTTGGATCTTTAGGCTCCACAGAAAAGCGTGTGGCGTGAATCATGAATGGCAGGCCCCTTGGTTCATGTCTGCAATCACCTTACCACGGGGAGATGGCTAGTGTTCGCTCAATGGGCTGACGCATTGGAATTCTGTCCAGAATCGAGGCAATTAAATTGCTTTGAGAGTTTTCTTCAGACATTTTCTGCGGCCTGCGCATCAGTGGGGTTGCTGTGTTTCAAAAATCGATTTTAGTCTTCTGGGCGATTGGAGCTTGACTGTTTCCTTAACCATTTATGTATTGCAGTGTCTTTCCACTTTTATTCGTCAATCGCTGCATCTTTCAACCAAGGTAGATTCCATGCAGTCCGATGTTTGATGTTTCACATCCATTCAGACGATGGGCCACCTCCCCCAGCCCTGATGATTGCCCCCTCCACCACGACTATAATTGGAGGCTGATGACTGCGTTGTTCACCGTACAGAGTACGTTGGAACTCTGTACGCAAGCCTCTATTTTTTTTGTTGCAGTTTACCACATTGCTTGGCATGTTTTAATTATGCATGCAGTTGTATCCGTCTCTATCCCGCACGAACCACATTTTGATTTTTAAGAAGTGCTTCCACATATGTCTCCATTGATTGTCAAGATTGGTTTGTTGTGGTGGATTTTGCGGAAACCAAAACTGCCCTATAAATTATGGCATAGACATCTCCCATGTCATTGATGGTATAGAGCCAGAATAACAGCAAACCACTCGACATGTCCTGCCACTCATGAAGTGTGTACGTGTGCACATAGATCTACTGATTCCAGCGAATTCATACAAATCTACATATATCTATGAAGAGGGTAACATCTTGTATAGACATTCCTGTCCATAATGAGTTATGTATGTTAACTTTATTTTGTGTAACCAGAGACAGGGATTGTCTATTTTGCAAGAGTAACCTGGGGCATGATTATGCCAGTAGGGATCAATGATTGCTGTGTTTAATTAGGTATATTTATACCCTGACGCTGACACACAGTGGCTTACTTTTGTGAATGGCATTGGAGGATCTTTAACACCCGCTGTGAAACTGACGACGCATACTATATCATGGTTATTACAGCCGCAGTACAAATTAGAACAGCCACTGGCTGTGTTCAGTGGAAGCAGGGTACGTGATCTACAAGGCTGAACTTTACATCTGTCAGCCTGGTCTTTGTAGCATTGCTCTCATTGTGGTAGGTTAGCCAGTTCATATCCCAGCAGGGGGTTAATCATCATCACTAATCTTAACTATCAACTTGACAATCTCACCGTCATCATCATGATCATCATACAAGTGTTGCGTCATGATCTTCATAAAAGTGTTCCATCAGCTTCTTCACAATTCACACAATAGCATCAGCTTCTTCACAATTCACACAATAGCATCATCCTACACAAGGGTTGGGCAGTATTCGCAATACGAGGCACTTTATCACCTTGTATATTAAAAGGTTAGGTGTGTGACCAGATTTTGATAACTTTATTGACATCGAGTACAAGTTTGGAGTGTTGTCTTTCCGGAGCATCTTATAAACTGGAGATTATAGGGATCACCATCATATATCATCACGAACCCCGATACAAGTGTTGTATTGTCTTGATCTATCTCCAGGGTTGGATTAATAAGCATCTATAGGGTGGTCCAGAAGTCGTGCAACCCATCATTAATTGACCCCTAACATGTTTCTCCCTTTGCATATTCATTTCTGTTTTAAATAAACCTTTAAAAAATATTACGTTAGAATTATATGAGGGGGGGGGGGGCACAAAACATATGGACCACCCTGTACAATGATTGTTTGATTAAGAGGAATCGATCCTTGTCCTTACAATGTAGAATTTCCGTTGCCGAGTCACAGATGCCAGCAGAAGATACAGCATGAAGCGGAGATGCATTTCCATTGAAAGGATTCTGGCGAGGCGCGGTAGTCGAGGCATGCACGACACAAACACCACGCAGAGGGCCATCCCTCCGTGCAAGCGGCACTGCCCTGCTTCCTCATGCCCGCGGGCTGAAAACCAAAAGTTCAAAGTTGCTGCGGCATATTCTACAAGAGTGGCAGAAGACTCATTCTGTAAGATGACAACTCGCTGCAGAAATTACAACTAACCTGACCATAAACTTGTTTGTATTTAACCAAGTAAGGCCCACTGCGCTCTGTAGTTATTCTGCAGAAGCGACCTGGCCACAAATGATAGCTCAACATCGTGGCTTCTGTGGGAATGTATAGCAAGCAAACACGCTAAAGGCATGATGTTGATTCTAAATGGGGGGGGGGGAATGAAGGACCCGGAAAAAAATCCATGCGACCACGGGAAGGACGGCAAACTCCAAATACAGCAGCAGGCGTCGAGATTGAACCCACGACCCGCATACCAGGCGAGGGAGTGAACATCTCGTCACCTCTTGAGAGTTGTACACGTTACGTTACACTGACGAACACCTTTTAGAAGCCATATTTGTATATTGTACAATTTTTTTAAGGCTTAAAACATTAATAAAGGAGAACACTCACTACATAGTGTCGAGTGTGATGTCGCCGCGCTATGTAAGTTGTACATATATAAATAGATATAGTATAAATTTAACACGTTTTTATACCAAAGGCATGCAGATTGCGTGCGCTTAAGTGAGAACATATTGTCGGGCACAGCAGCGCTGTACACGCGTGTCTAGAATGTGACGGGATGTGGGCACGCGGTTTACCCAAGTTGTTTTAATGTGCTGTGTTTCACACTTCCTGTGCATGATTGCTGTAGGCGAGTGTTTTGCACGTCTTAAAAGTGTTCACCAATGCACGTTCGTCGTCAAGCTAAGCAGGTTGAAGCCTGGATATTGTTTGAATGGGTGACCAACATGCGGGGATGCGTTGTGGGATACGGAGGGCAGTGCAGATAAAATATTGTACCGTGCAGAACTTCGGTGTTCTCACGTTCTGTGTTTTGTTTGCGTACATCGTATCTCGCCAAGCCTTATCGTTACATTATTTATGGGGATTGTTTTGTTCGCTTCAAGCGGTTTTCGCTTATAGCGGCACTTGGCAGGAACACATCTCCCGCGTTAAACGAGGACTTACTGTATTTTGCTAAACGGTCCCCTTTTGATAACGGCTGTGCACTGTGGGTCACCCATCCCAAGCATTACCCAGGCTCAAAATCTGCTTGGCTTCCGAAATGTTATGTTTCGACGCATTTCGGGTGATTTGTTCAAAGGCGTAGTAGCTGCAGTTTTTGGGCTAGATAAGCTTACTGTCGTATTCTAATATGCAGGTATCAACTAACGACCCATACAATGTGCTTGAGCTGCTGCCTAGTTTTCCGAATACGGCTCCGTGCCTTGGGGAGCAGACAACCAATATCGTGGCGGGATGAAGACCACAGAGGTTCATGTGATGCGAGTGCTACGATCCCACGCACAACCCACCTTGAGCTGCGTGTTCAAGTATGACGAAGTACCCGTCCGTCATCCAGCAGTGGATCGATACACGGCCTCTTCGTGTGTTTGCATGTTTGTCTTAAACCCCACCCCCCCACACACAGAGGGATACATACAGAAAGAAGGGCCATTAACCTCTGCTTTGGCATTAACTCAAAACCTTCCAGTTGCGAGCTGAGTGCTTCTACAAAGGTGCCAGCAACATCACCTGTTTCGCAATCTACAAGAACACCGAGGCCGCCACCGCTATAGCCTAAGCCAGCGTTTACCGATTTGGGTTGTGGGTTGTTTGTGTAACGTGATCTCTGCCTCTAACGGGACCGCATGAATGCCACGTGATTGATGTCCCTTCCGTGGAGGTGCAGGTGAGATACTGCCACGAGCTCCCCGCCCGTGTTCCAAATGTGCTGTAGGCGTCACTTCACGAGACGAAGATATGACCATCTCTCGCAGAGCAGTTCAACCCATTCCAGCACTGGATTAGAGAACGGCCCACGGAAGCGGATATCACAGAACTACTCCTGAGAGCCATTCAATTGACCTCAAGTACCCCATGACAGTCAACCCGATATTTTAAGTTCAGAGCTGATTTTTGCCCAAAATTCAGTGCAGAAGCAGTTGTAATATTTGTTATGTCTGGTAGGGTTTGTATACGGTCATGTGTGACGTAGCTGAGACATTTGAGATTTTTTTGTAACCACTCACCCCCGTCCCTTATACATCACCTTGCACTGCTCTTCTGTCGCAGTCGTTACGCTTGTCTCTCTGGAACCGCCTGAACCCAGACAATCGCCTCCTCCTCTGTTGTGTTCCGCCCACACCCTCACATGCCTCCCGGCCGGACTCTCTGAGGGTGGTGCGCGTGTGCATCCGTGTGTTCACGTGCGTGTGTGCGAGTATAAGTTCGCTTGCGAGAGGCGCGGGCAGGGTGGGTAGCGCACGGGCGAAGTGCGGTGAGTCGCTGTGCAGCACTCTGTGTGGGAGAAACAACTTGGAGGCTGGAGGTAAGTGAGGTGCATTTATACCTGTATGTAACACATATACATGTACGGATTACACACACCTGTACAGGTCACACACTCCTGCACTGGTCACATGCACCTGTACAAATCGCACACACCTGTCCAGATCACAGACACCTGTACAGGTCATACACATTTGTACAGGTCACACACACCAGTACAGATCACACACACACCTGTACAGATCACACACACACCTGTACATATCACACACACACCAGTACAGATCACACACACCTGTACAGATCACAGACACACCTGCACAGATCACACACATACCATACAGATCACACACACCTGTACAGATCACACACCTGTACAGATCACAGACACACCTGTACAGATCACACACACCTGTACAGATCACACCAGTACAGATCACACACACACCTGTACAGATCACACACACACACCAGTACAGATCACCCACACACACACCAGTACAGATCACACACCAGTACAGATCACACACACCTGTACAGATCACACACACCTGCACAGATCACAGACACACCTGTATGGATCAAAGACAAATGTCTCCCGTATAGCCTTACCAGACTGTTGGGGCAAGTGCTCTTAGCGAGCACCGATGAAGGTCGGCACGGCACACGAGGGTGTGGGTGGCAAGCACCACGCCCGGCTGCCTTTGTCTCCTTAGTGGCGATGTTTACACATCGCACCAGGTACTAATTTGAGGCTGATTCGAACTCGGGGAGGTCCAGGACAGATTCAGATAATCGTCACTGGTGTTACCCGTGGGCGGGAATTGAACCCTGGTCGCCAGGTTGGCGCTACCCGCTCCCCACACACCTGCATAAAGACAAAGATCCCCCGTATAGCCTTAACATACTGATGGGGTAAGTGCTGTTAGCGAGCACCTATGATGCCTGGCACGGCACACGAGGGGGTGGGTGACAACCACCAAGCTCGGCCGCCTTTGTCTCCCTAGTAGCGATATTTACACATCGCACCAGGTACGTATTTGAGGCTGAGTCGACCTAGGGGAGCCTCAGGGCCGGTTTAAATAATCGTCACTAATATTGGCCGTGAGCCGGAATCGAACTCGGGTCACACACGCACCCGTGTTGACAACAAAGATAAAGACAGACCACACACCCCTTTACAAATACTCACCTGCATAGACCATGTGTGTACCTTTTTCTCCAATTCAATTGTCAGAAAACATCTTCCAATATACTGTGAATGGGTATGGAACAAGCATGTTACCTTGCCTGACGTCCCTTCTGATATGTACTTTGAAGCTTTGTTTTTCCTAAAAAAGTTTTTTCAATATAGTCTATACAGGTAATATACACTGATGTAATGCTTATGCACGAGTTTAATTATCCTTCAATTCCGCTGACTTCCCGTTTTCTATTACCCAGACGCCAGTCTTTACATCTCTTCATTTGCCACTCCTCACCTATCTCGCCTCTCTCATCTCCCTCCGTGTATCCTCCTCTCGTCCTCTTCGTTCCCAATCTTCTCTCTGTCCCTCCTCCTCCCTGTGCCCAGTCCCCGTGTTCGGTCCTTCTCCCTCCTTGCAGCCCTCCACTGGAATCAACTTCCCCTGCACATTGAGCAGCACTGCTACCCGTAGACTCAGCACTGCCCATAGACTCAGCACTGCCCATAGACTCAGCACTGCACCATAGACTCAGCACTGTTACCCATAGACTCAACACTGCACCATAGACTCAGCATTGCCCATAGACTCAGCACTGCACAGTACTCAGCACTGCTACCCATAAACTCAACACTGCACAGTAGACTCAGCACTGCTATCCATAGACTCAACACTGCCCATAGACTCAGCACTGCACCATAGACTCAGCACTTCACCATAGACTCAGCACTGCCCATAGTCTCATCACTGCTACCCATAGACTCAACACTTCACCAAAGACTCAGCACTGCCCATAGACTCAGCACTGCACAGTACTCAGCACTGCTACCCATAGACTCAACACTGCCCATAGACTCAGCACTGCCCATAAACTCAGCACTGCTACCCATAGACTCAACATTGCACCAAAGACTCAGCACTGCACAGTACTCAGCACTGCTACCCATAGACTCAACACTGCACAGTAGACTCAGCACTGCTACCCATAGACTCAATACTGCCCATAGACTCAGCACTGCCCATAGACTGAGTACTGCCCATAGACTCAGCACTGCCCATAGACTCAACACTGCACCATAGACTCAGCACTGCCCATAGACTCAACACTGCACAATAGACTCAGCACTGCCCATAGACCAAGCACTGCCCATAAACTCAACATCGCCTTTTCGCGTCCTCTGGTCTAACACCGTTTGAGACGAAGTTCAAAAGAAAGCTGTCTCTGGTGTGGACCAATCAGTTTCAAGGACAATGCATATATTATCGAAGTGTGTTTTTTTGTTTGAATTCTGACCACAAGCATTGTGGTTAATGCAGACATGATTCCTTGTAAAAAGGTTTCAGTTTGGTGTTTTAACATCTTAACACCTATTTTGTTTCGATTTAAAGCTTTCGTGACTGCAAGGATTCATCTTCTTGGTTCTTTCGGTAAAGTCACGTAGAATGATAATAAAACAACAAAACAAAATAAGACAATAAAAATTTTTTACCAGAAAAAAGGGGAAAAACCTATTATCACTGCCCATAGACTCAACACTACCCATAGACTCAACACTGCCCATAGAATCAGCAATACCCATGGATTCAACACTGCCCCAGTACATTACGCAGTCCCCTTCCTTAACCTCCTTCTGTTCCTCTGTTAAGGCCTCACCTCTTCTCCATCACCCCATTCTCTTCCACTTCCCTCCCCTCGCCCTCCACTGCTTCCCGTCCCTCACCCGTAGCCCTTCCGTGATCCCCGAGTACCTCTCTATCACTGTCATTCGTTCCTCAACCCTTACAGCACGCCCCTGCAAACTACATCATTCCAATCTGTCATCATTTTGTACGCTATGTCAAGTGAATTGAGTGAAGGCGCTCTCTATATGCATTAGATTAAACAATGCTCCTGCAGGCACATTGGTATGCCAAAAGCACTTGAAAATCTGAGATCGTTCAAATGTGCTCCATTTATGTGCATGAAATTGTTGTTCTCGAATCAATTCTGTTCTGACGATCCAGTGTCCAGGTCCTATCAAGTTGGCCTTTTCATTGAGCAACGTACACATTGGCCGCGGGAACTTGATTTAAATCCGTCCAGAAAAGAAGACAACAACACAAACCATGTCCACCACCTCCAACATCTCCTGGGTCACGTCACTCGATCCCAACCGCACCGCGTGGGCCAACCACAGCGAGAGGGACAACGCCTCCGAAGTCCTCAAGCCTTGCTTGAACGCTGATAATTATTTCGCCGGCACCTGGGACATTTTTACCTCTGCCACCCCCGTACTCATCCTGACCGCCTTTGCCCTGGGTCTCGTGCTCAACCTGGCCGTCCTGCTGGTCTACGCGCTGCACTGCGGCGTCCAGACGGTGGCCGACGTCTACGTGACGAACCTCACGGTGGCCGAGCTACTGCTCGTCGTGAACTTGCCTTTCTGGGCCGTCTCTGTGAAGCGGGGCCTCAGCTGGCCCTTCGGCGACTTCATGTGCCGCGCCACCAACGCGGTGCTGTACGTGAACAAGTACGCCAGCGTCTTCTTCTTGGCGGCCGTCAGTCTGGACCAGCACCAGGTCATCTGCAAGACCATGCAGTCCTACGCGAAGCGCCGCGTGTCGCGTGTACGCCTCAGGTGCGTTGTGTTAGTCACGTCGGACGGATTCCAGGAAATTCACCACACACCCCGGATTCCAGACACTCACATGGGATGCACCAAACACCACGGATTCCATCAACTCACAAAAGATGCACCAAACAACACGGATTTAATAAACTCACGAGATGCACCACACACCATGCTGTGCCAATTAAGTGCCCTGTGCGTGATCATTCTCATCCTAATCCCAGCAGTTCCAGCCATCCCGTTGCTCTCACTTGCATTGTACGCTCCTTCTCGCCTTCTCTGTTCACAATCCCAGGTGTCTCTGTCTGCATCCCCCTCCTCCTTGTGCTCTATCACCATTCCCTTCGTTCTCGCTTTTGGCCCCCTGACGCTGGAACTGCCCCAAAACTTCAACCAGCCTCGCTGTCTCTTTCCTTCTTCCATTACGTGACAACCCTTACTAGTTGGCTGTGTCGGGTGGTGGCGTGTTTAACAACACGTTTATATATTTACGTGATCTAACCCCAAAAACCTCTTATGGATCACTCACATTTTCCTCGCTTACCCCAACTCTCCGACCCATCCCTAACTCTATCCTTCTTCGCAACTTCCCTAACCCATCCATAACACTCACTCGCTCGTCATCAACCACTGACTGTCGTGTTCATCATCGTTTGTTCTACGCATCATCATCATCATATTCATCACGCACGACCATCCTTCTCATCAACTTATTTCATGACACTATTCTACTGTACAAATAGTTAATTATTTGTTCAGCGCCCTACTCAGGGCGCAGTATAAAGTAAAGATGACACTCCTGAGCCACCTCTGCTGCCCATCGTCCTTGACGGCTCCCCGCGGTGAGCGCGTCTCGCCCCCCCCCCCCCCCCCCCCCCCCAGGTGCGTCGCCTTGTGGCTCTGCTCCCTGCTGCTCGGCCTTCCCGTGGTGATCTTCCGCAACGTGCGGCCCTTCCCCGAGCAGGACCTCCCCGCCGTGTGCTTCCTCGACTACCCGAGCCCTAAATGGAACGTCGTCAACCGAATCCTCTTGGACGTCCTGGGCTTCGTGCTTCCCTTCACCACGATCGGCGTGTGCGGCTTCCGAATTCGGAGGTCCCTCCTGCGCTCCCGGGTGTCGACGCGGTCGGGCAGGGAGCTGGTGGCCTCGGGGGCACGCGACCAGGAGAGGAGCCGCGCCATCGCGGCCATCTCCACCGTGGTTGTGGGCTTCTTTATCTGCTGGTTCCCCTTCCACTTCAACAGCTGCTGCGGATGGCTCCTCAAGACCGACGTGCTGGCCGACAAATGTTGGTGGGAGTATCTGTGGAACCTGTGCAGCCAGATAAGCACCTACTTCGGATTCCTCAACAGCTGCGTCAACCCGGCATTGTACTTCACGGCGAGCAGGGCCTTCCAGCGCAAGGCGCTCCAGGTGTTTTGCTGCAAGCGAGACCAAGCGTCCAATTCCTCGAGCATCGCCTCGAAGTCCAGGAGCAGGGCTGAGCACACGAGTGTGGGCCACACGTCCTCGCAAGCGTCCTCCTCCATGTGAAGATGTTCATTGGTGGCAGACGCTGTGGCCAGATTTAACTTCCTTTTACTCGAGAGATTTGGGAGGGGGTGGGGTCAAGGCCGTAATTATAATAAATATTGGGGGCAACACATCTCCCCCCCAATATTCAAATATGCTCAAAACGTCCCCACCCAATATATTGCTATAAAATAGATTTATGTTTATATGATTGTGGTTATGGTTGTAATTTATAAATCCCTAATCTCTGCCATTACATACGATGAAACAAGAAAAGGTAAAAAAGAAAAAAAAAACAGAGCAATGTAATACAATACACTATTAGACATTATTGTTAAAAATAAATAAAAGTCAATCCTATGTGTTAGTTAATTTTTTTAATATTTTAGGCAGGAAATGGCAGGAAGATTTGGTCCCCCCCCAATGTTGACTCCATGGCTACGGCCTTGGGTGGGGTGGATTTGTTTGCTCACAATCCAAAATGTGTTATAGGTGACGTACAATGACATGAGACGTCCATAGGAAACTCTGAAAGGGCATTGCGTCACCGGTGTGTGTGGAAGACGGCCCGCCGGAGGTTATATCCCAGACTTTTGTCTGAGAACCCTGTTAGCAGGGACGTGTGGTCAGGGGAGGCAGGGGAGGCAGAGCCTCAACTGTTATACTCCAATGAAAATAGCTGTTACGAAAAGTAAAAAAAAATAAGATTTTTCCACTGATCTGTGTTATAAATGTGATTTCTGTATGTTTCCAATAATTTTTATAGTCAAAATCGCTAAATTTGCGGAGCTCCGCTGCAAATACAGGAAGAGACGAGAGGTGAGGCAGCAACGAGCTCAGCCTCCCCTCTGATTGCGCAACCCCTCAGTAACTGGAAGGAGCGCGGGCAATAAGCGCGTGCCTGTTACAATCTCAGTATGTCACCAATGTAATGTTTGTAGACCCCTTCATTTAAGTTAATTAATTTCACATACGTGAAATAAGGTAACTTATTTCACGTATGTGTATAAAGAGATTTAGGCTCGCTGGTCTCGTCATGAAACTGCAATGAAAAAGCACCAGGGGAGGCAGCTTTCACATCTGCCTCACTGAGGGGGACGTGTCAGTGAGGCCACGCCCCCCTCCTTGAGACCACGCCCCCCTCAGTGTGTGAATCTAGCTCTGACACGAGCCAATGCCACCCCAGCCATTGACCTCACCGCACGTCACTGCCTGTTCGTGTATGTGTGTTTAACTTTTTTAGCACCGTACATAGCTAACCGTGCTAAGCGGAGGTGCTACACTTTCACACTCGGAGATATATTCGTTGCATGGCAGTCAGACTTCTGGAAAATTTGCCTAATTCAATAAAACAATCGTTTGTGCAGAATTGCTGATGAGGACATCAACTCACCACCATACACGAGATCCTGGTTTAATCGCTGGTGACTGGAATCCAGATTTAAACTCAGGATCTCAGCGGTGCTGGCTCAACGGTCTGAGCTGAGCCATGCGGCTATCACGAGGCTATTCGTGTTTACTTTAAACATGCAAGAGCTGTGTGGTTCAGGGGTCAGCGCACTCAGCCGACAACCTCTGGGAACCTGGGTTGTTCCAATCTGAGGTTTAGGCGCCAGAGGTTAAACCAGGTTGTCCAGTGTGGCGAGATGATAGTTTATCTAATCTAATATTAAATATAGAGATTTACTTTGCCAAATATTAAAGTTAATAATTTACGTGACAGCTCCGTGTGTTTATGTTTTTGGGCTGCGTCTTGTTTGCGTGTCTCTCTTCCCGTGGTCGTGTAAAATTTTCTTCGGGGCCGGCGGTTTTTACGTCCACACTTAGAGACATTCGTTTAGAGTATTTGGCTGCGATGAATTTCCACACGATAAGCCACTTCGTTGATCGATCATTTGTGGCCAGGTCGCTTCTGAAAAAGCGCTATACAGCTCAATGAGCCTTACCTAGTAAGGAAATATGTTTATAGTTGTAACTGTCGTATCTCGCCAAACATTATCGTCATTACATTATTTATGGGGAAATTGTTTTCGCTTAACGCATTTTTCACTTAATATGGAACTTTTCGGGAACGCATCTCCTACTGCGTTATTCAAACCTGCTTAGCTTCTGAGATCTGACGAGAGCCGACGCATGCACCGGTGATGTTTTGGTTTGCAAACATATAAACAAGCCTCATAGACAGGCTTTGAAGTATAACCCTGTGTATTGGCTCTCAACATAACATGTAAAATGTTGCCTTTGAAGTTATGTACGTTAATCTTTGGATTTGATATACAGTCTTTTCATAATTTTATTTAACGTGTGCACTGATTTTGCGAAGAAGTTTAACATTGAAGTGAAACAACAGGCGGATTGCATTTTTATTCAACTGTGTAATTGCCACGTTATTTAACGCCTATATACAAGCTAAAGAAGCCCAAGATGGGCTCCGGATATATAATTCACCATAGTACTTCTGCACTTGTGCTTATATATGTACTCACGATTTGATACTCTAAATAAACTATTGCATGGACTCATTGTATACGCGACTGAATGGTATATTAACGCTATCAGGGGATGTAGAACATGTATTAGTGATCGCATCAAATTTTGACGGTACATTATTGCTATTTCCTAACAATAAGTACGGTGCACAGTGCCAGGTTATTACTTCTTCGGCGTGTTTGTCTTTTCCCACAATTCGATTCCACATTGGCCTCGTGTGACGAGGAATCCATTCGGATCTCTCTGACAGCGCGTTATGGAATTGGTTCACGCTATTATTCATGGATTATGGTGAGTGTCTAAAAACCAAATTGTATGCTTACGTTCTATTCACAGTACTCTCCTGGTACACAGAAGGTCGTGGGATCGATCCTAGACCCTGACAATGCCTGCTGCTGTACATTTGGACTTTGCGTGTCTCTCTCCCCGTGGTCGCGTGGACTTTTCTTCGGGGCCTCCGGTTTTCACCTGCACATTTAGAAATATGCTTTCAGAGTATTTGGCTGCTATACATTTCCACAAAAAGACACTTCTTTGAACTATAATTTGGGGCCAGGTTGATTCTGAAAAAGAGCGACATGGCTCAGTGGGAAGACTATTCTAGCTAATCGCCTGAAGGCGGTGGTGGTGGTTGTTGTTGCAATCCCCAGAGAAACGGTCACAGTACCCGAATTGTAAACGTTGTGAATTTGCTCTCCAACACGCCTGTGTACCTGAAGTAATTCGTGTAACTAATTGGCACGTGTTGTTGACGTGACACTCCTTACTATTTGGCTGTGGGGGGGGTGGCGGCGGTTTAACGGCGCAACATTTACATTGACGTCCAATGGGGCTTTGCGAGTACACGGGGCACCCCTCCACCCTCAGCATCCAGGGGACTCTGGGAAGTTCCGCTGCCAGGCTCGCAAATCGCCGCGGTCCCTTGGATCTCCTCAGCTTCAGCGCCTGCGCGCCGTCACCTCACGCGTGCGAGTGCCGGTGAGCGACTGCGACTCTTCTCGCGACTCTTCCCTGCACACAGCTCTACCGACAGCACGGGACACGGGCACACGCGACGCGACACGAGACGCGACGCACAAGCCCTGTGTTGCTCGCGTTCATTTTGTGTTGTTTTTCCCGACTTTCCCCACTAGGCCCTTGGAGAAGCACCGACCCTTTCCTGGCGGTGCTGCAGGGAGAGGCGCCTCATACTCCGGCCGCACGGAGTCGGCCCGAGACGGTGCTGGAGAGACTGAAGCCTTGGCTGTCTTCATCATCTCCGCTCGTCTCGTCGTCTTCTCCTTCCCTTGTCTCACCCCGCCGGGGTCGTGAGAAGCCATGGGGATACTGGAAAAGATTGCGGAGATCGAGAGGGAGATTTCCCGTACGCAGAAGAATAAAGGTGATGGTTAGGGCTTAATTTCAGCCGGGGCTGCGCTATTTTCCCGAAGGATTCCGTGGTTTTGGAGTGGTTGGTGGGGGGGCAGAAAATATCCCCTGAGAAAATGAAACCGTGGTGACGGTGTGGAGACCACAGGTAGTGGTGCGTCTGTCATTTTGTATAAGACGCAGCAGCAAACATTCAGCATATAAATATTTCGAAAATAATGATTAACTGATAGTTGAATAAAGGGACGTGTATGAATATATTTCAAGACGTGTTTTTTAAAATGTCCACAGACTCGGAGATCCTGAGATCTTGTGGAAGAGCGTTCGAGAGTGGCAGTCCTCTGTGACCTGGGAACGCAGAGGAGATCTGCACCCCCAGAACTTAGAGACCTTGAGGAGACATGGGTGGAGCGTGTCTCTGTTGTAGGCTGGGGCAAAGTGATGCAGAACCTTGTAAGTTGGCGAGATGATTTTAAACGGAACCATCTGTGAATCTGGAAATCAGTGCAGAGAGGCTAACACAGGGTGTAATGCGATGTGAAGAAGGGGTTTTCTGCTACATCATGGGACCTCCTTTGCCAGTAACAAAATATGAGAATAGGTTTTCCCCTTTTTTTCTGGCCATGATGTAGCTGCTCACCCCGAGCCCTCATTACCCTGATAGTGGCATTGTCTTTGTGCTGTGTTCGCCTTTTGGCGTCCTCTGGTCTAACACCGTTTGAGACTAGGCTCCAAAGAAAGCTGTCTCTGGTGTGGACCAACCAGTTTCAAAGACAATGCATATATTATCAGAGTGTTTTTTGTTTGCATTCTGACCACAAGTATTGTGGTTAATGCAGACATGATTCCTTGTAAAAGGTTTCAGTTTGGTGTGTTAACATCTTAACACAGCTATTTTGTTGCCAGAAAAAGGGGAAAACCTCTTCTCAAGGTTTTTCTGGTTGACACCTGAGCGGTCGCCTTCTGAACACCCTATAGATTGTGAATCACCTTCTTAGCCACAGCAGGAAGCAATTACGTTGCAATAGTCGATGCGAGATGAAATGAAGGCATGGACTGGCCTCTCTGCATGTGCAGCAGAGAGATCGGATATGGGAGACATTCCTAAGATGGAAAAATTAAGTCTTTGTAATATATTTAATTAAGAGCATGGAAGGAAAGTGTGGCTTCATAGATGACCCCAAGATTTCTGACTACCTTTTGTGTCAATCCACTGCTGGATGTGGGCTGCTTGGGATTATTTAACCAACCTGCACCGACCAGCACATGATGAAGTATGATGATAAAAAAATAACCCACGGGGGGGGGGAGGCCCGTATCCGGCAGGTGTATGCGCTTGAGGCTCTTATGTGTGTGCATGTCTGTACATGTGTGCATCTGTACAGTTGAAGATGTCAATATACTGTATACATAGAATTAAACTTAAAGCAGTCAGGGTGATTGATGATCCAGCACTCACTAATTCACTCCAGTCACTCGCTCATTGGCAGTCAATCTCCTTATCACTCTTCAGTCACTGCTACCTTGGCTACTGTTCCCATAAACTTGACTGATTCCTCCACCCATGTTGAGGACTTGGTCTACTAGACACTGTTGTCTCACCCACACTGTGTTCAACCACCACACTGCAGCTTACACTTCTCATCTCAGTTACTAACACTGCTCCACTTTGGAATTCCCTCCGATCGCCTTTTTCCCCAATATATAATCTTGCCCGATTCATGAAATTAATTAAGTCTTATCGATTAAAACTTTGATTGTGTTGATGGTTGCTTGCTGCTTGACATTTTGGCCTATTAGGCCTCTGCTCAGCTACTGTGTAGAAAATGTTGCTTGTGTGGCTATGTATGTATGCATGCGTGTGGCTGTAGGTGTTTGCAAATGTGCAAATTTGTGTGTGTGTGTGGCTGCGCGTATGTGTTTCTGGCTCTTATGTGTGTTTACATCTCTATAGGTGGATACATGTCTGTGCGTATGTGCTTGTCTGTACAAGTGTAAGGATCTTGTGTATGAGCGTTTGCATCTATGTGTGTATTTGGCTGTGTGTATAGGGAGCAATGGCACAGTGGCTCGCATGCTGTGCTATGAACACGGCCACCAGAGTTCGATTCCTGCTTACGACAAACATCTGAACCGGTCCTGAGCTTCCCTTAGACCGATTCAGCCTCAAATGAGTACCTGGTGCAGTGTGTAAAAACATCGCCACTAGGTAGACCAAGGTGGTTGCTGGCCGCCCTTTTTCTGCCGTGCTAGCCTTCATTGGTGCTCATTAACAGCATCTGCACCAAAAGTCTCTAAAGGCTATATGGGGGGGTGGGGGGGTGTTTGTGGCTGTGTGACCTCAGCCACGGAGTACCATCTGGGGTTGCTGAAGGCCAAGCTGGCCAAGTACCGTGCCCAGCTCTTGGAACCTTCAAAGTCGGCCGCCAAGGGCGAGGGCTTCGATGTCATGAAGTCCGGGGATGCTCGCGTCGCCCTTATCGGATTTCCCTCCGTGGGAAAGGTGAGCTCCTTCATGCAGCTGTAGGTGCTGCTCGCCTCCAGAGCTTACCCTTGACCGCAAAGTTACACGCCAACATGGTTGGTGGTGGAAGGGATTGTGAATGTAACGATTCATTGCTGTTCATGTTGTGCCAGCCTTTTCGGAGCTACCCTGAAGCTTTAATGTAATTGTTTATGATCGAATTTTGTTTACTTGGGACGCTTTATTTTCCCTGCGTAAATGTTGAACACGTTTAATCATCGTGAAGTAATCTCTCATCTCCCAAAGTTAATTGGCCTGTTATTAGTTCGTGTAATGTGATAGTTCTGTCAATCTGCTGCTGAATGAATGCCTCCCCATGCCATGTTTTTCATGGGGCTTGTTTGAATATACTTCATCATGCTGGTTAGTGTAAGTTTTGTAAAGGAGAGAGTACCAGAACCAGTTCATATATCAGTCCCCACTAATGTTTGAACTCAGGTAGCGGGGTGCATAGTGCCATTCGCGAACCACCACGCCACTGCTCTACCCGGTGATTTTGTATTCTCTTGTGAACGCTGTCTGCCCCTCCCCCCAATGCTTTTCCTCCACTCTGCTTCGATCCTCCCTCCTAATGCGCAGTCCACCTTCCTGAGTCTGGTGACTGCTACGGCAAGCGAGTGCGCATCCTACGAGTTCACTACGCTCACCTGCATTCCGGGCGTCATAGAGGTTGGTTTTGTTCTCATGCATTTAACATTCAATATAAATATCCCTACAATATGGCAATGGTCAAGCGATGTGTACCAGCCTTTACGGGACTCTTTGTTATTTATATTGCCCAAGCCATGCGGTTCGTCGTTGCCCAACGTGTACAAATGGATGTTGTCTGCAGTACAACGGTGCCAACATTCAGCTCCTGGATCTGCCGGGAATCATTGAAGGGGCGGCCCAGGGTGAGTGAGTGGGCGACTGAGTGGGCGACTGAGTGTGCGAGTAAATAGGCGACTGAGTGGGCGACTGAGTGGATGAGTTAGTGAATTTGTGTGGCTCCTGTCTTTTCCACTGTGCCTTTCTGCATCCGTTATTTTCGGCATACAGCCATGCGTTCAAAATTTTTGACTCGAGTACAGACTCAAGACTTTTCCACTTCCTGTACAGCGCACGTACGCAATTTAGTCACTATAAATCCTTACCGTATCACGCTTCGGTGTGTAGGTAAGGGGCGTGGGCGACAGGTGATTGCTGTGGCCCGCACGGCAGATGTGGTCATCATGATGCTGGATGCCACCAAGGGGGATGTGCAGAGGTACGACCATTGGCTATCATCTCCACACACTTCCTCACCTGTTACTCGTTGCTCACCACTGCCTTTGTCGCCCGCTGTGGAGCACGTCGACATGCATGTTGCCACGTTACAATGTCGTGAAGCTCAGATATCCACGTGAATTAATCTTATGAGCAACGCATATTTACAGATAAGATGATTTACTCCAAAATGCGGGCAAATACATCCTAATATCTGGATTTTTCTGTGGCTATCCACATCTGAAATATTTTTGTGGGTAAGCACAAATAGTAGGATCTGCCAGTAGTACATCTGTCTGACTATTATCTGCAGATAAATGTAGATAAGATTGATTTTCTGTAGCTTTGGGGTAATTCCTCTTATCCGAGAAAGATGTGGATAATCGGAAGAATGAGCACTTTCAGGACGCCCCTCTCATCCGCGTATATACAGATAACAGAAATAATGCTTCCACATATAACAGGATTCCAATGGGTTAATTGGCGATGCTTTCAATAGGTTAGTGAATAATAGAGGTGGGTAATAACATCAGGTTGCACAGTGAATCTTCAGCACAGGCAGACGTTGCTTAGCACTCAAGATGCGCTCCTGGGGAAGTGAGGAGCGCTCATCGAATCGACGCTAGAAGGGGTGATGCCATTGTATATATGGGGATGCAATGCTGACAGTATTTTTTATTTATTTTGAATGAACATATGAGGTCTTCATTGCAATATCGGTAATATCGTGAACAATAATGATACAAATGGTAAACATTTGATAAATTATAATAATGTATTATGACATCAGTAAGTATTATGTACTGTATTGATGAGTGAATTCTACTCTACTCCTACAAGCCAGCGGTGCCAGACGAGGTTGGAGCTGCTGCACTCCCAATCTGGGTCTTATCGATACCCTAGGTCTAAATATCTGTGGTGACGTTTCTTTTCGGTGGAGCCTGGGACTCTATTCTGGCCCCGTGAGTTGTTACCTGGCTAAACGTACTGTAATAACTCTGAAACAAAAAGTAGATTAAAAAAATGTAATCGTGACCACAAATCATAATAATCGAATCAAGGGGGTGGGGGGTGAGGTCTGGTTGGCTGAGAGTGTTCGTCGCTCTTATTGACTGAGCGAATGATGGGGGCGGCTGCGTTTCTTCGGCCGGCGCTGCTGCTGCGTGTTCTCACTCGTAAGTGTTTATAGATGTTTGGATATTTTTTTGGTTACATTTTTCTCCAGGACCAAGAGCGCTCGAAAGAATTGGTGTTTTTACGGGGTCGTGCTAAGCAAGGTCTGCTGATAATTATAAGCTGTGTCGTAAGCAATGGCTGTGCTAAATTCTACGGAGATTCCCTTCCACCCTGTTCAGGACTCTCCTGGAGAAGGAGTTGGAAGCCGTGGGGATTCGTCTCAATGTACAGAAGCCGAACATCTATTTTAAGGTGAGTTGTTCGCAGCACTTGTATGCGAGCAGGAGGGATTGAGACCTCGATAAAAGTATCTTTACATGGGATGAGTACCATTCACGCGTTCATCCGTACACAACGGCCGTTCGTGTGTGTTTGCATATACAGTATCACCCTTCGGCATTTGATTGAATCAATATCCTGAATCGTAATGATATGTTGACTCAAGGGGGAGGTGAAACTTTGCATGTTTGTACAAGTGCAGCCTTTTTGTCTTTACACTGCTAATAATAATAATTTCATTTTATATAGAATGATTTGTGCTAATTGCATCCCCCAATGCTCTACATAAATTATATATAAGGGCCAAATCTTACCTATTAAAATAACTACCAACCAAGAAAATGATAACCCTCAGATAATGAAAATGAATAAACAAATCAAGAATTGGTACCAAAACAAAAGAACCACAATCAAACAAGTTTTCACAACAGAGGAATGAGTCCGTTAGGTCTCCACATCCCAGACCGCAGTCCCACGTTCTAACACAAGCCAGGAAACCTTCACAAGAGGGGCAGTGGTGGAGTAGACAAAAAGTGACGACTCATTTAGATCTATTGGTCAAATGTCCAAAATGTGATTTCCTATTTATCAGCGTGTGAGGGCCTCCTCTCCTTCCAGTACAGACAATGAGGGCTGTTTGACCGTACTTCATCATGCTGGTTAGTGCAGGTTGGTGAAGGTGGGGAGCATAGAACTGGGAGCACGGTACAGTCCAGGTATCCCTCGATTTCCGAACGTGGTTCGGTTGACAGGATTTCGCTATAATGCAATTGACATTATTGACGCTTTTCGATTAACGAAATAGAATTTCTACGTTAAAGAAATGTCACTCCCACCACTCGCCGTAAGATCATCAAACGAGAAGCACGCTGGAGGTTGCGTCGTCATCCGTCCACGACAGTGTCACGGTGTCCCTGAAGTGCAACAGTAGCAACACCTCCACATCACCTTTATAGTCATTCCAACATGCAGCAGGTGTTTTTAATTCACTGCAAAGGTTAATTATTTTAGTTTTAAGTTCATGATTTACAATCGTTTTTAATATTTGTTTTTTATTATTATTTTTGTCTTGTGAAAAGTGATATAGGTAGTGTATATTTTTGGGTTGAGAATCGAGTTGGAATGACTGTCCGAAGCACATCCCGAATGTTTCGTATTTAATTAATGGGAAAAGCCATTCAGATTTACGAAATGTCGTTTTATGTGCGTTTTTTGATGAACACTTTTGTAATCGAGGGCTGTGCGTATTCAAGCTATTTACTGCACTGCTACCCACTATTCGTTTTTTTTACATACATATATAAATAATTCAGCTGACAATTCCACAGCTCACGCGATGCTTCTTCTCTTGCAGCAAAAGAAGGGTGGCGGCCTGGCGTTCAACTCGACTGTACCCCTCACCCAGTGCTCCGAGAAGCTGTGTCAGCTTATCCTGCACGAGTACAGTATCCTTGCGTGCCAGGCTCAATGTATGTTGAACTTCTTTCGCACCATACATAGCCAGCCGTGCTAATCGGAGGTGCAATCGGTGAGCCCTGAAGACATTTCTGCACCTGGAAATCTCGCCTCGATAGTGAGATGTTAACGACCTCACCCATTATTCACAAGGTCATGGGTTCGATCCCGACCCTGACTCCTATTGTAAATTTGGAGTTTGCGTGTCTCTCTCCCCGTGGTCGCGTGGATTATTCTCCAGCTCCTCCAGGCTTTCCCTCCACGCTGCTCAGAAAAGTAGTCCATCACACACGACTAGACTTGTATTATAGCGGGCGCAGTGCGCTTTAAGCGAAAAACGTTCCGTAAAAGAAAAACCGCGTTAAAGCGAAAACACATCACGTGAATGCTGTGCATGAAATGGCGATTCACTTTGTACCTTCTAGACGGGCGCTCTAGAGCCTCCTCTCCTTGGAGACCCCTTTGCCAGCGATGGCACGAGTGAGCATTTGCGGGGCTGCACCTTGCCCGTTTCTATTTTCGTGCAAGCGCCCCACTGCCCACCCGTGCGCGCCCCTCCCCCGTGAGTCCTAGCTGTCCCTCGACCCTTGACCCTAGCCCTGCAGAAATCTTCAATGCCGAGGTGCTCTTCCGAGAGGACTGCACCGCGGATGAGTTAATCGATGTCATCGTCGGAAACCGAGTCTACATGCCGTGTCTTTACGTAAGAAGGGTATAGACACATGGGGGTGGGAGGGTATTGGGAGGTTTGGCAAGATGCTGTGTGGAGCTGTGAGTGGCATTGACAGATGTAAATGTATAATTACATCCAATAACTTGGGAACCTTTACATAAAATCATCATCACCAGCCTTGGTCAGTCCATTGCTGGATGGTCTCCCAGAACTGCCTGCCGCCTGCCATCTTTCGTGTTCCATTCCTTGGCTGTCCACGTAAATTATTCTCGCCCATTGGCCATGATTCCTTTGAGCAAGACAATTAAATCTAAAATAAACATTAAACATAAGCTGTCGACAGATAACAGAATTTATTTACAATATGTACACTCTCAAAAGCAAATGATAAACTCAGTTCTTATGCCGTTTACTATTTCTCAGTAAACCAAATAAGCTCAACACTGCAATTCTCCAAGTGTCAGAGCTGCAGATGACAACAGTCTCGGACAAAACGATTTGTCACACGGTTTGATTGGGGCCCCGTGGTGGCGAGATGTTATCTCCCTCACCTGGGATGCAGGAGGTTGTGAGTTTGATCCAGATCTTGACGATGCCTGCTGTATATCTGGAGTTTGCATGTTCTCCCCGAGGTGGTGGTGTGGATTTTTCGTCGGATCCTCCAGCTTTTCCCTCAATATTTAGAAGCAACGTACGTTTTAATTATTTTTCTGCTACTATTCATTACATTCCTGCTGCTACTATACATCGCCACACGATAAGCCACTTCGTTGAGCTATGATTACTTGTGGCCAGGTCGCTTCTCAAAAAGATCAATGTGACGTGCGATGCGCGACGCACGACTTGTGACGTGCCCGCTAACCATGACGTACCGCCCCGCGCGCCTCCAGGTGTACAACAAGATCGACCAGATCTCCCTGGAGGAGGTGGACAGGCTGGCGAGGGAGCCTCACAGCGTGGTCATCAGGTGCGAGCGCAGGGGACCGTTGGGTCCGCTGCACCCTTAGGTGCAGCCCGCGGATTGTCACGTTCTAGGCATGCAGCCATCCTCTTCCTGAGTGATGTGCTGTGGGGGTTATGCAAAATTAGATGCCGATGTGACGTTTAGGTCAAGGGGGTGAACGAGACGGACGTAAAGAGCCCGCACAAATGAAAAACGGAGCGAAGGTACAGGTAGAACCATGGCAACGCAAGGAAGAGCAATCATGCGTACTCGTGGATTCTGATGCTATCCAACATGCGTTTGGCCTCGGGAGTTGCGAGGAGTCGTCTTATGTTCCGAAACTTAGAGGGATGACATTCCCGTGAGATGTGTTTGCAGTCATTGATCGTGGAGTCATTGCATTAATAGCTCGGCAAAAAATAAACTGTCAACAAAACAGTTGTCTTGTATACATTTATATCGATGTATATAGCGCCTTAATCCAAGGTGCTTTACAATAATTGTAAAATTGTTATGTAAGATAATAGTGGTTAGAATAAAAAGTGAGGTTATTAAAAATGGCGGTGTAGTTATGGTGACAGGACAGGCGGAAGTGGTTAAGGAGGGGAGGAGTTGGGGTCGTGATAGGGGTTGGGGTAGGCCTGGTCGTAGCTGAGGGGCAGGGAGTAGCAGTAGTAGGATGGGTTAGGGGAGAAGTGATGGGGGTTCTAAGGGAGGCATGGAAGCTGCAGGTTGTTTGATAGGAAAGATGGTTGCTCTGCCTGCTGCAGTGGGAGTTAGTTCCAGTGGAGGGGAGCGAGAAGGGAAAATGAACGACAGCGAGACTGGGCGCAGGTGGCGAGGGAGGCACAGAGGGACAGTGGAGCCTGGGAGCCTAGAAGATGAGATGAGACAGTGGAAGTCTAAAGACAAGGTTTAGTAGTGAAGATCGTGTATGGTTTTATGCACCCACACTTGTGTCCTGCCCTCAGCTGTGAGATGAAGTTGAACTTGGACTACCTGCTGGAGGTGCTGTGGGAATACCTGGCGCTCATTCGCGTCTACACCAAAAAGAGAGGGGGTGAGAGCTCACATACTCACTCGCACTCACCTCCCCCTGCACTCCACCCATTCACAGTTCCCTCCGAGGATTGCAGATCCTCGGAGGGAACCGTGCCCATAGGTCAGGGCACTGAGATCCTGCATTTGTTTGAACATGGGTTTCAGATGCCCATGATTTGACTGGTTTGAGTGTAGGGAGTTGATAGTCTCAGCCCGATCACCATTGTTTGTTTCAAACATAAACCACCTTGCCAAATTTGTTTTTGCACCTAATTTGGCTGAAATCTAGCTCTGCAAACTTAAAATATTTATTTTGACTGTCATGTGACGATCTCTTGGTAGAGTACATGTGAAGTGCACCTCCTGTCTGAATTTTAAAAGGCCTCCCTCTTGGTAGGGGTATTTTGGAGGCTAGTGAATGCCCTCCTGCCTGGGCCATTTCGATACAGAGCACACTGATCATAAGATTTATGCATAGATTCATTGTCGAGTGACACCGTATCTATAGCAGAATTGCGATAAATCGGAGGAATAAAGACCATACTTTTACAAAGGGCTGTACATGTATAGCCCACATCTTGTTTTCCAGAATCACGCTGTCGTATTACCCGCACAGTTTTCACGTTTCCCATGGAAGTGCATCCCCAATGAATGAAAAATCCCTAAGTTGTTGGAGCGATTGCGCTTTCTGCTTCCCACAGAACGACCGGACTTCGAGGGCGGGCTCATCCTGAGGCGCAGTGCCACAGTGGAGCATGTGGTGAGCGCCGCGTCGCACAATGCAAACTCTTTCGTCGCGCGCGTCGTGTCTCGTTGGTTGTAGCGGCACCACAGTCGAGGTCGCCCAAACGCAACGTGCCCTTTCAATCTCCTCTTGCAGTGTCACGTCATCCACAGGACCCTCACCAGCCAGTTCAAGTACGCCCTCGTGTGGGTAAGAAAGATGCTGGCACCCACAAAAGCGACAGTTTTGAGTCGGGAGTTTGGCCTCGGTCCATGAAGCTTACAAAGTGGCCGACGCGCTGCTGTGTTGCGGTTCATCGCGTACCCGACTCGCTGGGGGCTGATGTATTGGCGGGGTGTCGCAGTGGCGAGATGTTATCTCCCTTGCCCGGTATATAGGTCATGGGTTCGATTCCAATGCCTGCTTATATTTAGAGTTTGCATGTTCTCCCTGTGGTTGGGTGAATTTTTATCGGGGTCCTCCAGTTTTTCCCTCCACATTTAGAATCAACATGCGTTTTGATATGGCTCTTATAAATTCCCACATATAAGCCACTTCATTGAGCTATCATTTCTAATAGACAGGTCGCTTCTGAAAAAGAGCTACATAGCTTAGTGGGCCTTACCTGGTAACATAAGTTTTTTTAAATATATGGTCAGATATGTGAACAGCTTTAGCAAATGACAGTTCCACCGTGCGTAAATACTCCACTAGATAAATATGGTTAATGGGTTGGGGCGGATATAACAATTTAATTTATATAGTGCTTTTCATCAAGGATCTCAAAGCGCCATACAAGACCCAACGTTGCACTGCTGATTTCATTTCTCCCACTACACTGCCCCCGCCCCTGACACAGGGAACCAGCACCAAGTACAGCCCCCAGCGGGTTGGCGCGGGCCACAGGATGGAGCACGATGACGTCATCCAAGTGGTGAAGAAGTGAAGACCAGGACGGGAGGGAAGAAGTTGCCCAATACCTCGGCACAATCCGTCACGCGCGCCAACATCAACGCGAAACGTCATGGCGTGCGGGACAGCTGTGAGTGTATGCGTCAGACAAGCGAGCAAGCATTTACTGTACAAATTTAGCATTTGTTTCACGAGCTATCAAACAGATTTGATAATTTAATTTTTCTTAAACTTTGCCTTTTAGTTTGGCCAAAACCATCCGAGCCTTTATGGGTTCAGCGACGAAGAGTGCTGCTACAGACATCCGTGGAGTGCAAATGCTGTTTGTTAATTTGGTTTCCAGTGTCGGGGCTTTTGTTTTGACTGCAACATCTTTGTGAATAAAATCAGACAAGCTTACAAGGAAATTTGGAAATATTTTATTGCTTTTCCACTTCAAATTAAATCCTTAAGAAAATGTAAACAAAATAAGATTTTTTTTTCCCCCCCAAGGACTTGAAAAGGTGATTTTTTTATTAATATTATTTTGTCTTTTCCTTTTCAATTGATGGCTCATTCGTGCCACCATCACCACCCTCGCTCTTGTCATCACTACCCTTTCTCTTGTCATCACCACCCTCGTCACCATCACCACCCTCGTCACCATGACCACCCTCGCTCTTGTCATCACCATCACCGTCCTCGTTACCATCTCCACTGCCTTCCTCTTCCTCGCTGCTGCTCTCTGGAAAATCTCTAGGATTGAGAAGCATCATTGTGCTTATTTAGTCACTATGAAGATGAAAAGCCACTTTGCTTGCCGTAAAGTTTATAAAACTGAATGCGGATCAACACTGACAATGCTTACCTCGGCAGTCGATTTGGGTTGACGCAGTCCTTGCTTAGATCCACATCAAACATATCTGTGGGTACAGTTGCGCACAGCAGAGTATGTGTGTGATATCAAGCAGTTGGAAGTAGTCATTCCGCAGTGCTTGCAGGGTAAAACTGGCTGAACTAGGACATTGAATCTGAAGTGACCACTGCGCTAGACATTATTGATTCTCAGCTTTACAACGAAGGCTTGCTGTATCACCACTGCGAAGTTTGTGGCCATACTGCGTAGGTCTCCAACTTGTGTACGGCATGGCGTCTGTGACATTTCGCTCCACGCACTGGTGGCGAAACGTCAGGACATCGTGCCGATTTCTCGGTGCAACCAGGAAGCGCACTGCAGGGGTGTGTGCGTAGACAAACGCGGCCGGGCGTAGTGATGGCCACCCGCCCACCCCCTCGTGTGCCGTGCCAGCCTTTATAAGCTCTACTCGCCTCAATGGTTTGTTAAGTCCACACGGGAGGGATCTTTGTCTTTGTGTAAACAATCACGATCCAACTCACCAGTGTTGTCGCGCGTCTCAGAGCGGGCATTGTCGAGCCACTCGTTTTGCGCGCGCAGCACGCCGGCCTCGTCCCCACCCTGCGCGTAGAGCTCCAGAAGTTCACGGTTCAGCACCAGGAAGGTGCGTCCCCACTTGAACCGTGCCAGCAGCACATCTGCCAGCTCGGGGAAACCTGGTGCGGCCAATGCCAGGCGAGGCAATGCGTGGTAAATGCATGATGACAATTTGTAACGTTGTGGGAGGGGGAAGTTCGTGGGTGGGGGGGGGTAAGAATCCGTACCCACAATGCACAGCGCCGCGGCAAAGGCCTCGACGCACGACAGCTTGGAGGGGCGGCCGTAGTTGACGGGGTTGGCGGCGACCAGGTGGGGCAGGAGGCGCGGGTTACCCGCGCGCATTCTCCCAAACGGAGTGTCGTCCAGGCGAGCCCACGAGCAGTCGATCACCGCCAAGCCGCTCGCCGCCACCACCTCCCTGTGTGCGTGCATGGGCGTGCACCAACCACCGTCCGGCTTTAGCGTCGACTCGGCTTTGTGCCGGGTTTTAATTCTTCAAATATTTTCCAGGTGACTGGAAAACTGAAGTAAACGGCACACGTGACCAGTAGTCATAGCAAGCGAGAGATACTGGATGCAGTGTGTCAGGTACAGAAATATTTTGAGTTACCAACCTAACAGGCCGCCTGTAATTAATGCCTGGCTACGCCAATGTCAAAACTCCATATTTACTTTGCACAAGGGTCTCCATACCCCATGCAGGTTGTGGGGTTTATTTAACCATACTTCCCCACGCTGGTCAGTGTGATTTCGTGAAGGAGGGAAAAACCTCACCCATCGCAGATTTGACCATTCGCGCGAAATTTATTTAAGTACAGTTCGGTCGATCATGCCCGTGGCTCAACCGCGAGATTCCTGTACAGTTTGCATCGTAAAGTACAGTACACGACTGTAACAGCACTGCTCAGGATGATGATGATGCTGCAGAACACCGTCTCGTCTCCCACGCAGCCCATCGCGGGTCCCAGATCACACGGTGTTCCCCGCGATCTTTATTACGTAATTGTTTTCCCCATTCTTTACATTTGCTGTCCACGTTATATTTAACACTGTTGAAAATATTAATTATATTTATTTTACGTAAGAATACTTTACGTTTCATGTTAGGGTAACACTAAACTAAATTTCATAAACGCGGGAATTCCATTTAATTAAATCGATGTGTCAATCGTTTGTAAATTGCGTTCACGCGAAATTTAGTCATCGGAACGTTCGTACATCGAGGGACGCCTGCACGGCAGAACGGAAACGTTTTGCGGCAGCCGTGTTCACGGCGTGCCATGCGGGGCAAGCTCCGCACCTGTCGCTCGGCGAGACGTATCGCGTGGCCACAGGACTCAGCACCACGCCGTTGAAGCGCTGGCTGAGACGCAGGCTCTGCACCAGCCCCTTCACCACCAGCTTACGTCCTGTGCAGCGCCGCGGGTCGCAGTGGCCAAGGTCCCACATGGCCAGCGGGAATGGCATCTTCGTGACGAAGCACGCGCCAGAGTCGCCCTCCGCTTCAGCATCGCCGTCCCTCGCCGCCTCTGCGCGAAGCCGGTGGGGTGCGGGGTGCGTGCAGAGACGCCGGCGGTACCGAACGTGAAACTTGGCACACAGACGGTGGCGTTGCTATTCAAGGTATCAGAAGCTCACCACGTACTGCAACAACCCAGTATTTATTTTACTCTTGCAATTGAACCTTATGGCCGGTACCCCGGGGTACCATAGTACCCCGGCTCTCGCACAATGTCCGTGATGCAGTGATGTTTAGTCTGTTGATGGTCGGCGATGCAGCAATCGACTCTTCTCGACGAGCCGTACACTACGATGCACCACCACGGCGCGTACGAGCGTCAGGGTTTCAGCGCAAACGTCCTCGCTGCGTTTCGACATCGCGGAGTAGCACCACCGATTTCGCACTTACGAACGAGTTTCCATAAGATTGTTTTTTTAACGGTCCGACTTGCAAACCGAACCGCATAACTATTTACATTGTTACATGCAAATTTACAATATTTATGAGTTTAACAATGCTTTCCTTTGTTGAGCCCCGTAACACATTTTATAACTGACCCACGGGCATTTAAATAGAGTACATGATTGTGTTCCAACTTACAAACTATTCGACTTACGAACGGGTCTCAGGAATTGAACTCGTTCGTATGTCGGGGTCTGCCCGATGAGGCCCCCTGTGCCCACGAATGTCCCCGTTATGGGGCACCGAGCACCGAGCCACCCAGCCCACCCGAGTTGCCGAGCCGCAGGTCGTGGGCGAAGCTGTCCTCAAGGGGCCCTTCCACCCTCGCCCGGTGTCGAGTCTCCTTCCAGGCAGGCGCCCGGCTGTGGGGCCCAGCCGTGCCGCCTCCCCGCCTTCGACCCCGTGGCCCCATGTAAAAGTAGATCCACGTGTACCTACTCACCTACTTGTTACACCTACCCACTTCTACTCGCTCTTCTACTTACCCATCTGTTATACACGTATCTAAACAGATACAAGTATGTGCAGCACATACGGTCGGCACGGTTACACGAGGGGGAGGGTGGCCAGCACAACACTCGGCCGCCTTTGTCTCCCTCTCGGAGATATTTACACCGCAACAGGTACTAATTTTAGGCCGAGCCGACCTCGGAGAGGCCCAGGACCGGTTCAGATAATCGTCACTGGTGTCGGCCGTGAGCGGGAATCTAAATCGGGTCGTTTTCCGCTGCACTGCCGCTCCCCACACCTTCTGGCGTATACACGCACATACACACTTGTATATTCACCGTGCTCCTAGCCCACTCACTATACCGACGTGCACACCGAGTCAGCCTCCCGGTAACTTAATTACCACCGACTCGCTTCAAGGCTACAGAGACGCAGCAGCCAGCGCCACCATAAGCACGGCCACGGTGAACACCGCGAGCTCCGCGCGTCACCCAATCAGGGGCGCGCCACGGCAAACCACGTGTGAGGCGTGAAGAGTTCAACGCGGTCCCTTTAATACGGGTTATACCAATTATATCACGGGGGAGTTCAACGCGGTCCCTTTAATACGGGTTATACCAATTATATCACGGGGGGGGTCAACGCGGTTCCTTTAATACGGGTTATACCAATTATATCAGGTGGGGGGAGTTCAACGCGGTCCCTTTAATACGGGTTATACCAATTATATCACAGGGGGGAGTTCAACGCGGTCCCTTTAATACGGGTTATACCAATTATATCACGGGGGAGTTCAACGCGGTCCCTTTAATACGGGTTATACCAATTATATCAGGGGGGGGGGGGGTGGTGGGGGTTTCATTCTCTTGAGTATCAAGTTTACAATTGATGATGAGGGTCCTGCCAAGATTTCGCAGCATTGGGATGTTTTTGGTCAATAACAATTACCTTGTGTGATGAGTATGTTGTCTGATGAGTCTGTGTTGTGTGATCAGTGTGTGCTGTGACTGATTAGCCTGTTTTGTGTAATCAGGCTGTATTGTGCGATTGATTAGTACGCTGTGTGATTAGGGGTTTCTCTTTTTTTCTGGCAACAAAACTGAAACCTGTTTACGCGGAATCATGTCTGCATTAACTACAATACTTGTGGTCAGAATGCAAAAAAACACTCTGATAATATGCATTTTCCTTGAAACTGATTGGTCGAGACAGCTTGCTTTTGAGCCTCGTCTCAAACGGTGTTCGACCATAGGACGCCGAAAGGCGAAGCACAATGCATCATATTATCAGAGATTGTTTGCATCCTGACCACAAGTATTGTGGTTAATGCAGACATGATTCCTCGTAAAAAGGTTTCAGCTTTGTTGCTAGAAGAAAGGGGAAAAACCTATTCTTATATTTTGGTACTGGCAAAGGAGGCCTCATGATGTTGTGTGATTGATTAGTCTGTTGTATGATTGATTATGTTGTGTGATTGATGAGTATGGTGTGTGATTGATTAGTCTGTTGTGATTGATAAGTCTGTTGTGTGATTATGTTGTGTGATTGATTCGTCTTATGTGATTGATTAGTCTGTTGTGCGATTGATTAGTCTATTTTGTGTGACTGATGAGTCTGTGTTGTGTGACTGATGAGTCTGTGTTGTGTTATTTGTGCATCTGCCAGTGATCCCAGTCAGTTAACCCATGGCACCTGGGTCTGTCCCGTGACCCCTGCCAGCGTGCCTTCGACACTTCAAATGGCCTCAAACTGCACCTAGCCTGGCACAAGTGTCGTGGTGACGCCACAGCCACGTTTGTTGTTGGTTGAGTGTTGACCCTGGAATCAGGAGCCTTGTGTTTTGTGATGACTCGAACTGTCGTTTTGCTTCATTATGAAATAAACATTGGCCAATAATAAGTGGAAAAATTGTGACCTCACTTTGGACGCGTGGGTTCGCGCCAGGGCTCCGAGTCAAAAGCGACGTGGGTTCGAATCCAACAATATTTGTTTTTATTAAATGTTAGCAATTAACAAGACAAACTTTATTGCAATGTATATACTTTATTAATATTACATGAACTTTATAGTTTTTTATCGTTAACAAATGGAAGCGTTGTTGCATACTGTACGTATATTGATATTCAGATCGACTATTATTGAATAACCAGAAGCCACAAGCTACTCTAGTAGGTTCGCGTGGCGCTGTGGTGACTCCCGGATCTTGTAACACAGCCGCCGACGTCCGATCCCCCCCCCCCCCCCCCCACTGAGCGTTTTTATAAACAGTAAAACCTTGGATTGCGAGCATAATTCGTCCCGTAAACGTGCTTCTAATCCAAAGCACTCGTATATCAAAGCACTCGTATATCTGTTGTGATCACGTGACGCTCGGCAGACAAAGCGTATACTACTACTCGTATTGCAAGACCTCACCACCCCCGTGCGCGATGCCAGCGCAGCAGCGTCACGAGCGGCCCCAGCGCGACTCTGAGCGAGGAGCCACCAGGGGGCGCTGCTCGCCACCAGGGGGCGCTTCTCGCCACCAGGCGGCGCTGCTCGCCACCAGGGGGCGCTGCTCGCCACCAGGCGGCGCTGCTCGCCACCAGGGGGCGCTGCTGGCCACCAGGCGGCGCTTTTCGCCACCAGGGGGCGCTGCTCGCCACCAGGGGACGCTGCTCGCCACCAGGCGGCGCTGCTCGCAACCAGGGGGCGCTGCTCGCCACCAGGGGGCGCTGCTCGCCACCAGGCGGCGCTGCTCGCCACCAGGGGGCGCTGCTCGCCACCAGGCGGCGCTGCTCGCCACCAGGGGGCGCTGCTGGCCACCAGGGGGCGCTGCTGGCCACCAGGGGGCGCTGCTGGCCACCAGGGGGCGCTTCTCGCCACCAGGGGGCGCTGCTGGCCACCAGGGGGCGCTGCTGGCCACCAGGGGGCGCTTCTCGCCACCAGGGGTCGCTGCTCGCCACCAGGGGGCGCTGCTCGCCACCAGGCGGCGCTGCTCGCCACCAGGCGGCGCTGCTCGCCACCAGGCGGCGCTGCTCACCACCAGGGGGCGCTGCTCGCCACCAGGCGGCGCTGCTCGCCACCAGGGGGCGCTGCTCGCCACCAGGCGGCGCTGCTCACCACCAGGCGGCGCTGCTCGCCACCAGGCGGCGCTGCTCGCCACCAGGCGGCGCTGCTCGCCACCAGGCGGCGTTGCTCGCCACCAGGGGGCGCTGCTCGCCACCAGGGGGCGCTGCTCGCCACCAGGGGGCGCTGCTCCTTTGCATTCGAAACTCGTTTTGAGTGCAAATATTTTCATTTGCGTCGTTCACCACCCACTTTGGAGCCGTAAGTCGCGATTTTACGAAAAATTATCGAAAAACTGGGCCCCGAGACAGAGAATTCGCACCGAAGCGGCGATTGCGACCCTCAAACCCAGCGTCTCGATGCAGGGGTGGGGAACTAAAATAACAAGTGTCTTTTTCTTCCGAATTCGGTAAAAAAACCCTTCAATATCTGCAGAGCCGCAATGCTTGCGGTGAATATGAGACGGTGGTCCTTAAAAAAGAACGTCATGAACCAGTGCGTAAAGAGCCACATGCGGTTCCGAAGCTGCAAGATGCCGACCACAGGCACTCTTGGGCACCCGTGACCACCCCAACACCTTTCGACACCACCGTGGCTTACCGCTCACACGAACGAGTCGGCGGTACAGTTATGTATTTGCTTTCAAAATCAGCATTTAGTGGCAAAACGCAATAAAGCACAGCTCACCTAGCAGCGGTAGCGCAGCCACCACTGAGATCAGCACCACGTACAGTCAGCACCACGTAACACACATCTGTTGAAATACAACATCAGGAATCTCTCCGATACACAAACTTGCAGGGATGACCCGGGGTGCCTCAGCCGATCTGACTCGGCCGCAGAGTCACCGCGCCCCAGACGGTTCCCGGAGCTCCAAAATCTCCGCAGGTCCACTCGAATCATTTAGTCGGGACCCTTGAGACGGACACAAAACACGTGGCCTCCCCGTTCTGCCAACGACAACCACCGACAACCATCACCAACCGAGACCTCGGCAATGTCGCCTCGAGTCCCGATCCATCCTAGAATCTCACCCTGATCCAGGGGAACGCTCCTCGTGAACGGAACGCAACAGTGTGGACCTCCCAAAGAAAGACCTCACACGGGAGCCAAACATCGCAACCTCCTGGAATTGACATCCCTCGAAGACTCCGGTGGGAACGAACCATCAGCCGCCTCAGAGACTCACAGAGATACACAGCGACCCATAGACATACACAGACCCATAGAGATACACAGACCCATAGAGATACACAGACCCATAGAGTTACACAGAGACCCATAGAGATACACAGCGACCCATAGACATACACAGACCCACAGAGATACACAGAGATTCATAGAGACTCACAGAGACCCATAGAAATGCACAGACCCATAGAGATACAGAGACTCAGAGATATATCGATGACAAACCACGGTTGTTTGAGAGGCCATGCAACCCAAACGATGGACCATTCTAACAACCTGCCGGAGTCGTCTTCGCTCCATCATCTCACAAACTCATTGCCAGTTCGCCCCTGCGCTCCCCCATGCTGAACTGCAAGAGTCCAACTCGGGTGTGTGGAGAGTTGCCCGCATCGTGAAGGAGAAACCTTCCGCTTGAAGGAGAAACCTTCCGCTTGAAGGAGAAACCTTCCGCTTGAAGGAGAAACCTTCCGCTTGAAGGAGAAACCTTCCGCTTGAAGGAGAAACCTTCCGCTTGAAGGAGAAACCTTCCGCTTGAAGGAGAAACCTTCCGCTTGAAGGAGAAACCTTCCGCTTGAAGGAGAAACCTTCCGCTTGAAGGAGAAACCTTCCGCTTGAAGGAGAAACCTTCCGCTTGAAGGAGAAACCTTCCGCTTGAAGGAGAAACCTTCCGCTTGAAGGAGAAACCTTCCGCTTGAAGGAGAAACCTTCCGCTTGAAGGAGAAACCTTCCGCTTGAAGGAGAAACCTTCCGCTTGAAGGAGAAACCTTCCGCTTGAAGGAGAAACCTTCCGCTTGAAGGAGAAACCTTCCGCTTGAAGGAGAAACCTTCCGCTTGAAGGAGAAACCTTCCGCTTGAAGGAGAAACCTTCCGCTTGAAGGAGAAACCTTCCGCTTGAAGGAGAAACCTTCCGCTTGAAGGAGAAACCTTCCGCTTGAAGGAGAAACCTTCCGCTTGAAGGAGAAACCTTCCGCTTGAAGGAGAAACCTTCCGCTTGAAGGAGAAACCTTCCGCTTGAAGGAGAAACCTTCCGCTTGAAGGAGAAACCTTCCGCTTGAAGGGGAAACCTTCCGCTTGAAGGAGAAGCCTTCCGCTTGAAGGGGAAGCCTTCCGCTTGAAGGAGAAACCTTCCGCTTGAAGGGGAAGCCTTCCGCTTGAAGGGGAAGCCTTCCGCTTGAAGGAGAAACCTTCCGCTTGAAGGAGAAACCTTCCGCTTGAAGGGGAAGCCTTCCGCTTGAAGGAGAAACCTTCCGCTTGAAGGAGAAGCCTTCCGCTTGAAGGGGAAGCCTTCCGCTTGAAGGGGAAACCTTCCGCTTGAAGGAGAAGCCTTCCGCTTGAAGGAGAAACCTTCCGCTTGAAGGAGAAGCCTTCCGCTTGAAGGAGAAACCTTCCGCTTGAAGGGGAAACCTTCCGCTTGAAGGAGAAACCTTCCGCTTGAAGGAGAAACCTTCCGCTTGAAGGAGAAACCTTCCGCTTGAAGGAGAAACCTTCCGCTTGAAGGAGAAGCCTTCCGCTTGAAGGAGAAACCTTCCGCTTGAAGGAGAAACCTTCCGCTTGAAGGAGAAACCTTCCGCTTGAAGGGGAAGCCTTCCGCTTGAAGGGGAAGCCTTCCGCTTGAAGGAGAAGCCTTCCGCTTGAAGGAGAAACCTTCCGCTTGAAGGAGAAACCTTCCGCTTGAAGGAGAAACCTTCCGCTTGAAGGAGAAACCTTCCGCTTGAAGGAGAAACCTTCCGCTTGAAGGAGAAACCTTCCGCTTGAAGGAGAAACCTTCCGCTTGAAGGAGAAACCTTCCGCTTGAAGGAGAAACCTTCCGCTTGAAGGAAAAACCTTCCGCTTGAAGGAGAAACCTTCCGCTTGAAGGAGAAACCTTCCGCTTGAAGGAGAAACCTTCCGCTTGAAGGAAAAACCTTCCGCTTGAAGGAGAAACCTTCCGCTTGAAGGAGAAACCTTCCGCTTGAAGGAGAAACCTTCCGCTTGAAGGAGAAACCTTCCGCTTGAAGGGGAAACCTTCCGCTTGAAGGAGAAGCCTTCCGCTTGAAGGGGAAGCCTTCCGCTTGAAGGAGAAACCTTCCGCTTGAAGGGGAAGCCTTCCGCTTGAAGGAGAAACCTTCCGCTTGAAGGAGAAACCTTCCGCTTGAAGGGGAAGCCTTCCGCTTGAAGGAGAAACCTTCCGCTTGAAGGGGAAGCCTTCCGCTTGAAGGAGAAGCCTTCCGCTTGAAGGAGAAACCTTCCGCTTGAAGGGGAAGCCTTCCGCTTGAAGGAGAAACCTTCCGCTTGAAGGAGAAACCTTCCGCTTGAAGGGGAAACCTTCCGCTTGAAGGGGAAGCCTTCCGCTTGAAGGAGAAACCTTCCGCTTGAAGGAGAAACCTTCCGCTTGAAGGAGAAGCCTTCCGCTTGAAGGGGAAGCCTTCCGCTTGAAGGAGAAGCCTTCCGCTTGAAGGAGAAACCTTCCGCTTGAAGGGGAAACCTTCCGCTTGAAGGGGAAACCTTCCGCTTGAAGGAGAAGCCTTCCGCTTGAAGGAGAAGCCTTCCGCTTGAAGGAGAAGCCTTCCGCTTGAAGGAGAAGCCTTCCGCTTGAAGGGGAAACCTTCCGCTTGAAGGGGAAACCTTCCGCTTGAAGGAGAAGCCTTCCGCTTGAAGGAGAAGCCTTCCGCTTGAAGGAGAAACCTTCCGCTTGAAGGAGAAGCCTTCCGCTTGAAGGAGAAGCCTTCCGCTTGAAGGAGAAGCCTTCCGCTTGAAGGAGAAGCCTTCCGCTTGAAGGAGAAACCTTCCGCTTGAAGGAGAAACCTTCCGCTTGAAGGAGAAACCTTCCGCTTGAAGGAGAAGCCTTCCGCTTGAAGGAGAAGCCTTCCGCTTGAAGGAGAAGCCTTCCGCTTGAAGGAGAAACCTTCCGCTTGAAGGAGAAGCCTTCCGCTTGAAGGAGAAACCTTCCGCTTGAAGGAGAAGCCTTCCGCTTGAAGGAGAAACCTTCCGCTGCCCGCCGTCAAACCGGGCGCTCGACGCGCGCAAGCCGCCCGGCAGCGTTCCCGTCGTGGGGGCTCCGCGCGCATCATCGCAGAGGTCGTCCGACCGCGCCACACAACCCCCCCCCCCCCCCTTGTGCAGGACGAGTTGGTAGAGTCCAGGTCCACGTGGTCTCTTCCGGGTCGCGGCTACCTCGGGAGATGCCTCCGAATGGCGCCGCTACCACCGCCTGCTGCTGCTGAGGCGTCCTCCATGCCCGCTACGCCCCGCACCACCAACACCCTCCTCCTCCTCCTTCTCATTGTCATCGCCTGCCTCTCCCCAGGTACGTGTGGCCATCCACTGCCACCAAGCCCACCTCACACAGCGGTGTGTTTACGAAAGGCCCGGGCTGTGTATACCATTGTAAATGGAGCGCTCTCCTTCGCCAGTGCTCATGTCGCCGCTGTCTTGCGGTGTTCACGTGCAGGCAGCAGCAGCAGCAGCAACCGTGGGGTGATCCGCATGAAGATTGTTGAGGAGCCCAACTCGTTCGGGTGAGTGGTGGACTCGCGCGTCTGTGTGTCCCTGCAGCTGTCTCGCATATTATCTCAATCCATCGGCTTGCCCCACCTTACCCGGTTTCTCTCATCTCTAACTACTCTGTCCCATCCCCTCCTCTAGGCTCCCAGTCTCCACCGTCGCTCTCAGTGCCTGCCTCCCTCCCCACCCTTCTTCCAGCCTCGCTCTCTCGTTCCCTTCTCGCTCCCCTCCACTGGACTCAACTCCCCCTGCAGCACGCAGAGCAGCCATATTCACGATCAAAACAACAACCTGTAGCTTCCATTTCTCCCTTAAAACAACTGCCATCTCTTCTCTCCGAGCCCATCATCATCCTGCTGCTACTGCTACACCTGGCCCCAGCTACGACGAGACCTACCCCAAACCCCATCACTAACCCTATCACTAACCCTATCACTTACCCTACCACTAACCCTATCACTTACCCTACCACTAACCCTACCACTAACTCTACCACTTACCTTACCACTAAACCTACCACTAACCCTATCACTTACCCTGTCACTAACCCAACCACTAACCCTACCACTAACCCTATCACTAACCCTACCACTAACCCTATCACTTACCCTGTCACTAACCCTACCACTAGCCCTACCACTAACCCGACCACTAACCCTACCACTAACCCTACCACTAACCCTATCACTTACCCTGTCACTAACCCTATCACTTACCCTACCACTAACCCTACCACTAACCCTACCACTAACCCTGTCACTAACCCAACCACTAACCCTACCACTAACCCTATCACTTACCCTACCACTAACCCTATCACTTACCCTACCACTAACCCTACCACTAACTCTACCACTTACCTTACCACTAAACCTACCACTAACCCTATCACTTACCCTGTCACTAACCCAACCACTAACCCTACCACTAACCCTATCACTAACCCTACCACTAACCCTATCACTTACCCTGTCACTAACCCTACCACTAGCCCTACCACTAACCCTACCACTAACCCTACCACTAACCCTATCACTTACCCTACCACTAACTCTATCACTAACCCTATCACTTACCCTACCACTAACCCTATCACTTACCCTACCACTAACCCTATCACTTACCCTATCACTTACCCTACCACTAACCCTACCACTAACCCTACCACTAACCCTACCACTAACCCTACCACTAACCCTATCACTAACCCTACCACTAACCCTGTCACTAACCCTGTCACTACCCCTACCACTACCCCTACCACTAACCCTGTCATTACCCCTGTCACTACCCCTGTCACTAACCCTATCACTACCCCTATCGCTAACACTATTACTACCCCTGTCACTAACCCTATCACTAACCCTACCACTAACCCTACCACTAACCTTACCACTAACCCTACCACTAACCCTATCACTAACCCTACCACTAACCCTACCACTAACCTTACCACTAACCCTGTTACTACCCCTGTCACTAACCCTGTCACTAACCCTGTCACTAACCCTGTCACTAACCCTGTTACTACCCCTATCACTAACCCTGTCACTAACCCTATCACTAACCCTACCACTAACCCTATCACTAGCCCTACCACTAACCCTACCACTAACCCTGTCACTAACCCTGTTACTACCCCTACCACTAACCCTACCACTACCCCTGTCACTAACCCTGTCACTAACCCTACCACTACCCTGTCACTAACCCGTCACTAACCCAATCACTACCCCTATGACTACCCCTACCACTAACCCTGTTACTAACCCTGTTATTACCCTTACCACTAACCCTGTCACTAACCCTATCACTACCCCTATTACTAACCCTACCACTAACCCTGTCACTAACCATGTCACTAACCCTATCACTACCCCTATTACTACCCTTACCACTAACCCTGTCACTAACCCTGTCACTACCCCTACCACTAACCCTGTCACTAACCCTGTCACTAACCCTATCACTAACCCTATCACTCTACCCCTGTTACTTCCCCTACCACTACAGTGAGGGAAAAAAGTATTTGATCCCCTGCTGATTTTGTATGTTTGCCCACTGACAAAGAAATGATCAGTCTATAATTTTAATGGTAGGTTTATTTGAACAGTGAGAGACAATAAAAAAAATCCAGAAAAACGCATGTCAAAAATGTTATAAATTGATTAGCATTTTAATGAGGGAAATAAGTATTTGACCCCTCTGCAAAACATGACTTAGTACTTGGTGGCAAAACCCTTGTTGGCAATCACAGAGGTCAGACGTTTCTTGTAGTTGGCCACCAGGTTTGCACACATCTCAGGAGGGATTTTGTCCCACTCCTCTTTGCAGATCTTCTCCAAGTCATTAAGGTTTCGAGGCTGACGTTTGGCAACTCGAACCTTCAGCTCCCTCCACAGATTTTCTATGGGATTAAGGTCTGGAGACTGGCTAGACCACTCCAGGACCTTAATGTGTTTCTTCTTAAGCCACTCCTTTGTTGCCTTGGCCGTGTGTTTTGGGTCATTGTCATGCTGGAATACCCATCCACGACCCATTTTCGATGCCCTGGCTGAGGGAAGGAGGTTCTTACCCAAGATTTGACGGTACATGGCCCCGTCCATCGTCCCTTTAATGCGGTGAAGTTGTCCTGTCCCCTTAGCAGAAAAACACCCCCAAAGCATAATGTTTCCACTTCCATGTTTGACGGTGGGGATGGTGTTCTCGGGGTCATAGGCAGCATTCCTCCTCCTCCAAACACGGCGAGTTGAGTTGATGCCAAAGAGCTCCATTTTGGTCTCATCTAACCACACCACTTTCACCCAATTGTCCTCTGAATCATTCAAATGTTCATTGGCAAACTTCAGACGGGCATGTATATGTGCTTTCTTGAGCAGGGGGACCTTGCGGGCGCTGCAGGATTTCAGTCCTTCGCGGCGTAGTGTGTTACCAATTGTTTTCTTGGTGACTATGGTCCCAGCTGCCTTGAGATCATTAACAAGACCCTCCCGTGTAGTTCTGGGCTGATTCCTCACCGTTCTCATGATCATTGCAACTCGACGAGGTGAGATCTTGCATGGAGCCCCAGGCCGAGGGAGATTGACAGTTCTTTTGTGTTTCTTCCATTTGCGAATAATCGCACCAGCTGTTGTCACCTTCTCACCAAGCTGCTTGGCAATGGTCTTGTAGCCCATTCCAGCCTTGTGTAGGTCTACAATCTTGTCCCTGACATCCTTGGAGAGCTCTTTGGTCTTGGCCATGGTGGAGAGTTTGGAATCTGATTGTTTGATTGCTTCTGTGGACAGGTGTCTTTTATACAGGTAACAAGCTGAGATTAGGAGCACTCCCTTTAAGAGTGTGCTCCTAATCTCAGCTCGTTACCTGTATAAAAGAGCCAGAAATCTTTCTGATTGAGAGGGGGTCAAATACTTATTTCTCTCATTAAAATGCAAATCAATTTATAACATTTTTGACATGCGTTTTTCTGGATTTTGTTGTTGTTATTCTGTCTCACACTGTTCAAATAAACCTACCATTAAAATTATAGACTGATCATTTCTTTGTCAGTGGGCAAACGTACAAAATCAGCAGGGGATCAGATACTTTTTTCCCCTCACTGTACCCCTACCACTAATTCTGTCACTAACCCTGTCACTAACCCTGTCACTAATCCTGTCACTAACCCTGTCACTAACGCTGTCACTAACCCTATCACTACTCCTGTTACTACCCTTACCTCTAACCCTGTCACTAACCCTATCACTACCCTTACCACTAACCCTACCACTAACCCTGTTACTACCCCTACCACTACCCCTACCACAAACCGTCACTAACCCTACCACTAAACCTATCACTACCCCTATTACTACCCTTACCTCTAACCCTGTCACTAACCCTATCACTACCCTTACCACTAACCCTACCACTAACCCTGTTACTACCCCTACCACTACCCCTACCACAAACCGTCACTAACCCTACCACTAAACCTATCACTACCCCTATTACTACCCTTACCACTAACCCTGTCACTAACCCTATCACTACCCTTACCACTAACCCTACCACCAACCCTGTCAGTAACCCTATCACTACCCTTACCACTAACTCTGTTACTACCCCTATCACTACCAACACCTATCACTACCCGAAACCCTATCACTACCCCAACACCTATCATTACACATGTCACTACCCCAAACCCTATCACTACGCCTACTCCTATCGCCACTTAACCTCTCCCGCCTGTTCTGCTGTCACCATAACAACACCACTCTCTATTATCTCAACCACCGTCATCTTACATACAATGTTCTGATTGTAGTAACGCGCGGTGGAGTAACGGGCGCTGCTGCTAAATATGGTAACTCCATGTGAGAGATGCGAAGATAAAGCCACACTTTGGTGTTTGGTAGTCGGTGTTTGGGAGTCGGTGTTTTTGTAGTCGGTATTTGGTAGTCGGTGTTTTTTGTAGTCAGTGTTTTTTGTAGTTGGTGTTTCTAGTCGGTGTTTGGTAGTCGGTGTTTGGTAGTCGGTGTTTGGTAGTCGGTGTTTGGTAGTCGGTGTTTTTTGTAGTTGGTGTTTCTAGTCGGTGTTTGGTAGTTGGTGTTTCTAGTCGGTGTTTGGTAGTCGGTGTTTGGTAGTCGGTGTTTGGTAGTCGGTGTTTGGTAGTCGGTGTTTGGTAGTCGGTGTTTTTTGTAGTTGGTGTTTCTAGTCGGTGTTTGGTAGTCGGTGTTTTTTGTAGTCAGTGTTTTTTGTAGTTGGTGTTTCTAGTCGGTGTTTGGTAGTTGGTGTTTCTAGTCGGTGTTTGGTAGTCGGTGTTTGGTAGTCGGTGTTTGGTAGTCGGTGTTTGGTAGTCGGTGTTTTTTGTAGTTGGTGTTTCTAGTCGGTGTTTGGTAGTTGGTGTTTCTAGTCGGTGTTTGGTAGTCGGTGTTTGTAGTCTCTTCGCCGCTGCGAGGACCCCCCCACGATGGTCGCGTGTCGCACGGCCAGGCTCAACAACGGCCTCGTGGCGCAAGCGACCCGGCTCAAGGCCAAGGTGAAGCCGTCGCGAGTGACAGGTGAACGCACGCACGGCGTCCTCATCATCATCGTTTTCGTCAGCCATTATCAATCTACTACTGGATGAAGGCCTCCCCGGCCACTTCCCCGACGATCCATTCGACGGCTACACACGAACAACCTGTTTAACACGGTGTGCTGTACAAGTGACGAAGTGGCATGTTCTATTTACGTGACAAATCTTACTAATTGCCTGTGTCGGGTGGTGGCGGATTTCACGCCACATTCATATTTACGCGATCTAATCCCCAAAAAAAACGTCTGGATGAACCAACCTCCTTAGCTCCATCTCACCGGGTATGTCCTCTCTTCGCGATCTCTATTCCTCGGCTGCCTCTCCGTTATTATTGTTCACACTCCTCATCCATCATCGCTTCCCATCTAATGTATATATTGTATTGTATAGTTATATAGAGAGCGCCTTCACTTAAGATTCTTGACATAGTTCACAAAAAGTGGAATGATGTAGTTGGCAACAGGGGCGTGCTACACGGATTGAGGAACGAGTGACAGCGATAGAGGGGTACGTGGGGGTCACGGAAGGGTGACAGGGGAGGGACGGGAAGGAGTGGAGGGGAGAGGAAGGGGATTGACGAAGGAGAAGAAGTGAGGCTTTGAGGAACGGAAGTAGGTGGAGGAGGGGGATTGCTTAATATATTATGGAGGGCGCTCAGTCTATGGGCAGTGTTGAGTCTATGGGCAGTGCTGGGGTCTATAGGTAGAATACCGGTGAAGTTTATTCCAGTGGAGGGGTCTCGCCATGTGCCCAAGCCCGCTTGTCCGAGTTAGGACGATGCCCTTCACCTGCACTGTTGACGCACGCCACAGTCACAGCGCCATCTGCACGTCGGTGCATCTTTGCGCTAAGATTCGGCGTCATTACAGCGTCGGTGCTGCCCGTGGTTTCCTGCCTCTACTCTCCGACGTGGCTTCAGCTTGGTACTCCGTGTTGTTTAGCACGAGCAGTCGGGCGATTCGCTTCCGAGACCTCATGAGATGGCTCACACTCTGGGTCGGATCGTCTTTGACTTTGATGTTTACAGCTGGTCATAACCCAAAACAGGCTATGGTGTGGGTTGCTATGTAATTATTACGGTTATAGGTTAAAATGAAATGTTAGATTAAATGTGCTATTTCTGAGTATGTACGGTAATTAAACACGTAGCTCTGGAACACAAGACGCTGACAAGCACGTATCTATGTTTTGAACTTATTTAGCATTGAGCGTAGTAGCCAACCGTGCTAATTGGAGGTGCGGGGGAAGGACAACAAACTAAACACAAAAAGCACTTTTAAACAAAGGAGTTTTTAATTTAGATGTAAAAGTCCAAATCTCCAGTGGCTTCCCGATATCAAAAGAGCGTTCCAGACGGCTGTAGAAACACATCTGGAAGCACATGATGCGATGACCGTCTTTGTTCGATGGCGGAGCAAAACGTCAGACATCAAGCCTTTTGTCCTTTCCCCACACCTCTGATTAGCATGGTTGGCTATGTACGGTGCGAAGGAAGTTCAATATACATACACACATACAAGCCGAGCAACACGGTGGATTCTGTTGACGTGAATCTCCCGAACGTGTGCCAGGGCCTCGCCATCTCTTCCGGCTCGCTGGGAAGTGCTTCAGCCACACCTCAGGATCGTGAGAGACTCCGGTCCACACACGTCACGTTACCCACGTTACCCACGTTACCCGCAGCGCATTGTGCAGCCCCCCCCTGTCCACTTTGTACAGGGTTGGTGGTCCAGATGTCTTCTGACCCCCAATATTTTTTCCCTTGCATATTCATGTCTGTTTTAAATAAACCTTACTTTAAATGTATTACGTTTTAGATGAAATGGGGGTAACAAGACATCTGGACCACACGACACAAGAAGAAGCTGTGGGTGTTATTTGACCATACCTCACCACACTGGTCAATGCGGCTTGGTGACAGTGGGGAACAGACATTGGAGCAGTGTACTGTATAACAATTTACAGGCTGTCTGTCCGGTTTAAGGATCATAAACTTGATTTACGTCACATCTTCTGATACGGCTCCAAAACCCATTTGAACAGTCGGTCTGATTTCTCGCCTGGTTTCCGACGTGATTTGGTGTGGAGCTTTTATTCTCCAGTGTTTGTGGATGTTTACCTATGAAACCCGCTTAGATATGGCCGATAAACGGAAAAACACATAGGCACGTGATGTTTCTATGGGAATATAGGATCCCACTTACCACGGGGTTTCCAGGAACGCCTTGTGTTGTCAAAGCAGGGACAACTTGTGTTGTCAAAGCAGGGACAACTTGTATTTCCCTGCACTGCCCTCTGCTGACAACATAAGAGGGAAGTTCTAGGTTTTTTTCTTTAGCATTTTTATTGTAAAAGTTTTTTCTCATGTTAGTCACGACCACTTTACATTGCGATGAATTCATTTGGCGTAATCCAATGTACGTGCCGTTTATGAATCCCAGGTACAAGTACGACTTGTGCCCGTTTCACAACGTGACCCAGCACGAGCAGTCTCTGCGGTGGAACGCTTACAGCGGCATACTCGGGTACGCGACGGCAGCTCTACCACCCCGTGTGCAGCACTTAGATTACAGTTCAGCCCTACACAAAATCCAGTCCAATTGTATATTTACATTAAGCGCCTTCACTAAAGGCGCTTGACGCAGCTTACACGATGGCGACGCGGAATGGAATGATGTAGTTGGCAGGGGCGTGCTGCAAGGATTGAGGAATGGGTGACAGTGATAGACGTATACTTAGACTCAACACTGGAGCAGTGTTGAGTCTATGGGCAGTGCTGAGTATGGGGCAGTATTGAGTATAGTGCAGTGTTGAATCTATGGGCAGTGTTGAGCCTATGGTGCAGTGCTGAGTCGATGGGTAGCAGTGCTGAGTCTACTGTGCAGTGCTGAGTCTATGGACAGTGTGAGTCTATGGGTAGCAGTGCTGAGTCTATGGTGCAGTGTTGAGTCTATGGGCAGTGCTTAGTCTATGGTGCAGTGTTGAGTCTATGGATAGCAGTGTTGAGTCTATGGATAGCAGTGCTGAGTCTATGGGCACTGTTGAGTCTATGGGTAGCTTTGTTGAGTCTATGGGTAGCATTGTTGAGTCTACTGTACAGTGCTGGATCTATGGGCACTGTGAGTCTATGGGCAGTGTGAGTCTATGTGCAGTACTGAGTCTATGGGTAGCAGTGCTGAGTCTTTGGTGAAGTGTTGTCTGAGCAGTGTTGAGTCTATGGGTAGCAGTGCTGCTCAATGTACAGGGGAAGTTGATTCCAGTGGAGGGCTGCAAAGAGGGAGGACCGAGAAGGGGATTGGGCACAGGCAGGAGGGGCAGAGCGTAGATTGGGAATGAAGAGCACGAGAGGATGCAAGATAATTAACATCAGCACCATCGGATCTTTAATCTCTTAGAGATCCAAGGGCTGTTTTAACGCTTTCCAACTGAGGTTGAAGCGTTTATGCATTATTCAGCTCGTGCATTGTTCCAGAATGCGAGGGGACTTTAAATTATTGTGAAGATAATCCTATACATGTGAAATTGGAGTATAGAGTTTTGTTGTTTTTAAGAACCTCACCATTTTGAAAGGGTTGCCCAAAACTGGGAGATACCAAACATAGCAAAAATGACTTTAAACATGCAAATGTCCTGCCCTGATAGCTACCTGTCGGCTTCTGCGCCGATAACGAAAAACTTCCAAAGGCAATCATACGTGGAAAAGCCTTTGCCTATACAACCAAGTAAGAAATTCACGCACGTATTGTAAACACTCAAAAGTTAACATTTGGCATTCAACACAAGATATCCAACAACAATAACACAGCAGTGTCAAGTAAAGACAGAACCTAACATCCCGCAGGACACATTTGTATCTGTGCCGTGGTGTTTAACGTCTCCATGCCTTGCTCCGCTGTGCATATTCCCTGGCGAACACTCCGTCCTCTTCCACCCTCTCGTTTCCACACAGCATCTGGCACGAGTGGGAGATCGTGAACAACACCTTCATCGCTATGGTGATGAGAAATGGTGACAACTGTGGCTCCAACAGCCGGCAGGCCAAGGTGAGGGATCGGCTGTCTAGCGCCCGCTGCCTCTGCTCGGTGTGCTGCACCGCTGAGCCATGAGTGTGTGTGCTGCACCGCTGAGCCATGAGTGTGTGTGCTGCACCGCTGAGCCATGTGTGTGTGTGTGTGCTGCACCGCTGAGCCATGAGTGTGTGTGCTGCACCGCTGAGCCGTGTGTGTGTGTGTGCTGCACCGCTGAGCCATGAGTGTGTGTGCTGCACCGCTGAGCCATGAGTGTGTGTGCTGCACCGCTGAGCCATGTGTGTGTGTGCCGCACCGCTGAGCCATGTGTGTGTGCTGCACCGCTGAGCCATGTGTGTGTGTGCTGCACCGCTGAGCCATATGTGTGTGTGCTGCACCGCTGAGCCATGTGTGTGTGCTGCACTGCTGAGCCATGAGTGTGTGTGCTGCACCGCTGAGCCATGAGTGTGTGTGCTGCACCGCTGAGCCATGTGTGTGTGTGCTGCACCGCTGAGCCATGTGTGTGTGTGTGCTGCACCGCTGAGCCATGTGTGTGTGTGTGTGCTGCACCGCTGAGCCATGAGTGTGTGCTGCACCGCTGAGCCATGTGTGTGTGTGTGCTGCACCGCTGAGCCATGAGTGTGTGCTGCACCGCTGAGCCATGAGTGTGTGCTGCACCGCTGAGCCATGTGTGTGTGTGCTGCACCGCTGAGCCATGAGTGTGTGTGCTGCACCGCTGAGCCATGTGTGTGTGTGCTGCACCGCTGAGCCATGTGTGTGTGCTGCACCGCTGAGCCATGTGTGTGTGCTGCACCGCTGAGCCATATGTGTGTGTGCTGCACCGCTGAGCCATGAGTGTGTGTGCTGCACCGCTGAGCCATGTGTGTGTGTGCTGCACCGCTGAGCCATGAGTGTGTGTGCTGCACCGCTGAGCCATGAGTGTGTGTGCTGCACCGCTGAGCCATGAGTGTGTGTGCTGCACCGCTGAGCCATGTGTGTGTGTGCTGCACCGCTGAGCCATGTGTGTGTGTGTGCTGCACCGCTGAGCCATGTGTGTGTGTGTGCTGCACCGCTGAGCCATGAGTGTGTGCTGCACCGCTGAGCCATGTGTGTGTGCGCTGCGCCAGTGGAGCAGTTGTGTAGCGGTTAGCGCGCTGCACTACAAACCCGGCAATCCGACTCGATTCCTGCTCACGGCCAGTCCCGAGCCTCGCCTAGGTTTACTCGGCCTTAAATTAGTACCTAGTGCGGTGTGTAAACAGCGCCACTGGTGAGACAAAGGCGGCCGGGCGTGGTACTGGCCACCCACCCCCTTGTGTGCCATGCCGGCCTTGATAGGTGCTCTCTAACAGCACTTGCCATAAGTCTGTTAAGGCTACACGGGGGATCTTTGTGTGCATGCACCACAGGTGACCTTCAGGTGCGGGACTCAGAATGCGCTGCTGGGCGTGGAGGAGCCACGCACCTGCGAGTACGCAGTCAACTTCACCTCGCCGCTCGTGTGCCACCCGCACAGCATGCTGGGTGAGGTGGCGCGCTTGCTCTCGACAGCAATTGATTGATCCATTAGTCAATCGCTGCTGCCATCCTTTTAAGACTTTGTCGATGGAGACGTCGCTAAAAACGAAGCCTTCAAAACACCAATGCCGAAAGAGATGTTTATTGTGGACGTCCGCGCTGTTCCATTCTGGTCGCCAGTGCATCTGGGCGAGATTATAGGATGAAGGCAGCAGCACGATCCCAGGAAGGGATCGGGACTTGAGGTCACATTGTTGATGTCTTGGTCGATGGTTGTAGGTGGTTGTCGTTGGCAAGAAAAAGTCTAAACTCCCTTTGCAGTTTGCGGGACGTCTCAGCGGTTATTGGGAGGCAGAATGTTCACCAGGATGGGGAGCCCAGGGGGTTGTAGTCAGTCTCAGGGTGCCAAGTAAATTAGGTTTCCAAGTGGAAATATTTTTTCAAATGCAGAGATTAAACAAATTCCCAGATCAAAATATACCAAAAACAGCGACATCTTTTTAAACTCATTTTTCAGCAGATCGTGCAGCAGAATCCAGTATTGTAAGGTACTTTAACATTTCTAGATTTGAAGCTTTCGTGACTGCAAGGATCCATACTCTTTGGTTCTATTCGGTAAAGTCACGTAGGTAAAAAAATAAAACAAAAATCACGACGTTTCGGCCACAACACAAGTGGACTTCATCAGGTGAAGGGACCAAACTGTCCAGTGGACAGCGTTGGAGTGAAGAAAGCCAAGCGCTGGTCACCTTCTTTTAAGCTGTGAGGGGGTAAACAGTAAACACCTTGACAAAAGGAAATTAGCATAAAACGTACTACTGACAGAGCTTGGAATTAGCATAAGATGATAATACACCACCTTGGAAGTTTGGAGTGCCACTACTAGAATAAATATACTGTACCATTGAAAATTAGTTTAATGTTTGGTTCGATTTAGAACATCTTTCCAATGGTTGCTTAATTTGAAACCATCTTCTCAGTTGAAATTGTGTCTGTTTGTAAATCTGAATTGCCTGGTGGACAAATCTCTGATGATAACCTGTCGGAAGACGAAACGACACGTCTCTGACCGAATTCGCGAGCACAAATCAGATTTGAAACACGGCAGAAGGAATTCTTCTGCCGTGGCTGATCACTGTTACAACACTGTGGGGGATCACGATATAATTTTCTCCGATACCAAGGTCCTTTGCAAACCGACAGTTTATCATCAGAAATTTGTCCACGAAGTTTTTCATGTACAGATTTGCTATAGCAGGAGATAAAGGAGAGCCCACTGCTGCTCCTACCTTTTGTTTGAAGAAGTCACCTCTCCATAAGAAATAAGTGTTATTTAGACAATGGTCAGCTAGTTTTGGAATATCTTCTGGTCACCTGTCTTCTGTACTAGTGTATCAAGTAATTTAAGTGACTCGTTAAATGGAACCTTAGTGAATAGAGAAATTAAATCAAAATTCACCAGAATATGATTAGGATTAAGTTTAATATCTTTAATCACATTCACAAGATGTTCTGAATTTCTTATAAATGAAGATGTCCTACTGATGTAGGGCTGTATTTTTTTAGTTACATATTTTGCTAATTTATGTGGCAGAGCCTATTATACTTACTATGAGTCGTAATGGAATACCGATTTTATGAATCTTTGGTAGCCCATACAGTCTTGGTGGTTTTGAGGCCCGTGGCTTAATTTGGTATTGCTCAGTCTTGGGGACTAATGAATTTGCAATGATTTTAGCAGTCCTGCGTTCTAAAGTATTGGTTGGATCTCATTTAATTTTAATATAGGTATCTTAAGTAAATCTTTAATTTTATTATCATAATCTGTTCGGGACATCACTACAGTAGTGCAGCCTTTATCAGCTGCCAGAATTATAATATCTTTATTTAATTGAAGCTCTCTCTTGAGGCTTTTGCTTTGCCAAAGGTAATATTTATTTTTGGTACTTTGCTATTCTCAATTATTTTGGCAACCTCGTATCTCGTCATCTCTGCCTCATTATGTGGAAGGTGTCTTACCGCTGATTCCACCTCGGCAAGAATCTCATCTACTGGAATTGTGTGTGGGGCAATGGCAAAGTGAAGGCCTTTAGAAAGGACAGAAATCATGTCGCTTGTTAAGTTTATTACATATTCTTGGTTCTTTCGGTAAAGTCACGTTGAAGGGAAACAATAAAAGATATTTTATTGTTTTATATATATTTTATTGTTTCCCTTCAACGTGACTTTACCGAAAGAACCAAGAATATGAATCACTGCAGTCACGAAAGCTTTAAATCAAAGTTCATTACAGTTTTGTTTTTAAATTGTTCGTTATTATTTGGGACTCGTTTGTTATGTAGTCTGGATAATTTATTAATTTGCTTAGTTTTAGTTAGATTAAATACATGATCAGCCGACTGTTATAATATTGATTATAATGTATGGAAACACTTGCTGATATGCAAGTGCTTCAGAGAGTCAGAAATTTGAGATAATTCACTCCTGTTGTGCTGTATTCTCTCTTGTAATAATAATTCACTAGCTTTGTGGAGTATTTGGTTGACTTTGCAATCCAAAGTCAACGTTCAACCCTCAGTGACCAGGATGGTGAAGTATGATCGAATAACCCCCACGACATGCACGGTTTGGGGAAGTCCTCACCCAGCAGTGGATTTACTAAAAAAGCTGTTCATGGAGGACAACTACCTCCGACTGCCCATTAGTGCCCTTCACGAGTCTCCTCCACAGAGGCCGATCTTGACACTGTTGTGACCAGCCATCGGATCGGCAAGTCCACTCAGCTCTACATACTCCTGTACCACATCAATCTATCTCCACTGTAGCCCGTGCCGTGCAAGTTTAGCTCCGTCTATCCGGTCAAACAGAAGCTGCTTGGGCATGCGTGCTAAGTGACCCAGCCAATACAGCCACGCATGAGAGAATCGATTTGGAGGGGATCATATACCCAAGAGGACATCTATCACGGACATTGGAGGCATGGAATCTGCTCATATGCAAGTGCTGGATTGTTTAATCGCTGACCGCGAGATGGCAATGGATTGGGGAGCTTCATCCAGCAGTTAATTGCTCGTGACCGGTGGTGGTGATGTGCCCGGGTGTGCGCGATTGCAGTGTACCCCACGCTGCCCCAGTCGCTACGAGAGGAGTGGGATAGGATTGAGCAAGATCTGTACGACGAGATCATCACCCAGCAGGTGACGGCAGCGGCCAGGCCTCCTCTCCGTTGTGTTTGTTGTTGCTACTCTCGTTCTCGGCCTGTAGCTTCCCACTGCAGGGAATGTGTCTATGATGTACAACTTAATTCGCACTGTATGTAGCCAACCGGGGGAAGGACAACAAACTAAACACATAAAGCAGTTCTAAAGAAATCGGTTTTAAATCAAGATGATTTAAAAGTGCATAGCTCCACCAGCTTCCTAATATGGGAGGGAAGAGCGTTCCAGATGGCTGCAGAAGTGCATCTGAAAGTGGGCGATGCAGTGAGTCTTAGTTCAATGGGCAGCAAAAAAAATGGTCAGAAGACTCCCTCGGCTGTCTCCTCGCCGGCTCCCTCCACTTCCGTTCCTTCCTCCCGGTCTCACCTGCAGAGTGAAGTTTGTTTCTCATCAGCTGTAACAGAGATCAAGTGGACACCGGCAGGTGACGTCAATTATTGCGTTGAAAAAAGTCAACAAATCATCTGTTTTAAAGTGGTCCGTCTGAACCAAACTATCCTCTCCCGCCTTCGCCAACCTTGGTGACCAACCATGGTGAAGTATGGTCAAATAACCCCCACAACCCACACGGCCTGGTGAAACCCAATTACAGCAGTGGATTGACAAGGGGGCTGTACCAAAAATAAAAAATAAACTGTATTTTAACAGGTAAGGCCCACCGAGTTATATACCAGTTTTTCAGAAGCAACCTGGCCACAAATGATATCTAAATGAAGTGGCTTATCGTGGAAATGTAAAGCAAATACTTTCAACGCACACGTGGATTGTAAATGTGGAGGGAAAAACCGGAGCACCCAGAGAAAAGGCCACGTGACCATGGGGAGAACATGCAAACTCCAAAGATGCACGTGTCGTCAGGGTTGGGATCGAACCCACAACCTGTATACCAGGCGAAGTAGTTAACATCTTGCTACACAAGTACAGTAAGATGTTAAGTGGGACTCCACGTACACCTTGTACATGCGCGCACACACGAGCTTCCAGGCGTCGCGCAGTGCAAGGTGGCTGCTAATGTCGTGCGTCTCTCCCCGTGAACGTCACCGGCAGGGCTACGAAAAGCAACTGCGGACGGCGATCTTCAGGAAGAGCGGCTACGTACTGTCGGCAGACGCTGACGCCACGGCCGCAGATGGTCCAGAGGATCAGGAAAGAGTCTTTAACACGTTGGACTCGTGCAATGAGGTACGGCGCCAACGAAAGGGCCATTGGCACAGGAGGGAGTGGTGGTCTGCACACTGGGCTCCTGAGCCTGCCCACTGCCTCACTCTGCATTTACCGGCTCAGTGCATTAGCCCTGGTTGTTTTGCAACCCGAAAGGATGCACACGTCCGTGCACGCCACGTTAAAGTGCGGGCGTCGATTCAGTCGAAGCGCGTTTCCGCAGGAGTACCGCACGCTGCAGGAAGAGGTGAGGAGGCTGAAGGCTCTGCTGCAGCAGCATGGCATCTCGCCCAACCATACAGGTAAGCCTACCTGCGACGGTCGCAGCCGGTGATCGTGCCACTGTCAGTGTCCGTGATGGGCGCCGTCGTGGTGGCGAGATGTTAACTCCCTCGCCTGGTATGCAGGAGGTTAATGGGTTCGATTTCTGTAGTGTTGTTGTGTGGTTGTTGGAGCAGCGATCGTGGCGAGCGATATCTGATTCAGTTCCGGCACCCCTTTATTCACCTGCACCAACCAGCATGAAGTAGGATCAATCCGCATGACTGAAGGGTGTTTGGGAGGCTGTCATCCAACAGTGGATTGACAGAATCCTGCACAACTTTGATGCATCAAGGCTCATTTCCTGTCATCAGGCTTTTGCCTCTGCACAGCTCCCAAGCTTTGGAACTCTTTGCTAATAAGACAGGATCATTAAATATATTTAGGTCTTGAAAACTCACCTCTTTAAACTGGCCCTTACCCCCTGCCTATTTCTGGCCGTTTACCCAGCAGGCTCTGTTTACTTCCTGGCTTTCCATACACGGTGATGCAATGGTGGGATCTACAGATGAAATCCACCACCTTAAGAATGTAAATTATTATATTATTATTAACACGTGCTGAACAAGCTATTAATTACGCTGCGGAGAACGCCTGTGACCTTGTGCAGTTTTCCTTGTGCGACGTCTGCCCAAGCGACCACGTTCGCGGCCATGCCCCGCCATGCCCCGCCATGCCCCGCCATGCCCCGCCATGCCATGCCCCGCCATGCCCTGCCATGCCCCGCCATGCCCCGCGGCGTCGTCTTCTCTCCGTGTGTTTCAGCGACGGCGGCACCGCCAGCCTCCCGGGCAGAGCATCGCCTGGCTGGGGGTGGGCTGCCCGCCACCTCCAACGGGGCTCCGAGAGGTCTGCAGCAGCTCAAGGGAGATGTAGGGGAACGCTGACCCCTCCAGACTGACCCCTCCAGGCTGACCCCTGCGCAGCCTTGGACACGAATTCTCAAACTCACGCGAGTTCAGAGCAGCGCTGTGGGGACCCTTGGGTAGATAAAGTTGCCGAATCCACCAAAAATTGTAATTGGGCTCCTTTTCTGTCTTACAGTGTGTAAACGAAGTGCGTGCAATATGGCATCGGCAGTGGTGCAATAAAAACTCCCTTATATAATTTGTAGATTTTAATAATTGTATTTTACCTGTTGAATAAACGGTAATGCTGCTCCCCACCATGTACAGCAAATCCTCGATTAACGTGGTCGACGAGTTCCTGAAAAGTGCCGCGTTAGGTGAAAAGATTACCCCACGCAAGGCGTCAGACAGTGCCCGACAGAAAATAACCCAACCCCTAAATACAGCCGAAAACGACGCCCACCGCGCTGGGTTTCATCTTTATCTGAAGTTTATTAAATGTCTTGAAAATTACAGAAGATAGTAAAAAAAGACAAGACCTAAATTCAGCTCCAAAAATAATCTTGGCTGTAAACAGTTTGCCCCCGGTTGCTTTGTGGCGCTGGGGGCTCCGGCGATAAGCGTCGCAACATGGAGCGGGGAAACAACACGGCCGCAATTTACAACAAAACCACAAAAGCCTTGCCGGGCCGGCTGGCCTCGGACTGTAAACAAAATGAAGAGGCGTTAACCGCAAACTTCTCTAAAGACGTTAAACCTTCACGAGGTGGGGCGGGGCAGCTGCTACAAACTAAATCCAAAACTTTCTACCCAGCTCTCTGTGACGCCAACTCCCCCACCCACCGTATGAGAGAGTGAAACACTACTACTTGTTTAATAGCGATAATAATTTAAAATATGTACCCATGAAACTCCCATTTGTCTTAAATAGTTTTAAAAGTATGTGGGGATGTTTTGTGCCCAATTCTTAAGTGTTTTTTTCGTGGCGCTTTACGCGGGGAAAACTGGAGTACGTAACTTGAAGAGAACCTAGTGCGAATAGATCCAGCCAACCTACTTGCTCTCCTGCTCCCCGACAGAAACCACGTTTTTCCAGCAGGTGCTCTTGGCAAGCTGAGCATGGCCCTTTCGTTGGAGCAGACAATTCAGGATTCATCCCTGCTAGATCTACCCACCCCAAACTTCCACATTCACCATTGTGCCACCCTAACCGATCACACAAAGCCATTAAAAACATGTTTGCACCACAACTTTTTTTTTGCACCAAGGGGGAAAAAAAAATGCTTTTCACGCTAAGCACGACCATTTACATATGGGCAGTGTGAAACGCATCGCGAAGAGTATATTTTTTCCAATATTAAAAGGCGAATTTTACATTTCTGCGTCGTAATACATTTTTTACACTTAAAAGACTTTGGCCACGAATCGGTAAGAAATCCGTTCCACCCCGGTTGTTATTTCCCCACGCCGGCGATGGTACGCGGCCGGTGCAGGTTGCACACCGCGCTTGCCGCATAACGCTCGTGGTTAAATGCGCTGCCGACGGGCGCCGCCTGGAGCCACTCACCGTGCTGTGGTCTCCAATGAACATGCAACACACCGCATGGAGAACGCTACAGCGTCAACGCTCGCAGACCCTCCACAACGCTGCATGGGGTAAATGAGGCGTAAACCCCACCTGAAAGAAGCTGTTTTTTACACGATTTTATACTTAAATCGCTGCACTTTAACTTTTTTTAAAAACTGAATGCATTACCGTATTCTCCGGATTATAGGACACTTGAAAGTAATACCCCAAACTTGTGCCCGGTGCAAATAAAGTTACACGAATCTGGTCACGCACACACACACTGGATTATGAAACGTACCCCCCCCCCCCCCAACCTTTGCTTTAAAGTCAAGGAGAGAGGGAGCAAGTAGATAACCTGGAAAATACGGTAGTCCAATGATATATTTGAGTGGCTGGGTAGCTTCACAGTCGGTACACTCACGACTTTGCGTGGAGTATTAAGGTTCGATTCCTGTTTGGGCCACCCTGTCCTGCTGGAGGCCGCTAGTACCGAGTGTCGCGAGAGGCGGATGATCCCGAGAACAGCTCCGCCGAGACGTGTGCCAATCGCGCACCACGACATCGCGGGCGTGAGGGATGCCCACATGCCGAGAGGGAATCACCAAAATAACCGACGGCGGTGCTTTTTCTCACGAATCGTCCCACTTCACTACTTTTAGAGGACACAGAAAAGTTACCCCTTTACGTCTTAAGAAAGCCACACCGTATCTTCACGACTGCTTTGTACAAGTCCTGCTGCTGCTGCTTGGGGACGTCTGGACTGCAGCTTTTTAAACATTCTTTTTACGGAAGCAAATTTCTGTTTCTGGAGTAAACCCCAGAAATGAGAAAGGAGACTTCTGAAACGTGCAGCGCAGATCGCCAGTCTTGAGAGGACGCTCTCCCTCACCGTCTCTCGCCCGTCTGCAGCGTCTCTCATCAAAATCCCCCTCGCCTGCGGGCACAGCGCTCGAAAAGGCCGTGTATTGGAACGAGTCGTACGTGCGGCGGACGGCAATGCAATTGCATTTCCGGGATGGTAACGTGCGCAGCAGCAGGACGATGGCATCGCAATCTGAGCTGTGCACGCGGACATAACGGCAAAACTCGGCACGTTGGCCTGCACGCTGCAACGAGCGATTCCCAGCCCCGTAGCATGGGTGGTGAGGCCAGAGGGGGGGCCGAACCCCACCCCCCCTCCTAAATTCTTGAAGTCAATAAAAAATATATAGGAACCATACAGCGGTGATCCCCACACACGGGCCGCTGGCGCTGACCCCGCGCGATAGACACGGATCGCATTCCTTCACTCCGTTTGGCGTTCAAAGTTTGTCGGAACATCGACTGCGTCGTGTCCCCCCCTGAGTGATTGCCCACCCCCCACTCTTTTAAATGCGGTCACACTCCGGGGCCTACGGAGACGGCCGCAAGTCGGCGCAGACCGAGGCACTTCCAGGGACTCGATGCCCATCGCGTGCGTGCCAAGCGATACTCTCACTAGGCGACGTTCCAGACGCTCCGGCCCCAAATGTCAACTGTCAAAAACACGACCCCTCGGCTGTCCTAGCAACAGGTCACCGCGCTACGGAAAGTGAGGCGCGCCTACTCATAAGTGGCTCTCGACCATCCGAGCAAACGTAGCGTTGCCCACCTTTTAAAACCCCTGAAACGTGGACTTGGCAGGAAATAAGTGACAGCTGTTAAAACAAGCTAGGGTAAAAGCTGGCACACGTTTTGTCCTGGATTCATTGTTGCTCCTTTTTTAAACGGTTCACATTATTATTGCATAGTACTTAGCAGAACGATTACATAACACGCGTACATGTCCAGCATTAGATTCTATTGAGCTAATTAAGGTGGACCATTTTCCAAATCTCAATTTTTATCCTCAATTCCAGAGTCTTGAACAAAGTCTAATTGCATTGTCAAGATACTAGTGGTTGTGTAACAAGTCCCAAGACAAAGTCCAGTTCACATTTCCAAGTCGGCCAATCCTCCCCCATTGAAACGCAAGCCAAGCCAGGAGCAGCAATACCTGTGGGCCTCACCAATGGATCCATGAATCCAGATTGAATCTGCCTCATGAGGCCTGCAGAGAATAGATGATGAAACCCAAACAGCCAATCCCCTCCTCACCACCACTCTGCACCGTTCACGTGTCTATGGTTACCAGCCTCCTCCCCATCTGTGCATGCACGTGAGGCAATCGTGGACTTGTGTACTGGTAAACATCACGCGAATGGATCGTAGAGATTGTAAACAACTAGGGTTTGTCAATTCCCGATCAAAGTTTGCCATAAAATTCGGTCCACCATGACAAACCAACGTACATCGGTGCAGTTCCACCAGCAGAGAAGTTAATCTCTGCTTAGTTTTGCTTCGGTAAGAACGCAATGTTTGTGCACGCGCTCATTCCTTGACAACTGCTTTTTGCTTTAGTTTGTTGCCCACCCCGCACCTCCGATGAGAACGGTTGGCTACGTAGGGTGCGAAAGAAGTTCAACGTACGTACACACACTTTCCCCTTTTGTGAGCCGGCGCAGCTAAGTGTCGGGTCCAGCTTGGAAACCCCCCTCCAAATCCGTCGCGTCTTTTTCTTCACATTGAGGCCCGGGGCTCAATCCCAGTAACTGTGTTAGGGTTGGATGCCGATGTCTTCAAGGAAGTCGGAGCGGGAGGGAGGAACCGTGGGGCGGGTGGCCCCGGCGGGCCGCTCCCCGTCGCGAGCGCTCAACCTGACACGCCGGAGACAGAGACGGGGGGGGGGGGACGTTGTGGTGAAGGAAGAATTTTTGGGACCGACAAAGCGGATTATTCATTTATAAAGAAAGTCAGTCTCTGTGTTCTACTACAACTAGTATTTTTTATTACACCATGAACGACGCGATATACAACTCCACCGTTACGATTGTTACTGCTGTTGGCATTGCGGGGCTCACAGGCGCCACGAACGGCCGTGGCAGAGGCAGCGGCGTCCTCCTCGGCGATCCTCCGCAGGTTCCTCTCCGCCTCGTCCGCCGTCCTGCACGCAGCAGAGACATCCAACCGCCCTGCTCAGCCGTGAACAACAAAAACTACCGCGGCGATTACTGGGAGCACTGTTTGTGGGACGCCACGGTGGCAAGATGTTATCTCTCTTGCCTGGTATGCAGGAGGCGTGGGTTCGATCCCCGACCCTGATGATGCCTGTTGTGTATTTGGAATTTGCATGTCTTTCTTTCTCTCTCCGTGGTAGCGTGGATTTTTCTCCGGGTCCTCCGTTTTTTCCTTCCACATTTAGAATCAAAGTGTGTGTTTTAAGAGTTTCTGGCTGCTGCTATAAATTTCCACGTGATAAGCCACTTTGTTGAGGATTCTTTTGTGGCCAGGTTGCTTATGAAAACGAGCTATATGGCTCAGTGGGCCATACCTAGTAAATACAAAAAATATATAGTTTCGACGTAGATGACTGACAGATGCAAAAACTGTGCTCCCACTGCCAACGTTTTAGCCGCCCGGTGCTCCGCTCGTTGTTGCGAGCGTCGCTTCTCTGCCCTCCGTTGTTGCTGGAGGGCGACCGCCTCCAACTGCCCAGCAGCATCCTTCACGAACCTCCTCCACATTCACACTCGCCACACATCTTGCCCCAGACGGAAGAAGCAGGATGGAAAATAAGAATGGAAGCTGGAGAGTACCGGGCACGCGTACTCGGGCATAACGAAGGGTTGAACGATTAATGGAATTCAGACTGCAGTGAGGGTCCAAAAGAACCAGAATGGAGATAACGGCGGCGAGAAGGAGAATGACGTCACGACCACACCCAGCCGGCCTGCTCCAGTGGAGCACGTCCCTGCTGGGAGCCAGACGGAGGTCATACAGAGCATGCTGATAGCAGAGCGAGGGAGAAAATGACCTCTGCAAGGACATTTTCCAAGGGAAGGCTTAAGGCCCAGTTGTGTCCAGGGTAACGGTGCTTGACGCCGAGCGACGTCGGGACACCCGTGGGACGCAAGGCACTCACGCCAGGTAGTCCTTGACCTCCTCCATGGTGATGTCGGCTGTCAGCTCCATGGAGCCCAGCGACGTCTCCAGGAAACTCTCGGCCAGCGTCTGTTGGATTTCCTCCAGGACGCCTGCAGTGCGCGGGGGTGGGAGGGGGGTCATGGGGAGCATTGAGCGGGGACGGAGCCACGGAGCCACCGAGCCATGGAGCCAGGGTCTTATTTAGGCATAAGCTAAGCAAGCTACAGCTTAGGGCCTCAAATTGGGGCACCGCGGTGGTGAGATGAGATCTCCCTCGCCTGGTATGCCGGAGGTCTTGGGTTTGATCCCGACCATGACACCTGGATATTTGGAGTTTGCATATCTCTCACTCTCCCCGTGGTCAAGTGGATTTTTCTCTGCTACCTCCGGTTTTCCCCTCCACATTTAGACTCAATGTGCGTTCATAGTATTTGGCTACTGTAAACTTCCACACGATAAGCCAATTTTTTACCGCTATCAATTGTGGCCAGGTCGCTTCTGAACAATAGTTATGTAGCTCTGTATGACCTCCTTACCTGCTAAAATAAAGTAGTTTTAAAGATGTTTTTTACAATGAGGTGGCCTCTAAATGCGAAAAAATAATATGAAGTTTAAAGTTTTACAATATTGGTTGACAAGGAGACAGGAAAAAAACCTCTCGAATCTGCATCATTCCTGCTGCAACTACGCCTCTATCACTACTCCAACCACTATCACTACCTCTATCACTACCCCAACCCCTGCCACTACTCCAACCCCTATCACTACCCCTGTCACTACCCCAATCCCTCCTTAACCTCACCGCCTGTTCTCCTGTCAGCATTACTACACCACCACTCTTAAATAACCCTACTCTTCACTATTTCGACCACTATCATCTTACATACAATTTGTACAATTGTTGTAAAGTGCCTTGGATTAAGGCGCTGCTGCTCCATAAATCCACGTAATATAATAACCCCACAACAACAACACGCCCACTCAGGCCGTCACACGCCGCCGCATGTGGGGGGCACGCGGCCGGGACGCCGAGCCACGTCAGGAGGTCGACCCACACACAGCTGCAAACGTGCAAGGTTTATATTAGAAACCGATTTACCGTTTCTGGAAGGGGGAAACGTTTTATAGCGCAACTGACGTGAAATTATTATTGCCATATGGGGGAATGACTGCCTCGGATGTG